CAAGTACATTACGACCTAATAGTTTTTTAAAAAATCTCTGTTTTCATCCATCCACATGAATGCAGCAAAAGGGCGTTTTCAAACATCTTCACTCTGGAGATCGTTTATGAAAAGTTGGGTTTTCGGTGATCGTTTTCACTGGTTACGTCTGGACGGGGCCATATAGAGAAGAGTGTAGCTAAATGTCGTGGGTCGTGGGTAGTGGGTAGAGGTCGTGGGTCGTGGGTGTGGTTCGTGGGTATGGGTGTGGGTAAATGTCGTGGGTAAAAAAAAGTTTTCCAAAAAAAAATCAAATTAAAAAATCAAAAGGCAAAAAGTCGTAAAATTCATGAAACGAAAATCTCCGTGTACATGCCAGTCCTACTCCCCTTCCCGCGGTCAGCAAAGCAAGTAAGCAAATCATAGACACTAAAATAAGAAACTCTGTACACTATGTAAACCTATAGCAGGTTACAGAAAACTGGAGACTGAACTGCTTTTTCTGAAAAAAGTCAACATTCGTGACTGAAACGTCCTTTCAGTTAAAGGAGTGATATTTAGAATCATTACAGAAAAGACTTTGTACGCAAAACAAAAAAAAAATCGAGAAAATTATATTTACCTAAGGCAATAAAATTTACATACTGCCCGCGCCTTAACTTGAAAGGTTGAGCATGAAGGTGCTTCCTTCGTAAGTTATTAGCTAGCCTAAAACTTCTTTAAGAAAGACTTCTATGCAAACATATGAAATACCTCAAAATTGTCCTTTTTCCCTGCCCTTTCCCACGGTGATCGCATTCCATCGTGTTAAGAAATCTTCGCTGATCATTGGAATTGTAGATCGAATAAAGATTAATAGTGAGCAGCCACTTCCATTCAGCGAATCACAGCTGTTTATCCCATACTTTCTGCAAATTGTACGTATAACTTACGTCTGTTTCGTTTATTTTGCGGCGATAGCTCAGGTGTGTATAAATTTCCATCGGCAACTTGTATGGCAGTGATGGTGTGAAAGAGGAGCCAAGTCCCACGTGTCTAAGGAAATATCCGGAAGAGGACGAAGAAGAAACCGTGGCGTAAAGGGCAATCAAGGAGTTGGAGATTTTCGTTCTATAAATATTTTACAATTTTTTTCTATTTATTATTATTATTATTATTATTATCTTTTTATCATTTTTTCCTTACTTTTTTTACCCACGACATTTACCCACACCCACACCCACGACCCACGACCTCTACCCACTACCCACGACCCACGACATTTAGCTACACTCTATAGAGAATAACGGGATAATCATATGAAAACCAGCTAATATATATCTAGCCGGATTTATGAAAACCGCACCAGCTGGCTTCTCGAGGCCACACACCTTAAACTGACTCAACTAAAGTAAATATTGCCAAGAAACTCAGCTCTTACCCATGGGCCTCTTAAGGTGACTCTCTTCTTGGTTCCTGATTAGCAACCTCGTCCCCAGGGCTTTTCCCTTAAAAAATGGGTGGGGCGGGAAAAGGCCCTGGCATCGGCTGGTCACGTGTCCCCTCGTACACCCTAAAATCCTGGGTGTAATAAATTAGCGCTATGTGAAAAGCTAAAATTATGCGTAACCTCACAGCGCGCGATCTTGGGCGGCCTTTTATATCTCTTGACGATTAACGAAAAGTTTTACAAGATTTCTTTTTTGTCACAGATACTGGCTATGGTAATTTTTTGCTTTCCTCCGATTTCTATGAAGGGGACAGCGAGCGGTAACATTTGTAAAACTTCCTTTATAGAGCGATATAAATGACAAACAAGCTATCGTACATGCATAAAGTTTGTACTGGAAAAGTCCGTTTTCTCGACTCTTTTGATATTTTATTTTATTTCTTGCGAAGTGGACCGCCGTACACAACCTAGTTCTATTCAACTTAACTCTCAGCCATATCATAGCGTCACGCGTTGGTTTAGACTTATCTTGTATGACCTGTCTTTTTAAAAATTCATTGACCTCTGCGAGACTTGACCGAAACCGGAAACCGCGCATGAAAAGTTTCTGGCACCCAGGGTATCAAACGACTGGTAACAAAGAAAGACTTGGGTCCATTTAAAATTGACAGAGCTGTAGTTGATTCCAATCGATCGGTCAATCTTCCCTTTGATATAAGGAAAATCCTTTGTACTTATCCTCGGAAGAGAAAAGATATAAGAGATCTTAAAATGTTTCAGATCGGCGACCTGTCATCGTTCCTGGCTGGAGGGCTGACTTGCATCCGGCGCGGAGATTTGTTTGTTTCATGGTCGGGTTGTAGAGAAGACCAGACTCCATCATAAAGTATTTTGATGAACAATTCTATTTCAATTAAGTCCAATTTGTTTAAATTCACTGCAGATCCTAGAGGCAAAGGCCCGCATTTTTGTTTGACATTGGACAAAATCACTTTCTGCTTGATCGTACAGTAATTCCACAGTCACGATGAATTTCAGTCGAAGTACTACTCGATAACAGCTTGTCTCAACTCTGAAGCATTTGACATATTTTGTACGTGACAACGTAGAGCCGGTTCTTGTAGCATTTCAATAATACGCAATTAAATGGATCTTAAGTTTTTGAATCACACAGACGCGAAAATATTGACATACAGTTCGCGATATTATTATTTTCCATTGTTGCTCCGTTCGACTTCTGTCAGCGCAAAACCAGCGGGTTGCATATAAATTAGCTTCTCAGGAATATTTAGGCTGTGCACGTGACCAGCCGATGCCAGGGCCTTTTCCCGCCCCACCCATTTAAGGGAAAAGCCCTGGGGACGAGGTTGCCTGATTAGCAAAGAAACATTCAAAGTCCATCAAAAAGACACTCTGGACTTGGCCATACACTCTAGCTAGGCAGAGAATTCAAGGCCATATCACCCCCCCTGGCTTTCTCCCCCACCCCAGCCTAGCACGTGCTTGAGAGGAATGCCTTCATTGGCCAATGGGCCTCAAACATTAAAAGAATTTGACATGATAAACTTAAGGCAGACATGATGACTCTGCCAGAGCAAGACTAACGGACAGTACCACGCTTTTGCAGCACCTTCCTCCTCTAGGTATTGACATGGAGGCCCCCTCCCAGCCCATGGCGAGTTAGCTCGGGGACTGAGCTTGACAATGAGACTAACCAGGACAGCAAGCCCCCTACGTTTTTTCTCACCGCAGTGACCAGAAACCTGGCTATCGCCAGGTTCCTCCGCGAAAATTCTGGCCCGTTTTGAGGTATGTATTCAAAAATTCGGCTATATATATATATATATATATATATACACTCGTTTTCAAAAAGGTTGACATTTCGGAAATATATATAAATATATATAGCTTTTGTTTTTTCTTTTGTTTCGCCCAAAGAAAGAAAAGATATATATATTTTTGAAATGTCAACCTTTTTTAAAACGAGTGTATATATATATATATATATATATATATATATATATATATATATATATATATATATATATATATATATATATATATATATATATATATATATATATATATATATATATATATATATATATTGGTCGCCATATTCAATTTTATACGGCTCATAAGCAGGTGGGATGTAATCTTTCCGGTGAGTGTAACCGAGACCGCGCCTGAATAGGACTGTTGTTGACAGTGACGGCTAGTTGACAACCTGTGCGGTAGTCATCTGATGGTATTAAACTCTGGTTATTGATCTGATTGGTCAATTAAGTCGCCATGTCGTTGGTCCTGTCAGTTAAGCCGTGATGATATTGGCTAAGAAGACTCTAAATATGGTTGGTCCGCTTCAAACCGTCTATTGTCACAGTTTGACGGTCATTGTTGGTCAATTTGTGGGTTACCCAGTCATTCATTGTCAGCTTTGCTTACGTCCGTCAATAAGTCGTTCATTTTACACAGCTACTCGTCAGATCCTCGACTTTTTTGGAATTCAACGAGGTCTTCAACGAGGTGGATACATTCACGTAGCCGATGAAAACCCCTTCAAAGCAGGTATCTCCTGAAGTATATTCTGACGTCATCGCGAGACGATTATAAGGAAACCAGGCTTAAAGACACAATACAAGCCATGAATATTTTATATTCTCTATAACTCATCCACACAAACCTAAAGAACAAAAACCGACCGCAACCATGGCGTACACCGGATACCCGGTACTAATTTTACTTAAAATTCGAAAACTGCTTCTTTGAATTATATCTTCCAAGATAAATATATTTTTTAAAAAGTTACATAAAAAAGCTGAAAACAATGTTCTATCACGTGATACTTGCTTTAAGATAGTTTTTCGACAATCCTCTTACATTTTAATATCCTGATAAGTCACTACAAAGTTTTCTCGTGTTTTAAAACGTCACTTGTTACAGTGAATCCAGTACCGTTGCAAATCGACAAAGTTTTCTACATATTTTTACTTGTTTTATACAACGTTTCTGAGCTTTATTAGCCTTATAGAACCAGTCAAAAGCCAAGATGTCTTGGGGGCGGAGTCACACAATAATAAAAGGAGTTGAAAGGTGGAGCTGGTAGACTCTGTGTCAACACTATAGGTCCCATTTATACGGAAAACTGTCCGGGGTTCTCGCCCACCCGAACTATCCTTGGCGGGCCAACTTTTCATTCTTTTCCTCTCAAAACGTGCATGGGGAACCGTTAAAATGAGAAACAAAAGGTTGGCTCGGCTAAAACGGTGAACCACCTAGTCGGGACAACTTTCTCCATACAAACACTTTGGCTCGCCCAGCTGGGTCAATTCAGTCTAGGCGAAACAATCTGAGCATACGCTAGCGCCGTTGGCTCGGGGAAGAGGGTAAACTCTCTCTGTGAGGGTGACCATTGTACCCGGGAGAGGTTTCCTCCATAAACGGAGCCTCAGAGATTTTAGGCCGTGGAATTGAATGAAAACTTAATGTCATTGTGACCACGAGAACAAGGAGAATCACACTTTTTTGGCCCGTCTTCATGCCTTGACGTATTGTCAGCCAGAAAATAGACTATGTTAGTGTCTCAACGTTTTCACATATCTTTTGTTTCTTCGTGGTATTCATCGGTTACGCTCATCACAGCCTCATACCACAGGCCACCACTGATAGTAAACGTGCGGTGGATTGGCGGAGAGTCGTAACGAAAGACATGCGGCTGGTATGGCTTGCACCAGAAACCACCAGAACGATCATATTTGCAAATGTCCCCCCAAAAGGGACGTCGCACTTGAAATTTAACTTCGATATTCCGAGCAACGTACGGAATATCAACTGAAGATCCACTGTCGCGAACTTCTTCAACAACCTTTTCGCCGTGTAAGAAATAGCTGACCACCATTTTGGAGAACCATGCTCCTTCAGATACGTATTTGACTTGACATCTTGCTTCCTCAAGAATGATTTTGCTGGCTCTTTCTTCTCCAAAATCACTCAGGTCGGAAGGCAGAAATTGGCTGAATGTTTCTTCGTTTTTAGGCGGTTGGTAATTGGAGGGCCATTTGCCAGTCCTGTGGCTGTCACGATCTTCTTCGTTTTCTTCAGGCAGATCAGAATTCTTTTTTATTTCTTTTGCAAATGCTGAGTTATTTTCTCTAACAGGTGGCTGGTATTTGGCAGAGCATTGACCATCCCTCCAGTTGTGATGTTCGTTGTCTTCCATGTACATTTCTAATCTTATTTTGCCACGACGTTCTTGACTCGTCATGTTTATAGCTCCAGTGTGAGCCGTATTTTGCAACTCTTTTTTCAACCTTGTATCCACCTTTTTTTCGTTCCATTTATGAGAAACAACTGTGGCAATGAATCGAGCAGCCCCCTTTAGGCCTTTTACAGCCAGGTCCTTAATTCCATCCATCACATGTTTATTAGGTCTTCGATTCTCAACAGAATCATCCAGTCTTTCTTCAGCAAACCGACACACAGTTCCGATAACAACCTCTGTTCCACTCTCGGTTAGCATTCGAGGAATACTTTGAGCCACAAAGATAGTGAAACGCCTCCCTCCTGTTACGATAATCACTTGTTCAACCGCATCTCCTCTAAGATTTGCAGATGCCGCACATGCTTGGCTTTCCACCAAGGCTTTAGAAACAGAACCTCCTGTGACCCTTGCAACAGCACCTATCAGAGCACCGCAGGCTACATGTCCACAAACCTGCTTCAAAGTGATCTGTTCACTATCAACAAACGTTCGCCCTACATCTAAAGCAATAGAAGTTGCAACACCACCTGCAGCACCAGTTGCAGCTCCAACGCCTATGTACTGACCGGCAGTGATGGCAGCTGACTCCAAAGCGGCGCTTCCAAGACCGGTTATCGCTGCCGTAAAGCCTGCAGCTGCACCTCCAGTAGCGGCTCCTCCAAGGAACCCAATCGCTGCTTTCATCAGCCATTCTTTGGCTAGACACTCGTCTACAATGGCCCGCTGATTTAAAGTGTGCTGCAAGGACTGCAATCCACTTCCGAGAAGTCCACCTCCAAAAACCGCTCCAACTGCTACCAGCGCTGGTGCTCCCAATCCAGCGGTGCCAACAGTCAAACCAATACCTAAGGCTGTCATCGCAAGTGACGCAGCAAACATACACATTCTTTTTCTGTAGGCCTTCTTCTGTTCTTCATTGACACACTCGGTATTGAAAATTGCTTTGTAACGACTCCAGGAAAGCCAACCCCAATCCCCATCGTAGTCAGTCAGATTGTTGTAACGCGCACGTAGATCTTCGTCTTCTAAGATTTTGTAGGCAAGGATGATCTCTTTGGCTATCTCTTCATCTCCACAATTGTTATCAGGATGCCATCGACGTATTTGTGTGTGATATCCTCTTCTGATCGCTTGTTTTTGTTCTTCCTTTGACATTTTACGTACCTTGGCCATGTAAAGCCCTAAGATCTCATACAGGTTACGTCCTCCGCTAGTGACTTTAAGCTCTTTGTCTCGTTGTAGTTTTCGAAGGCATATTTGTTTATCTTCAGGGTAATAGGCAAGATCTCCTTCAACGACATCAAGTGACTCTGAACCAAAAAAACCAGTTATCTTCAATAGTCTATCTTCCTTCCATTGTTGAACTTCTTTGAGAACCTGTTTTTTCTTTTTTGGCTTGTCTTGCTCGTCTTCTTTTTTTTTGTCAGTTTGGCTGTCATCTTCGCTTTTCTTGTCTTTCCGGTCATCAAATCTGGCAACCACCTCGAACTGAAATCTCTCCTTACTACGGTAGAGATACTTGTCGCTGGGATATATTATTTTCGATTCCTTGGATATCCAGCAAATGCGATCCCATTCGGCATACAAGTACAGTGTTAGAATAGCATCAGACGAGTCGTTCCGGATTAACAGTGATTTGTAGTCTTCATCTTGATCCATACCTGAGAAGGCTCTAAAAAATGATAAGATAATGAGGCCATGTTCACACTATATAACCAAATAGGTTTTGGTGCCGACACAATAAGCTATCTGGTGGCACGGTAGAAGAATAAAGTGAAGCAAACAAAGTTACCATTTGATGCAAATTTTTCTTCCTTCTCATTGGCCGAAAGCCCACCAAGTGACCTGCAAATAACTGCCTACAAATACTGGTCTGCTCTAGCCTGCGTATAAGGCGCTGTATGAGGCAAGCGAGGCGAACGCGGCATTTTGCGCGAGGCGCAAAAGGAGTGCGAAGCGCGAGACAAGGTGAGGAGAAAAATAAAGCTTTATTTCTCATTGTACGTGCAGATCAGTTTTTTACTTAAAAGCATGAAACATGAAACTAACATAGCAGAAGGGTTACATGTGTTTTATTCTTATTAGATATACACGTCTCCGGATTCATAGCTTATTCACCACAACCCTCGCTAGAATCTATTCTTGTTTGCTCAGATGTGATCTACTCACCGAACTTAGCAAAGACCATCGGTGCGTGGTTCGACAATATCATGTCTATGGACAAACAAATAAACAGCATATGTCAGTCTGCTTTCTACCACCTACGCAACATTGCTCAAATCAGTAACCTTGTCTCTTTCCGTCATTGTGAAACTTTGATCCACGCATTCGTAACATCCAAGACATGACCACTATAATATACTACTCTCAGGTCTTAAGCAGGATCAAGTCCGAAAACTCCAGTATGTCCAGAATTCAACAGCCCGACTTCTAACAGGCACACGTAAACACGAGCATATTACACCTGTGCTAAGAGATCTACATTGGTTACCCGTTCACGAGTGTATTCGTTTTAAAATTTTACTAATGACTTAATCAACTAGCGCCATGCTACCTAAATGACCTCTTAATTCACTATAGACCATCAAAGACATTACGTTCGTCTGATGAAGAACTACTGGTACAGCCCTGCTGCCATCTTAAAACATATGGGGAGCGAGCTTTCTCCTTTATTGCCCCAAAACTATGGAATACCCTCCCCTTAAGTATAAAACGTTCCAACATACCGTTTTAGAAATTACTTTGAATTGTAAGAATCATTAATTATTACATTTTTCAGGCTTTTTTATGTTACTTAGTTTTCTTTATCATTCACTGTTGTAAAGCGCTGTTGGTTCAGTAGAAAAACAGCGCCATATAAGATTATTACTATTATTATTATTATTATTGTTATTCAAAAATTTTTATTCTGGAGAGCGGATTCAAAAAGTTGCGGATTCGTCTGCCGGATTTACCGGATACGTGTGGACGGAAACCGAATCCGGCCGTAAAGAAAAAGATGCGGATTCAAAAATATCCGGATACGTGTGGACAGGGCGTAATTAAGCTTAAGTTCTGTTGCAAGAGAGAAAATTTACATTTTAATCTTATACCTGTACATAAACAACTTTGAGAAATTTGAAAACTTCGAAAACCTTTAAGCTTTATTCCAGATTTTCGTGATAGACACCCCCAAGTAAACGCATTCTAAGGGCTTTTAACAGTCCTTTAAGTTCGAGAAAGAGTGCAAACGGTATTTCTACTGGGCTGCCTGTGGCACAGCCCCGTCATAAATTGGGCTCGGTTTTTCCTTCTGGCACAAATCGCACTCTGGCGTGTTCAGCGCTTGCGCAAGATATAAGTGTATGCGTAGAACTTGCGTAGAACGCGTAGAATAGATCAGCGGACTTCAGCAGAGTACATTCCGAGGAGCTCGAAGCGACACAAACCTATTGGCAATCTATCTTCGGTGGAGGCATACGAATGGAAACATACGAATGTAAACGCTGTTGATGGTTAGCTCACAGTAAAAGATTACAAGAGTACATTTTGGAAGTGGTATAGTTCATGAACTGTACTATGTGAGAGACTAATTTACAAGCGAACTCTTCCGAGTGAGTCTTCTCAGGAAACCTTGTACAGTAAGTGAGCTACCTACTGAGTTAGAAGCGCTAAAAGAATCACCCGAATTAACTGTTAAACTCAAACTGTTCGGTACGTAAACATTACGAGCAACTGGATCACTGAAATTCAACAGCGTTTTTGATCAACACAACAGCCTCATGGAAGAATTCAGTTCTTCAAAAGCCAGTTTTTAGGTAACAACATCCTTGCTTTTACATTTAATTTTGTATTGATTTCATTGATTTTATCTTTCTTTGTTTTTATCATCATTTGTGCAATTATTGTAATCGCGTATTAAGTGATCAATCTTGTAATGCCGTATGTAGATGTTTATACAGAGGCTGTTGTTATTTCAGTATGTATAAACCCCGGGGGGGGGTACTGCCATATATGGACTATATGGGTATGTGCCGCTGTGAAGGGTATGGTTTTCAAGCAGTTTACTCTAGGATAGGGTATATAAATCAGAACGTTTGGGTCTAGAATAGGGTATCATTTTTCAGGAAACTGATCAGTTGGTTGAAGATTTTATCTAGGCAGGAGCCCATCTGATCTAGACTGGGGAAACAGCTACTCTAGGATAGGGGGATTTTGGGAGTTTACTCTAGTATAGGGTAGCAAAATTCAGCTGAACTAGCTCTGGTATAGGTCAAGGGTTCCAGGGTCCCAGCGGCACATCCCCACCTAGAAATTCCTAAAGTGCCCCCCCCGGGGTATAAACAAGAGCCATAACCTGAAATGTTTGCAACGATTCCGAGGTAACAATAAAGGTGAAAGAAGATATAAGATCTTGCTATGCAAAGTATGTTTCAGGCTTGTTAGGAAAGATAAACAACGTGATCGTGAGCCTAGTCCTTTTGGGCCTTTTTACTGACCCAAATGACGCATTTTCCTACCCTTCCATATACTTCAGCTAGTGAAATCTCTACTCTTTTGTATACCTGCAGCCTAAAAAAGGTACCCCTTTCGCGCGGAGCCTTCCCATATAGGTCAATTTGTGGAGTACCCCCAAGGATAAAAAGCGCCAGCTGGCGCCATCAAGATCATTCTCTCTTAGCGCCATATATGACCTTCGGAATGAACACTCTTATCTTATGCACACGCTAGCCTGTAAACAGACGTCCCTTCTATGATAGTTCAAAAAATTGAATGAGTTCATTTTCATCCGGTCGATTCGCAGTGTATAAAAATACTACTGATAACAAACCAAAACGTTTTCTTCGCTTAAAAACTCTGTCCATGTTGAGCCAGTTTCGTTTAGTTTAGACAATTTAACTCTGTGCGCCGCTCTAACTACAGCTCAATGGTATTGAAGGCGATTAAAGAAAATTTCAGATGCGCTGAAGTTTTTTTCCTACGAAAGGGACGATTTTTTATTGTTTTCCTCAAATATAGAGACAAGCTGTCAACAAAACAAAAAAAGTTCAGATGAACTAGAGATAGCGTGTGGCACGAAATTTTTCCGGGTTCTAATTTTTACGATTTTTGCGATTTTTCCAGCGATCCGCAAAAATAATTTCCCCCCAAAAAAATTAACGAAAACATTTTTCCTGCAAATATTTACTCCAGAATATCAAATACATTCTGCCTAAAATCTACTACACAAAAATACAGCACTTCAATTCAGAAACAAAACGGTATACAATGAATTGGTTTTGCATAATGTACGCATACCGTAGTACTGTTTGAAAATCTGTACTTCTATTACACCCTGATTGTACGTACTTAACAAGAAAGAAAATATTATCAATGCTAGGTACTGGGTACTTTTTGAAAATTAATTCTCAGCAAGAAAAACCAATGTGTCCTAGTGTGGTAAATGCCGTACGACCGTTCTTTACGTTATCACAGTTTTAAGCAAAAACAGGGTTTATTTCACAGCTTCAATCCTCGCAGTACAATGGCTCGCTCACACACTACACGAAATCGTGACTTCTTGAATCTATAAATAAGCTTTAGTTTTTAATCCGATCTGTAAGCAAGTTCTCTTTCGCTCAGTTATATTGTCAATTTAATTGAATACTTCGAATCTTTAACCCCGGAATCTGTAAAATCTGACAGACGAGGGAAACTATTAATAACAAAGTTTAAAAAATCACGCAAAAAAAAAAAACGCAAAAATCATTTCTATCTAGTCTAAGTCTTATGGCATCCCAGTATTCTGTTGTCTAGTTTATAAAGAGAAAGCTTATGATCATTGCTATTGAATTCGGGACAAGTCGGGCGCGACGTCTGAATCAAGGTGGAGTTGTTTAGCATACCTCAAGCACGACAGAGCTTGTCAAGCCTAATTACTTTTTGGCATAAAAGTTCATTCAGACCTCGGGCTAGCGTTGTGCTTACATCGTTATAAGGACCATTTCTTTCGAAAAAGTGGAAACGAATTGTTGAAAAGTGCAAAGTATATTTTGCAGGCCTTTAAATTAGAGACAATTTGGGTGACCTCAAGTCCGGGGGGGTACTTCGTTATAAGAGGGATGTGCCGAGATTTTCAGATTTTTGGGGTAAGACAGTTCTTCGTATTAGCAGTTAGCAAACGTACCAGAATGTTTGTACTGGTAGTGAAAAGTAGAGTGTTCTTCATTTGATATAAGTTAGATACATAAAAAGAAAGTGACTAGGTTGGGAGCGCAAAAATTACATATTTTCCCAAGAGTCTATAATCTATAGGGTCTATAATCGGCCACAGAATAGACTATAATGGGGTACGGGCTCTGAGAGGCCAGCGGCACACACACCCAGCAAAAATTAACCAAAGTAGCCCCCCCGGGCCTCAGGTATCTTCTCGTGTTGACACAAATATTTCAAGGGTGAGCGCAGCTGAATATTTAAGCAAAAACAATCTTTAAAATTTGCTCTTACAGCATTTCAAACTTTCTACTACTAAACTAAGAGAGCGTTATAAGAACTGAGAACTTCTTAGCCCAGCTTTGTTTCAGGATTGAGTATCCTTTCTTTAAATAAATCCTTACTTCCTTATCATATTCAAGCATTCACAACTATATCCTCGTCTCACCACATATAGGGTGAATAGTATGCGGTATAGGGGCGAATTTTGTTGTTTCCTTTGTTCGATTAACCCAGCTATACCAGGATGTTATTTTACTCGCTGGGGGTCTTTTCCTTAGGTCCCATCTTTTCTTACATTTGCAACTAAAACTTACATCCGAAAGACTTTTGGAGAGGTAAAAGCTTGAGCCAGCACCAATACCAAGCATCTAAGTCGTTCCTACTTTAGGTAATGCTTACTAACCTGATAGTGGTCGTTCTTTTGCACACAAAGTAAGCGGCACTGGCTTGCCTAGATATTCACTGACTCGTGGCCTTTTGTCTCTTGTCTGTCATTCGTAAACAATAGCTAAAACGATGTAACTACTTCGTCGACCAATCAGCGCTTCTAACCGGACTCCGAACAGATTTTACGTCATCAGGACGTTCCTTCGCCCGAAACGTCTCCAGCGGCGAAGAGCGAGGAGAAACGGATGTCTTTGCAGGCTACACTAAAAACGGCTGTGTGGCAGACTACGCGTTGCGCTCATTATTTGCAAAGGGATTGCAGTATTGGAGTCAAAATCTCACTTTGAGATGAAAAATTGAGATTTTCTAACGGCTGGTAGCCGTGTTTAATTCTGACACACCGTGTAAGCCAAAGGCAAAGGCCATTACGGGCGAAACACGAAACCTCTAATAGGTTTATGCAAATGTGCAACATATTTTTTCTCTTTTTCCAGGAATGTTTTTCGTTCAGGAACGGTTCATTTGCTTTTAAGATTTATTCTTGATAATTTCAAACTGCATTACGTTTTCTTAACGTCTAATACTTGCGATGAATATTTAGCTTCAAGCTGTTAGACAATCGCTAACCCGGATGCCAGAGACTTTTTATGCGCGGTTTCCGGTTTCGGTCAAACAACAACAACAACAACAGTTTATTTCTACTACTGTAGACAACTAAAAGAATTCACAAGAATATAATTATTAACAAATAAATATAAACAGTACATACAGTTGTGGTACACCCAAAATAACTAAAAAGCTAAACTAGTTGGGTGACCGAAATTATGATAATTAAAACTGTGAAAGTCAGAAAATAGGCACAACAAATACATTGGTACATATAAATATCATAACATGGCATAAAAGTAAATAAACAGAACAAAACAAAAAATAAAGAAATAAGGAAATAAATATAAACCATCAAAATATAACATTCTTGAGATTAAACTTCCTTTTATATGACCTTCAAGATGACGTTTCAAGATTATGGATAAATTGTAAGGCAGTAAAATAACTGAAATAAGGGCTACAATTCGTTAATTTTTTATTGGAAGTTTCGTCATTACAACTGAAAGTCTCTCATTATTCAAGGTATTGTCTCCAAGTTTCATTTTCACGTGAACAGCAATAACTAAAAATGCTAGCAATAACTAAAAGTGCTAGCTATTGTTGTGCACGAAAATATGAAAGGACGGTTAATCTCATGAATCTTAAATTTCTTAAAAAATTCTGTCGAGCAGTTTAAAAATTATTCACTGATTTTGTAAAGTAGACCAAAATGTTGACAAACCGCTTACAAGAGTGCCTCGATACATACAAATCAAATCTTTCTTTCTAGCAATCGGCGGGAGCTATCTCCATGATCTTTCACGCACGTTTTTAAAAAGATTGAAACTACTATGAGGTGAAAGTGCATGTCAAAAGCGCTTCGTTTCCTACAGATAACAGCCGAACATTAAGATTGTCCATTTTTTACCGTATTTCTAACCATACAAGCTTTATCCCAAAATATCTCGATAACGCTCTTACAGATTTCGCTTAAACTTCACGACCATCGAGGCGGCTATTGGAGAAAAAAGCTCCCGTTAACGATTTTAAAAGAAAAGTTCCGAGTGCCGAGAAATACTGCGTCATTTCGTTGCTATGACAACTCCGATGTCATTGTAACCCTCATCATAACAAAATTTTCATCTTCATCTGATACAACTTTGGAGGCGATATTTCCCAATCTTTGTTTATGGCGACGTAGTTTATGCTCAAACTTTGGAGGTATAGATCCTGAAAAACTGTATCGAGCCACCTTAACAAGATCGAGTAGGGTATCGACAAAAAGCTTTTCCTCTGTCAACGTAGAAAGTGTCGGCGAAAGGTGACTGAAAATGTCGATGAGGGCCAAGTTTCATAATTAGTATTTTGTAGCCGCGATTTTAACTACTTCACGGCTACAAAAACTCGCTTAAGCTCTGACCTTTGGGGGTCTATGGGCTCTTGTACGCCTTTACCTGGCTTCTCGTTCTTGGCTCTTTATATTGTAGCTGATTTGATCTCTTCTCTAGAGATCCAACGTTTACAACTAGCAGGATCTTCGTCCACGGTTTTTGCAGTTAATTTAATCCTTTTTAAAGCCTAGTTTGCATAATTATCAGCATCATCTCGATCGCTTTTGTGATCGTCTCCCAAAAATTAAGGCCCCGTACGTACGTATCCATTTTTGTTTGAAACGGGGATTTCTCAGTTTTCAAAACAAACATGCGTCGGTACATTGCGTTTATGAATCGTTTTGACCAGTCTGCACGCGCGAAAACGCAATGGTGACTGAAATGGTACAGTACAGTACAGAAGTTTTATTAACTCTCCACAAGGCTTTCAAAGTCAATTTACAATTTATGAAGAAAAAAGGAAAATAAGAGTATAAAATTGCAATATAATATTACAGGCAAATATGTTAACCTAAGAGATATAGTTTTTCAGAACTCTAGAGTAACGTAACTTAGACACAATACATCTGTTACCTAGATACTATCTCTTAACGCATCACTATATTTACTGCCAGTTTTTAATTTTAACGGTCAATCGTTGAAGTTGCCTGATGAGTGTGGTCCTACAATCTCGGACCATACGAAACAGCACTGTCGCAATAAACGATCAATGATTACTTCTGAAGCCTGAAATCCTGTGATTATTAATAGTTTTACATATATCTATACTTATTACACAACAACATCGAAAATTATTATTGGTTAGACTACCAGTAGTCTCCCATTTTTCCTCAGGGATAGTAGAGGGAGCAAAACGCGAGCGCGCGTGAAAATCAACCCACGCGAGAAAAGGCGACACGTGGGGTGATTTTCACGCGCGCTTACGTTTCGCTCCCTCTACTATCCCTGAGGAAAAATGGGGGACTACTGGTAGTCTACACATACTCTGATGTTATCGAGACGATTATAAGGAAACCAGGCTTCACGACACTATGCAAGCCATGAATTTTAATATCCTGATAAGTCACTACAAAGTTTTCTCTTGTTCTAAAAAATCAGTTGTTACAGATAATCCACTACTGTTGCACATCGACAAAGTTTTCTACATATTTTTACTTGTTTTATACAACATTTGTGAGCTTTTAATGATATATGAAATAAATCTATAAAAAATAAAATAAATTTGTTAGCTTTACTAGCCATACAGAACCAATCAAAAGCCAAGGAGTCACACAATATAAAAGGAGTTGAGGGGTGGAGCTGGTAGACTCTATATCAACACTACAGGTCCCGTTTATACGGAAAACTGTTCCAGGTACCAGCCTACCCGAACTACCCCGGGCGAGCCAACTTTTCAATCTTTTCCTCTCAAAACGTGCATGGGGAACCGTTAACATAAGAAACAAAAGGTTGTCTTGGCTAAAACGGTGAACCGTTTAGCCGGGTCGTCCTCCTAGTCGGGACAACTTTCTCCATACAAACACTTTGGCTCGTACAGCTGGGTCAAGTCAATCGGGGCCAGACAACCTGAGCGTTCGCTAGCGTTGTTGGCTCGGGGAAAGGGGTCAACTCTCCCTGAGTGAGGGTGGCCATTGTATCCGGTACAGGTTTTCTCCATAAATGGGGCCTCAGAGGTTTTAGGCCGTAAAATTGAATGAAAACTTAATGTCATTGTGACCACGAGAACAAGGAGAATCACAGTTTGTTGGCCTTTTCTGAACCGTCTTCACGCCTTGACGTATTGTCAACCTGGAAATGGACTGTGTTAGTGTCTCACCGTTTTCACATTTCTTTTGTTTCGTCGTGGTGTTCATTGCTTACCCTCATCACAGCCTCCTACCACAGGCCACCACTGATAGTAAACGTGCGGTGGATTGGCGGAGAGTCGTAACAAAAGACATGCGGCTGGTCAGGCGTATACCAACGGCCAAGAAAACGGTCATATTTGCAAATGTCTCCCCAAAAGGGACGTTTCACTTGAAATTGAACTTCGATATTCCTAGCAACGGACGGAATATCAACTGAAGATCCACTGCCGCGAGCTTCTTTAACAATCTTTTTCTCGTTTAGGACATAGCTGACGACCATTTTGGAGAACCATGCTCCTTTAGATATGTATTTGACTTTTCCGTTTGCTTCTTCAAGAATAATTGTGCTGGCGTTTTCTTCTCCATAGTCATTCGGGTCGGAAGGCAGAGATTGGCTGGATGTTTCTTCGTTTTTAAGCGGTTGGCAGTTACTTTCTTCTTTTTTTTCTTCAGGTAGATCACGTTTCTTTTTGGATTCTCTTGTGAGTTCTGAGGTGTTTTCGTTAGACAATGGCTGATATTTGGCAGAGCACACACCATCTGGCAATTTATGCAGATGTTCGTTGTTTTCTGTGTCCATCTTGAATCTTATTCGGCCACGGCTTTCGTGTTGTGTGACTTCATCCGTTTTGCTCATAGCTTCAGTGGAAGGCGGATTTTGCAACTCTGTCTTCAATTCTCGATCCACCTTTACTTCGTTCAATGCATGAGAAACACCTGCAGCAGTGCATTCTCGAGCAACAACCATTACGGTATTTGCAGCCACGTTCTTAATTCCATCCACCACATGATCACAAGGACTTCGATTTTCAACCGAATCATCTAGTCTTTCCTCAGCAAGTCGAGACACAGTTCCCATCATAGCCTCTGCTCCCTTCTCGGTTAACATTCGGGGAATGTTTTTAGCCAGAACATTACCGACACGCTTTGCTCCAGTTACAATAGCTACTTGTTCAGCAATCTCACCTTCAAGATTGGCAGATGCGGCAGATGCTTGGCCTGCCACAATGGCTTTAGTGACGGCCCCTCCAGCGATCCCTGTAGCAGCACCTATTACACCGCCGACCACTGCATGTCCAACAGCCTGCTTCCAAGTGATCTGTTCACCATCAACAAACTTTCGTGCTGCATCTGAAGCAATAGAAGCTGCAACACCACCTGTAGCACCAGTTGCTGCTCCAACGCCTATGTACTGACCGGCAGTGATGGCAACTGACTCTAAAGCCGCGCTTCCAAGACCGGTTATCGCTGCTGTAAAGCCTGCAGCTGCACCTCCAGTAGCGGCTCCTCCAAGGAAGCCAATCCCTGCTTTCATCAGCCATTCTTTAAACAGACAATCGTCTACAATGGCTCGCTGATTTAAAGTGTGCTGCAAGGATTGAAATCCACCTCCGATAAGTCCACCTCCCAAAACCGCTCCAACTGCTACCAGCGCTGGTGCTGCCAATCCAGCGGTGCCAACAGTCAGACCAATACCTATGGCTGTCATCGCAAGTGACGCAGCAAACATGCACATTCTTTTTCTGTAAGCCTTCTTCTGTTCTTTATTGACGCACTCGGGTTTGAAAATTGCTTTGTAACGCCTCCAGGAAAGCCAACCCCCGTCGTAGTCAGCCAGATTGTTGTAACGCGCACGTCGACCTTCATCTTGTAAGAGCTCGTAGGCAAGGATGATCTCTTTGGCGATCTCTTCATCTCCACAATTGTTATCAGGATGCCATCGACGTATTTGTGTGCGATATCCTCTTCTGATTGCTTCGTTTTGTTCTTCCTTTGACATTTTACGTACCGTGGCCATGTCAAGACCTAAGATCTCATACAGGTTACGTCCTCCGCTAGTTACTTTAAGCTCTTTGTCTCTCTGTAGTTTTCGAAGGCATATTTGTTTATCCTCAGGGTAATAGGCAAGATCTTCCTCAACGACATCAAGTGACTCTGAACCAAAAAAACCAGTTATCTTCAATAGTTTATCTTCCTTCCATTCTTGAACTTCTCTGAGGACCTGTTTTTTCTTTTTTGGCTTGTCTTGCTTGTCTTCTTCATCTTTTTTGTCAGTTTGGCTATCATCTTCGCTTTTCTTGTCTTTCCGGTCATCACATCTGGCAACCACCTCGAACTGAAATCTCTTCTTACTACGGTAGAGACACTTGTCGCTGGGATATATTATTTTCGATTCCTTGGAGATCCAGCAGCACCAATGGGGATACACGTACAGTGTTAGAATAGCATCAGACGAGTCGTTCCGGATTAACAGTGATTTGTAGTCTTCATCATCATCCATATCTGAGAAGGCTCTAAAAATGATAGGATAATAAGGCCATGTTCACACTATATAACCAAATAGCTTTTGGTGCCGACACAATAAGCTATCTGGTGGCACGGTAGAAGAATAAAATAAAGCAATCAAAGTTACCATTTGATGCAAATTTTTCTTCCCTCTCATTGGCCGAAAGCCCACCAAGTGACCTGCAAATAACGGCGTACAAATACTGGTCTGCTCTAGCCTATATATATCAGGCGCTGTATGAGCCAAGCGAGGCGAACGCGGCATTTTGCGCGAAGCGCGAAAGGAGTGCGAAGCTCGAGACGAGGGGAGGAGAAAAGTAAAGCTTTACTTCTCATTGTCCGTGCAGATCAATCTTTTACTTAAAAGCATGAAACATGAAACTAACATAGCAGAAGAGTTATACGTATGTGTTTTATTTTTATTAGATATACACGTTTCCAGATTCATATAGCGAATTCAAGAAGTTTCACTCTGGAGAGCGGATTCAAAAAGTTGTGGATTCGTCTGCCGGATTCACCGGATACGCGTGGACGGAAGCCGAATCCGGCCGCAAAGAAAAAGTTGCGGATTCAAAAATATCCAGATACGAGTGGACAGGGCGTAATTAAGCTTAAGTTTGTTGCAAGAGAAAAAAATTTACATCTTAATCTTATACCTGTACATAAACAACTTTGAGAAATTTGAAAACTTGGAAAACCTTTAAGCTTTATTCCAGATTTTCGTGATAGACACCCCTCAGTAAACGCATTCTAAGGGCTTTTAACAGTCCTTTAAATTAAAGAAGGAGTGCAAACAGCATTTTTTATAAAAGAGAGAGCTTATGATCATTGTTATTGAATTCGGCATAAGTCGGGCGCGACGTCTGAATCAAGGTAAAGTTGTTTAGCATACCTCAAGCACGACGGAGCTTGTCAAGCCTAATTACTTTTTGGCATAAACGTTCATTCAGACCTCGTTCTAACGTTGCGCTTACATCGATATAAGGACGATTCGTTTTGAAAAAGTGGAAACGAATTCAGTGCAAAGTGCAAAGTATATTTTGCAGACCTTCAAATTAGGTCAACTGCGGCATATTCTCGTGTTGACACAAATGTTTCACGAGTGACCGCAGCTAAATGTTTAAGTAAAAACAATCTTTAAAATTTGCTCTTATACAGCATTTCAAACTTTCTACTACTAAACTAAGAGAGCGTTACAAGAACCGAGCACTTCTTAGCTCACCTTTGTTTCAAGATTGAGTATCCTTTCTTTAAATAAATCCTTACTTCCTTATCATATTCAAGCAGTCACAACTATATCCTCGTCTCACCACATATAGGGGGAATAGTTTGCGGTATAGGGGCGAATTTTGTTATTTCCTTTGTTCGATTAACCCAGCTATACCAGGATGTTAGTTTACTCGGTCAGGGTCTATTCCTTAGGTCCCATCGTTTCTTACATTTGCAACTAAAACTTACACCCGAGATGCTGAAAAGACTTTTGGAGAGGTAAAAGCTTCAGCCAGCGCCGACCCCAAGCTTCTAAGTCGTTTACTTTAGGTAATGCTCACTTACCTTATAGTGGGTCGATCTTTTGCACACTTCTGATAAAGCTTTGAGTAAGCGGCACTGGCTTGCCTAGGTATTCACTTCATAGGCCTCCTACGTTAAGTGTGTATTGATGTATCTCGTTGCTTAGTAACATGCCTACAATAGCCCAGGTTCAATATATTTAATTAATATATTTAATTCTAAAGCCCCGTGTAAACGGACGCAACATTGTTGGCCAACAACTCCCAATATTGTTGGGTGTTACATATTGCGTCCGTTTGCACACCCTGTTGCATATTGTTGGATGTTGTTGCGTGTTGTTGCGCAAAGTTTGAAACCGTTTCAGCCAACAACTCCCAACATTTCTTTTGTTCCCTGATCGCCGAAGCGTAGCGCAACAATGTTGGATCCGTTTGCACAGCTCTTCCAACATTGTTGGGGCCACGCACGCTCATTACGCATGGTTTACAAAGCCTTATGGGTTGTATCCCTCCCACGATGCACTGCAGGTCCCAACATTGTTGGGAGTTGTTGCATCCGTTTGCACACCACTGCCAACAAGCACGCAACAACTCCCAACTTTGTTGGCGTAACAATGTTGGGAGTTGTTGCGTCCGTTTGCACGCAGCCCAACATGACTCTGAGACTTTCTGATCTGGTCCATATTTGGTTTGATTTTCTTTGTACTCAGTTCTCCTCTGGGGATTGCGAGACAATGGAGTCGTGACAAATTTGCAGTTTTTACCCTAAAGCCCCGGAGTCAATTTAGAACACTGTTAATGAGGAGAGTGGGGTTGATATCTAAAAACATTTTATCATTTGTTCAAATATGTAAAATACGTTTAGAGAGAGTATTTCAAAACAAACAGTATTTGTAAACTGTTTCTCAATTTGGTGGACACCATTCTGTTTAGGTTCATATTCTTAATCTACTACCATTCCTCCTTTCTTTTTTTGGTCTTTCTCCCATTCCTTGGTGTGGACCTACTTTTCTTTAATCTAACACATTGTGCCAACATTCGTCCAAAAATTGTCTCTGCATGGTTCGTACAATCTTGAAAAGGTCTTGAGTTTTAGTAGTCGTCTTGAAAAGCCCTTGAATTCAGTTAAGGTCCTTGAAAAGTACTAGATTTCGTTTTTACGTCTTGAAAAGTCCTTGAAATTCAATACCTTGTCCACGCCATATCATTTTCTGTGACAATTATTAGATTATTTCGCCGTGGAAAATTGGCTTGTCCTCGGTGTACCGTGAAACTCATGGATAACATTAAATTTTATTTCTGTTTCTTTATTTTGAATGCTATTTCTATACCTCTGATGCATCTGAAAGCCATACCCAGTGACTGTTGCCATTTTGCAAAGCTTTGTTACGGAAAGTAGTAAAAAACAAGAACGCTCTTACAGCGCGTGTACGTCTCGCTTGCTTAGAGATTAGATCGAGAAATGAGGAGGCGATTAATTCTACACGAAACAGGATTTACTCGCTAAAGGTTTTTTATTTCCTACTTTATCGACGTCGATACTGTTTATTTGTTTCTGAACTGATTTAGTACACGTGTTAGCGACGACCAGAAATACGTCTGCGGTCGCAGGCTATACGCGTGTACTGGAATAGACGAAAATTCAAGGGCCTCCATTCCAGAGAAATTACATCGTCGCCAAGGATAAAAAGATTGATTTACATGGCACGTCATTTCAATCATCGCCGAACGTAAACCACATGCTGATCACAAGGCGCATTTGCATTCAATGAAAGTTTACAACACCCGACCATAGCAGTTTTCCTTATTGAGATTCCTATTTTTTTCGACCACTCAGTAGTGTTCACTTGTTCCAAAGTAGTAACGCTTTGAAGCGATAGAATTCGTGGACCGACTCGTTTCGGAAAAGCTCTAAATTTAATCTTTCCTAAGCTTTCTTGGCAAGACATGCGTGGCTTCGATCACCCAACGATTCTTAGTCCCAGTTTCCACGGTCTCCGCAAGGAACGACTGGCACAATGACCCCCTTTTGTGTCCTAGATACGACAAAAATTAGGAGTCTCGCTGCTTACGCAAACGAGACTAATAATGTGATCAACCATGGCTGAAAAAGTAAAAATCGGAAATGACTTTAGTAGCTTCCAACAAGTGTTTTAGTCAATATGGTGTTTAAAAGAGGGTTGAAGAATGCCGTTTTATTGTATCAATCTTAGACCTTGAAAGCTGTAATTTGTCCTCGGGAAGTCCTTGAAAAGTCCTGGAAATTTGTTTGACTGAAGTTGTACGAACCATGTTTCTAAAATCATTAGTGGGAACGAGCTCGTCAACTATTTTATCCCTCGTTCTTAGAAACAGTTCCAAAAATCTTTGCGAAAGTTAACTTGACCAGTTTTCTTCGTTTCTAAAACGGCAAATTATAGCAGCTCGGTCCTCCAATCAGCAGGAAAACATTCTCTTAAATGTCTGTCAGATGTCATCTCACGGATAATTAGACTGCGAGCAGTCTCTCTTTTTCTTCAGATTTAGTAAGGGGAGTGCACATGCGCGCGAGCGTTGAGCGGCGAAGCCTCGAGACGCGAGAAATGAGGGCGTGCCCGACGGACAAAGAAAAAAGAGACTGTTCTATTTATTTATTTATTACAGATTCACTCCACTGCATAACAAGCAAATAATGAAATGAAATAAACTAACACTACTTCAACAAACAAAAACAAACAAAAAAACAAAACAAAAACAAAACAAAACAAAACAAAAAAAGTTGTGGAGAAGGAGACAACCAAAAGCACCAATGCGCCATACTAGGGATGCCCCCACTAATTAACATATTAGAAAAGTATATACAAATAGAAATATAAATGTTCTAGTTATCCTTAATAAAGCTTAGCACATTTCTTTTAAAAGTTGCAATACTGTTTGATTCTCTATGATTGGGTAAACCATTCCATTCATCTACAACACGGTCAAAAAAACTGTATTTAAAACCATCAGTTCTACTAAAATTTGGAACAAGGTCCTGTGTGTCATTTTTCCTCAAGTTATAACCTGTATTTCTGTCCTTACAAAATATGAGCTTATTTGAAATGTCAATATCATAATGTCCATCAATTACATTAAAAAAAATGTAACATCTCTAGTGAACCTCCTACTAGATAATGACAACAATTTTAGCTTAGATAGTCTAGTATCATAATCATCATCAGACCTAGTGATCCATCTGGTAGCTCGTCGCTGAACAGCCTCCAGTTTATCAATGTTACGTTTAGTATGAGGGTTCCAAGTTCGTACTCTAATGGATAATGTACTTGATTTACATGTCCAGTACACAGACTAAACATTTTGCTTTCATTAAGTTTCAAAACGCCTTTTAATTTTCGCCTTGAAACGAGAGGCTTCAGTTTTAGATCGGACATTGTTTGCATTATCATATGGCTGAAGTTTGTAATGATCCGACCAAACCCTTCCAGGAAACATATCGTAATTCGTCCCTCCCAAGGCGAAATACGAGTTCCGCTAACACTTCTGCGTGATAAGCTACTTCCCGCATGTGCGATTCTGAGAGCTCTTTCAGAGCGATGAGTGCAAGTATATATAACCCTTGTGTGACCTTTTCAAAACTAACTAACTGCACTTTGGAACACGAAACATTCGGATCGACTGCTTCGAAGGCTCTTCCCATGGGATTTTCTAACCAAAGGAGCGTTGAAAGTCAGCTTGTGACATACATAGGGGATGCATTCCTTTTTGTCACCAAGCCACACCCAGAACCCTTCTTAGGAGAAAGTGGTGTATGTGAAAGTCTAGGAAAGACAGAGGACGAAAATAATCTAGAAGGAAAGGGCAACTGTTTGTGAAGGGCAGTCTGAATAATGTTGTTGGTCAACGATCAAGACTCAACAGACTAAGAAATACTTTATTTTTAATTCAGTCTTTATTTCAGCATTTGATTTTAACTACTTAAGAGCCTGTTCTTTGGCAGCTGCACGTTGTCCAGTGTGGTTCTTAGCCAGGAAGTCTGTAAACTCCTGGTATGGGGCCTTGGTAAACACAGACTCCTTCCACATGTCTGGTGTCAAGTAGGAGTATGTCTTGGAGATAGCTGCAAAGGTTGCTTTGGCTAAAAAACACAAATCAAACAAATACCTTGTTGATTATACCTGTTTTTCAAATCAAGGCAGTGTCTTTCTTGGACACAAGAGATCTGCAGAACTTGTGCACTCTCTAAGAGAAACCTCACCTATGACTAACAAAGTGCAGGGCACAGAGCTGTACCCAAATTTCTGCAACAGCTTCTTAATCCTCAAGGTTCGTCAGGGTTGGTCATTTTTAGGAAAATGTTTGAAGGTAAATCTGTTGCAGTGATGGGTATCAAAACATTCTAATTGTTTCAAAAAACTGGGCACCACTTTTCAAGAACCAGATTAACTAAGTAAGTGGTCAGGCCTTGGAAACATAATATATATATACATGAATCTATCAACTGCAGTCTTAGCATAAGAAGCCATGTGATTTACCAAAATTCCCCAGGGTAGCAGTCTGTCCACGAGCTGAGGTATAACAATCCTCAATACCAGCCATCTGAAGCAGCTTCTTAGGGACTGGAGCAGACACAATACCAGTTCCTCTGGGTGCGGGGATCAGACGTACACGAACTGAGCCACATTTACCTGTCACCTAAAATAATTAAAGTGCAGTGCTGTCAACTCTCTTGGATAATCTGGGAGACTCCAGTTTTTTGACCGTATCTCCTGGTCTCCAGATTAGAGTCTGATATCTCCCGGATAATCGTCAAAGTTGCTATTTCTGTAGACTCGACTTTCCGACCATAAAATTTCAAATATTTTGCCTTGTTTGAACCACTGTTAACATGGATCGTTTCCTCATAAATTCTAGTGTGCCACTGATGTTATTTCAGCAATAATGTGGCTAAATATGAACTGTTTAAGTGCTATATGCATCGATCGGAATCAACAAGCATTTTTGGCACAAATGACGCCATTTGTTGTGCGATATCACGTTATATATCATTCCTTCCCTATTAGTTCTCAATATTTGATGACGTGGGGAGGTTGACAGCCCTGAAAGTAAGACTGACTGTTAACCAGAGGTTTGTGGTTTGTTGGGATTTCTACAAACTTATAAGAATGGTTGCAATCCAGAGAATGATCGATTCTAAAAATATCGCAGGTGTTCACAGTTTTCTTAATGAGACATTAGACGATTCTCAAGCAAATAACATAATCAAAAATCTAATCTTCTTTGTTTACAAATGAGTGTCCCCTGAATGAAGGTTGGGCTGGGGTTTGTTGAGATTTCATTTCAAAAAAGAAATAAATAAATAGAGTTTGAGAATATTAAGAGAGCAGTCACTACTTTTGACTCTATTATTGGGCTGGTGGCTCCTAAGCTAGATAAACACTCCCAAAAATATTTTACAAAAGAAACTGAGCAATCAACACAGCAACAATTAATTAACATACCTTGCAAGGGACAGTATGGGGTTGACCGATCTTGTTACCCCAGTAGCCACGACGAACTGGAATGACAGACAGCTTAGCAAGGATGATTGCCCCACGGATGGCTGTAGCCACTTCTTTAGAGCATTTGACACCAAGACCCACATGGCCATTGCTGTCGCCAATGGCAACAAAGGCTTTAAAACGTGTACGCTGTCCTGCCCTGGTTTGTTTCTGTACTGGCATGATTTTCAGTACCTCATCTTTCAGGGCAGATCCAAGAAAGAAATCAATGATCTCATGCTCCTGTAAGAGACAAGTGAAGTAACTGACAGACAGTGTCATTATGACCTAACAAATAAAATCAATGATATTTACCTTGATGGGAAGAGAGAAGAGGTAGATGTGTTCCAAGGTTTTGATCTTCATATCCTTGACCAAGCGACCAAGTTTGGTCACTGGAACCCACTAAAAATAAGACATATAATTCAGAAATAACAGATGTAAAAATAACACATGTTTTGCCTGAAAACAATACCATAATCCTCATGAGAAGCAAAGCACAAATACAACTCTGTAGGTAATCTAGCCCTTGTTCCTGTATTTTGCCAGATCCAAGATAATTGTTCACAAACTGAGACTGATTAAGCAAGGAACAGATGCTTTTTTGATTTTTAAAGAAATTGATGGAATCACGAAAATGGCTTTTACTCCCACAAAGAATCCTCTTACCCCTAAGACAGGACGTGAACAATCGATGAAATTGATAATCAATGGCAATCGATAACAATCAATGACAATCGATATCAATTAATTGATTGATGTTGATAATCGATGGACAATCGATCACCACACTTTTTGTGATTATTGATTATCATCGATTATCAATATCAATCGATAATCGATGGCAATCAATAACAATCGATGACAATCGATATCAATTAATCGATTGATATTGATAATCGATGGACAATCGATGACGAAAATTTTTGTGATTATTCATTATCATCGATTATCAATATCAACCAATGGGAATTGATGAAGTTGGCGACCACCCAAGTGTGATTATCGATTGATCATTGATTGGCCGATCGATGCTAATCAACAGTAATTAATCGATAGTCATTGATTGATCAATTGATTTTCTGATCATCGATTTTCATCGATTGTTCACGTCCTGCTAAGATCTGCATAGGATCCTTGTGCTCCAGTCATACTGGGCAGCAATAGGAAGCAAGATACAAAAACAAAAAACAAACTTGTAGAGGACCCTACCACAACTAACCCCGGGTGGGGAATCAAATCAAGGTGATTCTATCCTTGTAACAGACAGAAAATAAGACTTTTTACCTCCTTGTCATCTGCTTTACCCCTTCCACGACCGCGTCCTCGGCCCCGACCTCGGCCCCTTCCACGGCCTCGGCCACCGAATCCACCACGAAAACCTCCGCGTCCACCACCGGCTGGTTCCGAATCCGCCATTGCTGTAGGAAAACAAATTTCTGCTGTTAACTTCATTGTTATGTCAAAAGCGTCGATTACGGGAAAAACGAGTTTATCTGTCGTGACTTTTTTCGGATTTATTTATTCTTTCGACGAGATATCAACGGGAAATGTACATGTCAGTTTCGCAATCTTGCTCGTGCGTCCCCCCAACTAAAATTTCACTGAAAGCAAATTTATTGTCTTTAAAAGGCGTTTTAACGTGGTTGTAGCGGCACAAAAACAATTCAGATCCACTAAAAAATAATCAAAGATTTTTAAACAGGCGAAAAAGTCTTCGAACTGAGTATGATGAGGGCAGATGCGCTTCGATAACACTACCTACACCCTCGACATTACTTACGTGATGTCTCTGTCTGACTGAGAAGAACGAGGTAAGGCTTCGCGAGATTATATGGGAAAACAAATTATGGGATGTCGGACAAGGGCCTCTTCATTAGGGTGGGGAGGGAAAGGGTCTTTTGTGCCCTTGGTCATTTCCTTTTCCCCAGCAGCGGCTGGTCATTTCGAGCCTATTCATTTCAATCCCCCATCATTTTCTTAGAACTTCCAAAGTGTGGAAACAAATGCTAAGATTTGGATTTGCCTTGCGGAAGGAAGACTAGTACAGTTGAATTAAATGAAATATGAGTTTGATTATTGATTTTGTAGCTAGAGCTACTCACGCTTCTACTAGAAAAGAAAGGGAAAAATGAAAAGAGAAGGAGGCCACCTCAGGCTGAACAACAATTCGAAAAACGAAAAAAATACAGTGCACAAATCTACCTAAGCCTGCAAGCATGCTCCCACGTGAGAGTCACGCACGAACGACACGCGAAATGAGACGCGAGGGTATAAAGAAAGAGACGGACGGGGGGACGGGGCGGCTGGGGGGAGTGGGGTAAGAGCTAACAAGATATTTTCACATAATTCGTGAAATTATGAACTTTAAGGGCGCCTAACAAAGCAAGTTGGGTCTAGGGGCCGGTTTCTTGAGAGGCCAGGTAACTTTTCGGGCCCGAAATCTACGAAACTGTTAAATTCGATCAAATCCATGGATAGCTTTCCATTCCGGACCCTTTCGATAAACGGCCCGTACACCATTGCATTATCCTGGTATTGCTTCCTGTCTCATCTATAGCGTTTCAGCAGAAGTCTTTGTCCTTTGGTGGCTACGCTAACAATGGGCATTGGGGAGTGGGGGGCTGCTGAATCCCTCTCCAGGAGGACCACGCCCAACCCCAACCCCCAACAACCGGAAAAAAAGAAAGACACAGCAACTAAACTCCTTTTAATTAAATTATCAAAGAATGATTTATTTACATTTTTCTTTTCAAAATATGACTTATCTCTGTATTTTCTCCTGTCACCCCAAAAGCGATACCGCACAGGTTACAGTAGCCTGCGAGCAAGCTCTCCATTTATGGCGAGCGAAGCAACCTGCGAGAAAACGAACTCGCATCTTTTTTTTGCGTGCTGCTCTCGCCTGACTTCTCGCGACTCCCTCAAATGGAGAGCCTGCTTGTACGCTAAAATTACAGCAATGGCTTTTCTTTCACCGTAACTTTGAGGGAAATTGAAAAGCGACTATCTAGTCTTTTAGGCAAATAGTATACTGAACATCCTTTCTTTTCCACATGGGGCGGTAGCTAGGGAAGAAAAACTTTTGGGTAATCTAGTATCCAGATCTCCCACGGTCAGGAACCAACAGACGGACACTAGGGAAATATGGGTATGAGATTACCTTCCCACAACACCACGCGACCCACGCATTAACTATAGAGGGACAAGTAAACATCAGTTTTGAGAGAAAAATATCCGTAGTCTTTTTGAAATATTAAAAACCCAGTTTAATTCCACTAATAGGTAATGAATGCTGCAGGGCTTAACCTTAAAGCCCTAACAGTGGCAAATATCGGATTTCTCATTAAGAAATTACCGCTTTTTTTCCAACATAAGAGAAAAGAGAACAAAGAAAATGATCAGCAAGTCAAACAGTCTTAATCAATTTCTAATTAAATATCCTTAACAAGACAAGAAGTGTAAGGAGAACAGTTCAGGGCTTTGAGGCGCAGCACTGTCCTTTGTAACACTTGAAGTCCAAAGAGTTTCAAACTACCCACCTACCCCTCCCCTGAACCAACATTTTGCTCTAAGTGAAAAGTAAGTGTTATTGTTGCCTTAGGGGAGGGGTAGGTGGGCAGTTTCCCTAGAAATGTATAATGATCCAGAGTTTCTCTTACTAACATTAATGGATACTCAAAAGAAAAGGTTATGAGAATAAACAAAGTGATCACTAAAGGGAAAGTACTTTGGTCATATAACAAATTCTCTCCACTAATTTTATAAGAAATATATGGAGATCAGTCTGGAGAATTTGCATGTCAATATTGGGACTTAAAAGGTTAAGGTTAACAATTAAAAGAAACCTAACAGTTTTGATCCAGAAATAAAGAACAAAGCAAATCAAGGGCTTGCTCAAAAGCTTTTTTAGTTTTGGAAGAAGTAAAGGCTGTGCTCTAACTATTACTGAAGGCCCCTGTGGGCGACTTCCTACGGGGTAACTAGATTTCATAGGTTCAAAACTTTGGACTCCCCATAATTTTTGCTACATCACAGCCTTAGAAATTCCGAAAATAACAGATTAGTTGAATCATATCACTGCAAGTATCTTTGCATGAGTGGGAAGGCTGGGGGTACAAAGTAATCAAAGAAAGAAGGACTATAGTTATTTGAAGCAAGTAGGAGCATTATTACGTGCCCTGGATGGGATACAAGGCTATTCTAGGATTAGGAATACCATGAAAATTTTACGCAGCAGTCAGGAGCTTTCGGGGGTGAAAAGAGACATGAGAATTCACACAGGTTGTGGTGAACGACTCAAAGGGGGCAGAAAGGGAGGGGAAGGAGGAGGATGAGGGCGACAGGTTAAAGAACAGCTGTATATTCTCATGCCTGCCCTGATGGTTGGATTTTCAAATCTCCTCAACCTTCCAAAAGGAACATGATGCCAGAAATAATAAGTCCTCTCTTTGCACTGCAGGCTGAGGATAGACTTTAAAGTACTCCCTAATGTTTATATAAGGGCTTGAAAAATATGCAAGGGCAGACCATGAAAATGCCAGCTTAAGGAAAGAGAGATGCAGAAGGAAGAGAGAAGTCTAGAAGTCTGTGATATAAAATATTACTGTGGAAGGATGCACTGGCCTCCTACCAATAGCTTTCACAATCTTAAGCATAAAGAGCAAACAAAGAGACAACTGCACTTAACATGAAGTCTAAATGTTCACAACAGCCTTGACATGAGATTTAAAAAACAAAGTGAGGCGACAATGATGTGAGACAACTGTCTCTCTAGTGAACTTAGTGGTACCAACGGCATGACTGTGAATCCTATGTTGCGCAGACTTCCTATCTTGAGGAGACACAAACATCAGTAAGTCTAGAATTTTCTTTCCACATTTCCTGTCAATCCAACTGGTATTAGGTAGACGTCCACAACAAGGGAAGGTCCCATGCATATCTGGGCTAAGTACAGGTTTCACTGTATAAGAGAGCCAATTACTGGCTGAGAATGCATGAAAAAGCACCTCATTTGTGATTCCTGACTCAAAGCCTGGGTGCTACCACTGGGGACCAATAATTACACTGTAGCTGTGTGTTTTACCAGTGTCATGGAACTATGCTATAACAGGGATCTCCTCTTACGAGCTTCTTCTGTGCGAAACAAGCTGAGATGCCTAAAATGGCAACAGCTGAGTTGACAAATAATTGCGTCAGTTCTCCAGATAACTTGAGTTTAAAATCTTTATGACAAGCTAGTATCTCGTGTGTTCAACAGCTGCAGGGCAGGCCTTTGTCAACTGTCCATGGCATACATTGTAAAAGATAATTTAGTTATAGGTGTTATTACTAGTCCACTTCTTCAGATTCAATAACGGTTGACTGTGATGCTGATGCACCATTGCCATCATCCCCGCCCATCAAAGTCTGCATCAAATCACCTGCAAGAAAAGAAGAATGACAAGTTCATAGCATAAGGTTTTAGCCATTTGGGAATTGCTAGGGAAAATAAAACTGAAAATCCTGGATCCTCTCCTCATAATAACCTGCCAAAACATATACCAATCTAAAGCCTTTTTAGTCTTCTTTTCGACCCAATTCAATTTACACTAAAGCTGTTTCTCAAAAATGGAGTTGTACCAGTATTTTTGATATTGCTGTCAATGCTGGTAGGGTTATTCTACTTTTAAATACTTGAAAGGCTCACCTAAAATGCCCCCCATCATTCCTTTGTTGGATGGCTTTGGAGGAACACCAAAGAACAGCTGTCCAATCTTATCTAGATACTGCAATACAAAGTACCATGAAAGGGTGGTTATTTACAGACTGGGATTCATGTTGAATCATTAAGGATTGCTTTGACTATTAAAAATAACAGTCCATGGAAAAACTACATCAGAACCACTAGGTGACATAACATTTTAAGCGGTGGGGTGGGGGAGGGGACAAGAGGGGAGGGGTCCATGTCAACATTTTCACCCTAAATGCTATATAATGAGTACCCTCTTCCCTACATACTACTTCAAAAAATCGTGATAGTGTTACATGCCAATTGAGTGTTTGAAAGAGAAAAAAAGCAAACCCTCCATACCTCTTTATATACTGGATCCCTTTCAATGGATGGTTGATATTTTTCACACAACACTGTGAACTGACTTAAACTGCCTTTCCTGTAAAAAAAATACACTTGTAACTCTAACTTTGATCAACTTTAGTAGGCAGCATGGGTTATGCAGACAAACAAACATTCATTTTTAGGCAGCAAAGTTTTGCTTTCATTCAATTTTTTTTTATGAAAATGAAACTTATACAGAAGAAAAAGTCACACTAATCAATGACATTCTTACAGAAGCTGCATTCTTATAAGGACAAAAAAGAATCTATCTTTAGACCTTGTGGATTAAAAACTATGACCCTACTAACAGAAGCACAAACCTCTCTATGACTAGAAGCAGGAACCAAACAAAATTAAGAAGAGGTTTTTGATAAGGAGGTCCAAGTCCAGAGAAGTCTGGATGCTGAGCTGTGTACTTGAAAAACACAACATTGGCTGTAATGATGTTTTGTAAACAAAGAAACCTGAAAAGGTAAGGGATATTTCATCTCATTAAGTGTTGTCATTGCATTGTTGAACAACTGTTTACACATGTTTGGAAAGTGAAATTTGTGGAAGCAAATTAATATCATTATTAATGCTTTTAAACAGCACAGAAGTGCACAATAGCTACATGTCAGATTTTAGTTTTGCTGTGCTCTCACAAAATATTTTTAGGTTTTTATGGGGCATGGTCAACATGTATTAATGCACCAGATCTGCAGTTGACAAGCAAGACAAACAAACACCACCAACAAATTTTATTGAGATTTAAAATACAAGTAATTATACATTATTTTTCCCCCTGCAAATTGCTTACAAACTTATCGATATTAAGCATTAATAATAATAATTATCATCATTATTATTACTATAAATATTACGTACTGTAAAACTGCTTGAGTGACAAATAAGTCAGCTTCTCCTGGAAATCCCCGTGATGTAGCATTTTCCACCAGCATGGCTGCACACTGCTGTCCATCAGAAGTAAACAGGAAATGATACTGTGAATCACTGAAGTTCTTTTCTGTGAAACAATGAAAACCAGCAACAAGTTAAAATGAAACCACTAAACAAAAAAAAAGGGCAAATGAAATAACTTTTATTTTCAAAAGAAATGAAATGCATGAAGTCATCCAAAAATAGCAAGCTAAATGTACGTTGTTGTTAATAATTTGATCATTTATTACTGTCAAAAAAGTAAAAAAAAAATCTAACCCTTCCAAAATCTATGTGCACAAAGGAGATGTAACTCAGGATGGCCATATTTAAGGGATTGGTCTGTATCTGATGTCCATCTGAAAATTAAAATCAAAATTAATGTTTTTAAGAAATGCATAAAAGAAGAGTTTTCATTCCTGTTCAGAATTACATTGTGTGAAGTACCTAAACAGATTGTTAAACGAAGTAGCAATATAACAGTATATAATCAAACAAAGAACAGAAAAAAAAATTATGATAAGCTGTGCGGCACTTTAGAAAGTAAGTAATCTTCAGAACAAAGTACTGATGAACAAAATTGCCGCGTTGTAGTTTGAGTTTCTTTCCAAACGTTTCGGGCCTGGCCCTTCATCATTGGAGTCACATGCACAAGTACATTAGATTCTTGCAAGGTTTGCAAATGCCAACAAATACAAAAAATAGAAAAATAACTTTGCAGTGCACGCGCGACTCTGCACACAGTTTAGAGGAAATGAAAGTCGAAGTTTAAGCCGTGCGGATGACTGGTGCCAAGCCAAAAAACCAGGCTCATCTTCAGGAACTTCCATTGCCTATTTTCCCCCAAGTTCTTAATTCTGTGAACTAGAGCATAATAACATGTTCAGCAACAGGAAAACCCAGTAAGTTCTTCAAAATTTGTTTAGCCAAAAAATTTGAACCACAACATTCAGGTAGCTTGCCTGAAAATTACTGAGTGCCCCTTGGGATTTCAAAGGTCTCCTTGATTTGCTTCCTCCTAAGAGAGAGCAGGAGTGATATACTTGAAGAGGCAGCTGAAATTTAGGCTAACAATTTTACTCTACCTTTGGAGTTTGAGCAGAGATTTTATGAGCACAATTTGTAGTACGTACATTTGGTTTGTGTTTGATTTGCCATATATATTATGGAAAATTACATTTTATAATGGTCTTCATCATATCACATGGAATCTTTGACTAATGATGGACTCTGCAGTTTCTCTGACATTACTTATTCCATAAATGGAAGAAGGCACAATCTAAAATTAATGAACATAATACAGTAATACTTTTGACTTACTTTATAGCTTCTCTAATAAATTCATATCTGTTTAGAGATCCTGGTTCATAAAGCTCAAATATACTCCTAATCTTCTCAAGCGCACTGTCTCCAACAGGAATATGTGCTGTTCTAAAGCACTCAATCATTAACAAAGCTAGATCATTACCACTTCCATCCTGAAAGACAGCAAAAAACAGATTTTATTTCATTAAAAAAATAAAATATTTTTTGCAGACTGAAGTGCAATCAAAATGAAGAAACCACAGTTCAGATGACAGATCCCTTTTTAAATATTAACAAACGGTTGCTTATACGGATAAGTGCATGTCCTATTTTTTACGACTGGCGAATTCCCCCCCTCTTCCCGCCACAAATGTTAGTGTTATTGTTACAGTTGAGGAAAGGTACAAATCCATGCAGACTCCACAAGTATACCATCTACATCCATGTCACAGGTCAAAAATAAATTCAGGTTAAAATTTCTTAACCTAGTCTGGTTTTCGACTTCCTTTGTCGCCTAGTCCTAATTCATGAATAATTAGGTGAAATTTTTTTTTCTGAAATTTAACTTTGACTTGTAACATCTGTACACTGTATCTGTATTATCTATAGAGGTAAACAAGAGTAGAAGTCATAAGTGCATGGAATCAATCATATTTAAGGGAGTTAGGATTAAACTCAAGACAATAGTCTGCAATTACCTGTAGGCAACATGGGTGGATCAGTTGGTTTTGTTCATAGCTCTTATGTTATGGTCAGACTATCCTACCCTGTTTGCTTGACATTGTTAGCATCGTAACAGGCTTTCCTATAACCTCTGACTTAGCTTACAGACAGTTTCGACAGCCAGTCTGCTTTGTACTTTCGGTTACTTTCCTATGCTCATATATTATTAATGAACTTGATAAAGCTTTTAAAAAAAGGACAGACATGTGTCCTTCCAAACACTTGCTTAGTGGAATTGTTGACTGAGTGAAGCCTGAAACTCTGTTATTGTTATTACTGGTATTACCTGTTTGTGTTTAAGGAATAAGCATGCTCCATTATGTACAATCTCTATGGCATCTTCATAGCTTTTTTGAGATATATACCTACAAATAAACAGTGAGAAAATGAAACAAAAAGCTGGCTCATAAATGGCGTATTCTTCAGCTTCTTTATTTACGTGGCCATGTGGAGCATCTAAATTGTATCCAGACAGGTGCATTATGCCTTGCATCTCGACTGAGAAAACCTGGTATGGATCAGAACAAATCAGATCAATCCCCTGTACCCCTAACCCTAACCTTTTGCCATTTACAGAGTTTAAGTAGTTGATCTGATCCATTTCAATCCAGGCTTTGTTGACATGAAAAAGTATTAAACCAATCGATCTAGATAATTAAAAGGACTAGCAGCCAGTTTAGAGCCCAGACTGGTTTTAGAAGATTGTTTTATACCTAAAACTGCAAACATAAGACAGCAATGTTGTCAATCTGAAACTTGTTACGAAGATAAAATGTGCAACGTAATCGTGTACAGATGGTGGTCCAAAAACAGCTGACATGAATTTTTAATACGATTTATGATAAGGAAAAACCTGATCGACTCAAGTTAAGAGATAAATAACATCTACTTTAAACGGTTATCTAACGTGATACAAAAATAGTATCACCGGATCGGTATTGGCACATTTAACCTCCCACTCATGTATACATTACATGTTGGCACCGGAAAAACCGTCTATGAACTTGCACTTTATTTCACCCAGTAAACTGACAAAAACATTAAGGTAAACAAACCTAAAGTACAGCGTCCTTATAAGCTGATGAGCTTCATAATATTCGCCATCTTCGATCGTTTTGTTAAGCTTTTGGAGAATTCTTTGAGTTCCACCAACACTTTTCCCCTTGGCCGCCGCCATCTTCCTGTATGCGCGCGCCGCATGAGAGTTTCTGCTTCATGTAAGCGCGTCATACCATTTGGGTGTGCGATGGTTTTCGCTAACACAGAGTAGCGAAAGCGTCTTAAGGAGTCTTGGATAGTAAGAAATGCGCCCAAGAACTTTGTGTTCTTTAGACACCGGTTATTACGCGGATACTGTTGAATGGTGTCCTATAAAAGGCTTTGAAACCTATCTTGTTTGTGGAACCTATCAACTTCTGGAGAAAATAAGCACAAGTGACAGTCAGTCTGATAGTAACATTCGAGTGGGCAATGTTCAACTGTATTGCCTTGATGAAACGCTTCAGAGGTAAGAAATTATCATCGTTGTTTGCTATTTGTTGTAGTTTTTGCCAGTAATTATAAGGAATAAGAAAAAACGCCAAAGAATGAACAGGCATTAGGACATATTTGTAGATATTTTAAAGGCGTTCCCCTATGATTGCAAGGGAAAAGGAAGGGGGAGGGGAGGATTTGTTTTGATTCATTTCTAGGGGATTGAGGTTTGGGGTACATGTTACAGGTCAAAATTGAATTCAGGTTAAAATTATTAACTTTGCTTGATTCTCAATTTTCTCCGTCTCCTAGCCCTGATTATTCATGAATTAGAGCTAGGAGACAAAGGAAATTAAGAATCAACCAAGATTAAAAAATTACCGTACAACCTGAAATCAAATTTGACCTGAAACATGGTTAATTTTTTATCTCAGGTAATTTTTGTCTTCCGATTATTTCAACTTCATTAGCATACATTACCATAACTAAAGACAAAAGAAAAAGAAAAATTACCTGAGATAAAAAAATAACTACAACATACATGATAAGCAAAAATATATGAAGCAGGGATTGTTCTGTGTAGCTTCACCTGAAGGATATGCTCTTGAAATCTTGTCCAGAGGCTATAGTTCCTGCCACTTTTAAACCACTCCCTGCCCATCTTGCTTTAGTTTTACAGTGTGAATACTATAACTGCTAACCGGGACCACCTACACAAAGTTGACCAATCAGGTTGCATGAAAATAGCAATACACAAATAACAGCCCTGTCTCTTAACTGCCTTCTCCCAACAAGCCATTGATACCATGTATTACTCATGTGATAAGAATATCTGTTGTCTGGGTTTGAAAGGGTTGAGGCCAGCTAACTTAATTCAATTGCATCTCTGATCCCTGAACACATCTTTCAATGATTTTAGTGTTTTGAATTCATTGTCTACAGATTGGAGAAACTGCAAAGTTTTGAATTTGGTGGCATTTTAGATACAAAATGGTAAGTTTATTCTGCTTTTGCCTGAAGTATTCCCCAACTCACTTTTTACAAGGTTGTATAGTAGTAAAGCTTTAAGGACAGTGTATGCTGTGGCCCCTAAAAAATTCCTTAAACTATTCACAGGCTACCCACTTCACTAAATGGGTGTCCTGTCCTTGGAGCTGTTACATCAGATGGTGACGTGAAGATATTTTATCTCAAAGAAAAGGTATGCACTGTGTTAATCCGTGTAAGACTAGATTGTTGGTCAATGGTATAATGTTAAAAGCTGAGCACTACAGATTAGTGACGATCACAGTGTAATAAATCGTGGTTGGCATTCCAATTAGTGCATGATATCATATAGTTTTGAGGCAATAAATGTGGGTGATCTATTACATAGTTTAGAAAAAATGGAGAATGACTGCGATGTCACAAGATTCTTATGTGAAAACTAGGTATAGGGGGGTTAAGTAGCTTGCTTGAAACTGACAGAAACTTCTGTGTCAGAGAAAATGGCAGCCATTCTCAATTCCCTTTGTATTCACTGGAAACCCAGCAGAAACAGAATTACAAAGCAGTCTGTCAAACCTGCAAGATTGTTCTCCTTTCTCTTGACAAGGAAGGAGTAGATTTCAAAGGATGATGCTGGAAATCTTAATAATTTGTAATAAGCAAATTACTACCATTTGTCACACATACACTAAGAAGACAAGGACAAAATGTTAACATTTTCCAGAACTGTAAGGCTTATGATTAGTAATTATTAATAAACTTGTGTTTAGTGGCATGGTGCCCTGATGTAGTCTGACCAAACCTTAGTACGTGCTTTAGTTACACATCGTCAATCATCACTGTAATATTGTTTTGCTTGGAATTGACTTTGAGCCTCAATTTTGCTTATAGAGATTAGTTGAAGTAACAAGTTTTGTTGCAAGTCCACAGAAGTTGTGTCTCTCTTTGGACTGGTCAGTAAAGAATGGAAACAGGTATGAAAACAGCAATGAATTTTTTTGTTGTGCATCATTGAGTATTTCACTGTATTTCTTTTTACAAGATCTTTATAAATGCTAAATTAGAAAATCATTATTCATTCAAAATACTTCTCCATCTCTGGCTTGAATCCCTTGTCTTATTCCTCATAACCAGCTATGGCTGACAAGGTCTGGTCTGTGGCCTTGCCAGACATTCCTTCATAATGTAAATAATTATAATACTATTCAGCCTCATCCAATAAAATATTGTTGTTCAATAAATTTATAATTTCTGTACATAAAGCAAAACTAATACTAAAGATACAATAATTTTATGTATTAAATGAACACGATATTTAAGAGGACAACGATAGGAATGGAGGTATTCATCTGTACTACTGCTACTACTACCACTACTACTACCACTACTACTACTACTGCTACTACTACTACTACTAGTACTACTACTACTAAGTTGGCCACAGCCGAGCCTTGACAAGATTATTCCAAACTCTTCAATCATGCATCAGCACCTCTAACTCCTCACCAGAGTACACATCAGCATCTCGCTTTAAGATATCAGCTAGTGTTGATTTTGGTTGTCCTCTACATCTATGGCTGTGGGTTGGCTCCCAAAGGACGAGTTTTATTCATCTGTAACTGAGGTTTTAAACTCTTAGTTCTTATGAAAGATTGACTTCAGTCTGTTATGATAACCATGTAAAGTTACAATAAAAAAAAAGAAAAGAGAGGAAGAGAGGTTATTGTTATTCTTTCTTCTTCTTATACAGTGTAATTGCAGTGAGTGATTCTGGAGGCCAGATCAGTTTATGCCAATTTGACGAAGGCACATCCAAGCTCTGTCAAACTTTACAATGGATTGGTCATCAGTATGAAGCTTGGATAACAGCATTTGATGCTTGGAATTCTGACATAGTTTACTCTGGTACCTTTTCTGAAACCGTCTTTGTTGTGTCTGATTCAAACTTCAAACTGTTCATTTTTACTATTAGTGTTTATGGTCTCTCTCAAGTTTAAAGTGAGATGAACAATTTCATGAAATATTTCTTTATATGGTCTAAGACTCTGGTGTCTGTATTAAAGCCTAAGTTTAGATCTGGTGTGCATCTCCAAAAATCTGGGTCGATCTTGGTTTGGCAGCTATTTTTATGCTTAAGCATTGTTCAATAATTTATTATATTTGTTAATTTTCACTTGTTTGAAATTATTTTGTTAAAAAATGATTAATTTATTATGGTGGTTGTAGCAATAATAATGTCACCATTTTGGATACATATATAAACTAGGTGGAGATGACTGTCTTTTGCGAGGCTGGGATACAAGAACAGACTGCCAGAAGCCAACATTTTCTAGCAAGAGGTAAATGTGATGTGGATATTACTGTTTTATCGTATGAATCTGTCAGAAATGCAGTGTTTACAAATAAGCCAAAAATGTGTCTGTGACTCCAAAGAATTTCTACTGGCCATGGCCACTGCAACTTCAACCTAAACTCCATTAATAATCATTATGTTCAAAAGAATTTAATAGTCTACTGGACAACATTCTTTCAACTGTTAGAATTCTTAATAATAATAATTAATGACTGTGATGATGATGAATATTTGTATAGGTAATAGCACGATTTGTAGTGATATTTGGTGTTATACGTGATTTCACGAGCCCTTAGGCGAAGGATATATAAAATTCTCCCACAAAATGCTTTAGAACAACAAAAAAAAGAAACTGGGATTAAAACTTAACCCCAGTTACTGTTTAGCACTAATCGGTCTTCAAACAACTGGGTCCTGGTCTGGACAAGTCCACCTTAGTTAACCTTTCATGCAACTTTTTACAGCATCAGTCTTATTTTTGTATAGGTTACTTTTATACTACTCATCTAGCTGTTCAGAATGTACCAACTGTCTCTTGGAATGTTCCTTGGCTGAGCTGGTTATCAGACACTCAGGGACAATTAAATGATTTTCTTCAATTGTCCTTTAGTGTTTGTATGACCTTCTTCAGAACAACATTCTGCCGAGCTGGGTTTTAAAACTATAGCCCCAGGGTTAGTGTGGAATTTGAATTCAGATATGAAGGTTTAAAAAGCTAAAAAGAAATGGGGATTTAAATTTAACCCCAGTTTAGCACTAATCGGGCTTTCAAACAACTGGGCCCTGGTCTTGACAAGCCCATGTATAGTTAAACCTTTCTTGCAGTTTTTTTTACAGTATTAGTATTACTTTTATACAGCTTACTTTTGTACTACCCATCTAGCTGTTCATAATGTACCGACTGTCCCTTGTAATGTTCCTTGGCTGAGCTGGTTATCGGACACAACAATATCCGGCAGTTCAGGGTTTTATCACAAGCAATGTCAACCCTAGGCCTGCTCTCAATATTAGCTTTCAGGTCATTTTTTATCAGCATTGTGACTTGTACATTATGCATCATTCAAACTATATGACTGTGGAATGTACCCACTGGCCTCTGATGATTTCAGTTGGTTTCTAGGCACTGGTGAATAGCTCTACAATATTATTTTAACCATCGACTAGGAGCATCTGATAACCACACCTTCTTCAGAAAAATATCCTCACTGCTGATCTACAATTTATCACATCCGTGCATATAGCTTGCCCTATACCGTCAGGTTACCTGGAGGGTCATGTGAACTTTGCCCTGGGTTACTGACTGCAACTCAAGAAAAACCTTTCCCTTGTCACTGAATACCCATACTAAACAAATTAATAATTTTGTATATTAACTGTGTACGCATTCTAGACATGAGATGGGGGTAAGCAGTATCCAGTGTAATCCTTGTTATGATCACATTATGGCAACTGGCAGGTGGGTATTATATAAAAAAAGATTTTCCCTAAGTGCAAAATGAACTACATAACTTGATAAACAACACAAAAATTAAGTTGACAAGATTGAAATTTCCAAAAAACACTCAGGAACTAAATTGAAGTTATCAAACATTTGGAAAAAAAAAACATTCTCTGTAATACCACCATAAATCTCTGAAGTTTATGCTTTAAAATGCATGATATAAATCCTGTTCTCCTAGAATGAAGCATGCGAAGCATGAGGGGGGAGGGGGAGGGGGTGTGAAGAGGTACTCTGCTAATCCAAAAATTTCCTAATAGCTTATAAAAGGTATGCTAATCTTGTTTTAAGGGAATGATGGATCAAATTCATTTTCAGCCCTTAGAGTTACCATTTTGAAATGACAAAGTGGTACACACTTGATACCATTTCATTGTAAAAGCCCTAATTGGTATTCCAAGTGGTGTGCCCCTCAAAAGTGTTTTACAGTGTAGCAATGTGATTATTTTATTAGGGAGCGTATGTGAGGGTGTAGGGTAAGTTGTGTGTAGTTAGAGAACCAGATAAGTGCACCCAGGAAAGAATGCTTTGTATGCAGTGTTAACGTAAATACAATGTATTTCACGTGTCTTTAACCATACTTTACTGTGATGATGATACATGTAGACTTCATGCCTGCTTTGTTATCCAATGGACAGCTATGATGAGAACATTCTCCTTTGGGACACCAGAAACATGAAGCAGCCATTGTGCTCATCAAGTCCAGGGGGAGGGGTGTGGCGGATCAAATGGCATCCAGTCCATGGCAATGCAATGTTGACAGCCTGCATGTACGATGGTTTCCACATTCTCAATTTCATTTCATGCAAAGGTTAGAAAGTTGTCCATGTTTCTTTTTTAAAAATGTACATTGAGTGCTCATGCTTAAATTGCTAATTTATGCTGATTGACTTGCAACAAAGTAGTGGTCATAAAAATAATATTGGTAATCACATTCGTGAATTTTTGCCAAGTGGAAGTTTCAGTTTCTAACACAGCATGCATGTGGATTATTGGAGTGGCAGATATTTTGATCCACACTGTACAATCCTTTTGACAGCCTTTCACTTTTTAAGCCTGAAGGAAATTTTCGAAGTCCAAGACTACTAGAAAGAAACCTAGTAAAGTAATCACATTGTATGTCTGAGCAGTTAGAGCACTGGAATTGTAATTCAGAGGCCCAGAGTTCAAGTCCTTCCCTGACCACTAGCTGGATTTGTTCTCAGTTGTAGTTCAAATCCTTTGCTGTGCTTATTAAATAGCCAACTGGTTTGTCTCCTACCAGTTGGGATTCTTAATATTATTAGTTAAGCCCCTGTTAAATTATTTGTTTCAATATCTCTGAAAAGCCTCACAAGGGGAGAGAATAATATTTTATAATCTTTCTCTGTTTCTCTCTAACTCACTAAGTGCTTTTGCTTTAGGAGGTCAGTGCCTAAAGAAAGAAGTATCATACAAGGAGCAGTCATCTTTGGCATATGGAGCAGACTGGTGCAGGAAGGAGATCCAGTCTTCTACCAATTTACATGGACAAATGGCTGAAGAATCACAAGAAAAACTTGAACAAAAAGATGCTAGCACTTCTAGAACATTCACAGATATCATTGCAACTTGTTCATTCTATGATCATGCTTTAAACTTATGGCAAGTTGCATTATAGCAGTGACAAACTCTGGTCTGTGGCCTTAAATATGCCTATTTAACTATTTCACTTCCAGAGGTGGCCAAAGTCAAAAGGCAACAAAATACCTAAATTTCATTTTGAAAAATGTTAAAAAAGAAATATCACCATGTGAAAGTCCTACCAAACGTTTTTTTCAACATACTGAAAAGTTAGAACATGGTTAGAACTACCACACATGACTCATTCATTCTGCCAGTAAAACTGGTAATATATCACATTCATCAAACAATCAATCTCAAAGGATTACACAAGATCTCCAAAAATATAGCCTTTGTTCTTCTCAGCAAAACACAATTTATATATTTTAATGCGAGCAAAAATTCAAACTCTTACTTAAACTGGAACATAACAAAGCAAGGACTGAAATTAGCCTGTGATGGAGGGGGTTGCTTACAACTAGGTTTTGACAAAATAGATGGCCTATAACCCCAGAGGTGCCAATAACCAGGTTGTTATGGTGTGTCTAAAGAATGGTGAAAGACCCCTTATTTTATGTGGCCTGTGCCTCAGTAGCCTGCGAGCAAGCTCTCCTGAGCACTCTGGCAAGAACAAGGATTTCTTCTTTGCAGACATCGCTGGATTACATCTGTGGTAATGTGTAAGCTTATGATCTCTTTCCTCGTTTAAACTTGTGTAGAAGAGCACAAGCTATTGCCTCACCAGTTGGGGTTGTGAGAGTTGTCAGAAACTTGACAAAATGACTGTTACTGACAACCTGAAGATTTGTAAAAACACAATGAACCCAACTACAAATAAAGGCATGCAATAACTTTATTCAAACTTCAAAAAATCTGTACATCAGTAAAATCAAAAGGAATTGACAAAGGGTTAATAACACGGCTTGGAATGAGAAAAATAATTATTTGTACATGTAACACAAGTACCAAACATAAGATGCAAGAGTTTAGGAATCAAATTCCTTGAAATGCCTTCTGGTAGAAAATATTCTATTGAAACAGTTTTATCTGCTAACTATTTATTGCGACCTTTGGTTTTTTAATTTCAAAAAATGCTAAATTGGAATTACGTGAAGACATGAATAATTTCTCACTTCCTCCACCTCAGGTTACTAAGCAATGACATGGTTAAAGAAAAAAACAAATTACTATGTTATTTTGTTTATTTATTGCAATTTATAACTCTATTTAATATACCTCTACTTTGTATCAACATTTTTATATTATTAGTTTAGCTGTTATTCGGAGAAATATATTTAGGAAGCAAAAGAACAAATATAATAGACAATAAAATAATTAATGTTGCTTAAAAAACGTAACCCTGTTAAATCCCCATTTCAGTGTATTTTATACATAATTATAGACCCCAAGGTGTATTTACAAGCTGGCAAATGAGCATAATTAATACAGATTCAAGATAGAAATTATTAATTAAATACTGACATGCACAAATGTGGAAAAAAAACTATGGTAATTGTTTATCAATAATCACAGAAAATATCCAAACACTGTTCCATGCTGAACATTATTTGAATAACTTGATTCTGGGAAGTTTTAACACAAATATTGCTCATGTTGTCACCTCAAGTAACATGTAGCTCAATAAGTGAAGTACAAAAAATCCTCTAGTTACTTTCTGTACAATACTGAAAGTCTTGTGAAATTAACTTGCCTGAAGAGGGTGGGGAATTGTGGTTTTGTGAACATGGTCATTTTTGGGACCCATACATTTGGTTTTAAAATGCATCAATAATCAGTGGTTTTTCAGTTTTGATGTCTTTTGGAATTTTCCTTTATTTTAGCCATTGGTTTTCAGTTTTTAACCAACAGCAAAGCATTTCAACCAATTTGGTAAGAAATAAAAAAAAACTTCCAAAAACAGGACAACACTGCCACACCGTAAGGCGACTTTACATGCTCATCATAGCACTAAATGCAACTGTATATTACACAGCCACATTAAGAGTTATGAAGTTGCTGCAACATTAAGACAAAATATTGAAAGTACCTGCATTAAAAAATTGAATTCACTAACAAATTATTTATCTTGAGTTCACCAGTAAACCCTAAATTTTAACAAGTGGTCACACCACTGAATTCACGAACTTCAAGTTCAACAGGCCCTACAAATAATTCCGTATCTCTTCCAGTCGAAGAATTTAAGCCTCAATAAAAACATACAAATTGTCCAAACTGATCTCTACCCATTTCCTCTTTGGTCATCATTTTATTAATATTTATGTACGGATATCATTATGACAAAAATGATGTTGGTCACTGTTGGGACTGGAAGAGTTATTCAATAATTTTTTTCATTGATGATTCTCAGAATAACCTTAAAAAAATTCTGTCACTTCTAAGGATAATCTGTCAGTTCTAAAATCTTTATACAGTTGTTGTTCATGTTCTGACAAAAGCATTTGATTCAGGTGCTATGACAAAGAACATATTCAATGTAAACAGTTTCTTCTTAGCCAAAAATTAATATAATACACGGTAAGTATTTTTGATGTGCATCTCACACAAAGAATGAACATATTGCTGAAGGGGCTCGCCTCTTTAAATTGCGCATAATGTTAATATAAATAAATTCAGTAGTATAACTGCAAATCAGTGAAAATTGAGTAGCATAAAACAGCAAAAACAGCGACAACACCAAAAGAGCAAAATATGTTAAATACTTGAATGCTAGAAGACGATGACAATCCCAAATTTTATCCCTCCGAACAAAAAATAAAACGATTTTGATGAAATTGCTCTAATGAACAACTGACATGTCCTAATGATAGACAAAAAAACAAGGACTATTGAAAGTGAATCAGGATTTGAAAATGTCTGCTGTAACAACATTCATAACTTGCTTTTTTTTGTCTGCCAGCAGACAAAAAACAAGAATTGAATGTTGAATGTACTGAGATTATTTTCTGCACTGATTCTAAAATTAATAGTTCTATTTACTAGTCCATCATATTGAACAGATAAAAGTGGCATTAATGGAGTAAAAGGAAATAATTAAACTCGCGTCAACTGTGATCTTCGGAAAGTCAGTATTCACGTTGGGTGTCTATGAGACAAGCTTAAGATATGCAAATTTGACATTCACATTTAAATGTGGTATGCCAGGTTCTGAGTTTCTACTATACTATATCTCGCAGTGTTGTGCTACGTGTGCTTGAGGGACGGACTTGCAGCTAAGGCCCCTCGTGACTGTAGTTGCTATCTGGATGGGCGTGATGAACTGCTTGCACCAGATGAGTGGCTTGCTGAAGTTGATACACTTAACTGGGAGAAACCACTGTGACAAGACTCTAAACTGGATAATGATCCTCTGAAATAGTAAAAAACCAAAACATAAATTTATGAATAATTTGTTCACAAAACCCTAATTTATACTCCCCACTCCATTACACCTTTGGAAATTTAAATTTCTAGATTAAGTTCAAGATGTTATGATTGACCTCCGTGTCTTAAGAGAGACCACCCCCTGGTGTTTCCAATGACCCTTCATGGGTAGGGAGGGATGGGTGGATGTTTGCTTCAATGGACATAAAGCTCAGTGCCCACTGTTTGTCAATGCACTGCTCCCCCTCCCCCTTGAAATTTATATTGGTAAGGGAGCTTTTCCTTCAAGTGAAAGGCAAAGCTGTTGTAGTGCCTTATGGGTGCCGTTTCCAACAGTATTTTACAGTTTTCTGATATATAATATTACCTGAAATCTCCAGACGGCAGTACTTCATGATAGTACATCACCTTGGCTCTGGTATGACGGCCATGTGCTTGACCAGTAGGGGCACCTGATTTGTACTTCCACTGTAGCACATATACACCAGGAATGGAACAGACATGAGTTCCCTAGTAAAGACAATAAATTAAACATTAATAGATGAATCAAAATTTTTTCCTAAGGGAGGTGGGAGGGGAAAGGGTGGGGCAGCACCCTTTACAACTTACAGTCCCATCTTTTTTTAATTTTCTAAAATATCTCCAGATGATGTCTGCATTGGTTCTCTGTTAGAAGATTTACCCTTCCAAGAGGTGGAAGCAACAGGCATCATGACCAGATGACAAAGCTCTCAACAGTCAGAAGAAATGTTCCCTTTTCTAGTTCACTTTTGCATTTTGGCTGTTTCAGCAGCAAAATAACAAACTCTCGCCTACGAAGACAGATGTATTTCTGGTCAAATTTTCTCTTTACATGAACAGTAGCTTACATTAATTTCACGTGGAGAGAAGAGATTACAAAATATCCTTTCAAATATTTTATGTTATTTTCAATTAATCAACAGAAAACCAGGAGGAAAACTAATGTTCATTCAGATTTCGTTTGTTGATTCAATAATCCATTCATAAAATTAATCCAATAGTCATACTTAGCCTCGATTCCAAATCGAATAACAAAAATTACAGTTCACTTTTTTTTTTTGGCTTCTGAAGTTCAAACCCAAACAAACTGTTACATGCAGTTTGCAAAATCAACAAACCTAGGCCTGACCTCTTAGAAAACACGACGGTCAAACTGAGGTCAGATGTATTTGGTGGTTTCGATCCTCGGCCTTTTCTTTCTTTGCGTTTGCGGTCTGTCTATTCTAGCTGAACAGATTAAAGGCAATACAAATTTCAAAACGGAGAAGCAAATAGATTGAACACAACAGACAAGAATAAAGAACAGGTAGATTTTGTTCATAAACCAAATCAACATTTGATTATTGAAATATTTTGACCGTTGGATTATTTTTTTTGGAACAACAAACGAAATTTTTTCCATTAATTATTAGTTTGCTCAGGAATGCTCCCTGGTTTGATTAACTTTAAATTATTGAATAATTATTAATATTTTGTTATTAAATAACAATTAATTCTTTTTAAGCCCTATATCTGTCATAAATTCCAAATTGGACATGTCAAAAATTTATGCTGAACTGACAGCAACATTTTCATCCCAGCTAAAATGCAACAGCAACATTTTTCCTGACCTACCAGGCAACTTGCAGTTTCAGAAATGAATGACAAAGTGATAATATATCCCTCTAGGAAGCCCTTTATAAAAACATACCTGTATTGATTCACCATCAACACAATGCCTTGGTTTTTCAACGACCATGGCATCAACTCCAGCAATAACTCCAGACTGGTTGATGGATGCATCACTTCCAAAACTTGACAAGCTGTTGCTACTGATTGCTTCACGTGGACGCTTGTGCCTGAACACTGTGAATTGGACATCACCTTTCATGACATCAAAATCCCATGTGATCACTGATTGAGACTCCTTAATAGTGACTAGGACCTGAAAGAGAAAGAAAAGTTGGCAATGGAAGTCAAGAGCCCTTGGTTAGCACCTCATGTAGAATTTGCCATGTTTTCGCTGTTTAACAAAGAAAGCACTTTTCTGCCGCACAGTGATGAGCTGGAGTATTGCAAGTTAGAAATTAACCGAAACACAAGTTAATGAATAGTTTCTTTAAGCTAAGTGCAAACAGATGTAACAACTCCCAACATTGATGGCCCAATCATGTTGGGAGTTGTTACATCTCCGTTTGACCTGTACCAAACTTTGCACAATGTTTGATACTCCCAACAACATGCAACAGGGTGTGCAAACAGACCTAATTACATGTACCATCAAACAATGTTGGGAGTTGTTGACATACAAAGTTGTGTCTGTTTGCACAGTGCTTAATGTGAAGTCACAACAAATTTGGGTTCATAGCAAGGTTCATAGTGCACTTTTAGAATCCTACAATATTCCATGACTTTTCCATCCTTGACCCTTGATCTGTAGAGTCCTAATGTGAAAGCCATTTGCCAAAAAATGGCTATTCCCTCTGTATAATATTCAACAGGTGTATAGCTAAAGGAGTATGGAACAAACCTCATGAGGTGACCCTTTGCTAACGTGAGTAGTCTGATAGATTTCACTACTCCATGATTCCTCTCCTTCACTGAACTCTAGTGATCTGTAAAGTGATTTTGGGACAAGACCGCCCTCCTTGATGTTGCACTAGAAAAGAAGCAAAATGGTATCTGTAAAACTGTTTCAATGAAACAGTGGCGAAATAAAAAATCCAATGACAAATTAAAGTTCCGCCAAAGTGTTTTTATTCGACTAGTAACACCACAGGATTTCCTCTACAAATTTTTAAGTTATAGAGTTTCAAATCATTGCTCCACAATGTGGTCTGATCTGTGGTCTGATGGAGTTAAGCAGTTGCGATGCCTAGCTAGAGATGGACAATGCTTTATATATACTGTGCACAACGCTGAAAAGGAAGTAATCTGACTGAGACAAAAAATACAATGATACAGCTTCAGAATGTGTAGATGCAAGCAGACATTGCTTAGAAATTCTGGTTACTGTTCATGGAAGCTTGACTGAGTATCTCATTGCTTTACTTACCTCATATGGACCCCCTAAAAAATCTGGAATGTATTCTGCTGCAATGTAGTCTGTCAGGCCACCAGGATCCTTCAATATATAATCAAGGAATAAAACATTACAAGTATGTAATCAAACCAACACATCAGGTAAAAGTGAAACTGATACAACTACAAGTAACTGTTGACAGTATTGGAATAATAAATGCGTACAAGTCAGTGCTAATTTTAATAATTTTTGTAACAGCAAAGAAAGTTTGCTCAGTCAAGTGTCAATTCTGACTGGTCAAAATATCGGGAAAGAAGTTAACTTATCCTTGTGTAATTTTCAATTCATGAACATGATTGTATGTTACGAAGAGACAAATCTAAGATTTACAGGTGAAGATTTGGTTGTTTGTTCAAGACTGAGAATAAGCATGACTTGTCAACATGACCGGTGAGTGAATTTTTTGGTTGGTCAAGTTGCCATTCAGGCCGAACAGTGTCCGATAACTGGCCATTACTTTGAGCACTGCAAGTATGCATTATTTCTATTAAAAAAGAATGACAAGAAAAACAAGTAATACCTGATAATCATTTCCGCCATAGATAAGAAACTTGTTTCTTGTGTTTTCATCGATGAAGGGACTAACCAGTGTCCACAGAACACCAAAAACTCTGGGTGCACGGACAATCAGCAGCCTGCCCATTGTCTCTGGGTAATTACACTCAACAACCTCAATCACCTTTAGCAATGCCTTGATGCCTAAAGCAAGAAATTTCCAAAGTTATATGGTGGTATGCCTTCTCTAAGGAAATGGAGAACAAAATCAATTCTTTGGGCAGGTCCTGCCACTGAATTAAACATCGGACGAATTGACAGAATACCAAATGCTACTGTCTACAGCCTCACAGAAACAGTTCCCTTTATTGAAAGAGTCAGGCTTCAGCAATTGAGTTTGCTTGGTCATGTGCTCTGCTAGCCTGAAAATAAGCTTGTCACAGAATTTGCAGTGTATGTTCCCACTCATGGGAGGAGAAAATCTGGAAGACAGTGAACCTTGTTCACCAATTCATTGTCTTCTAGGTGATCCTGATAGCTTGCTAATTGACAATCAGCTGTTGGAAATAGCTCAAGGCCGCCATCGATGGAGGAAACTTGTGGTCAGCTGCTCTGCAGCCGAAGTATGATGATGATCACGCACCTTGGAAATACTGCCAGTAAAATGTACATACCATGAAACATGCTGAATAGCAAGGGATGTTGGATCCCATACCAGCTAGAAAAATACAACGTTGGATGGGTTCACTTACCAGGCCTCCAAAGATGCCTCATACTTAAGCCCTCCAGATCACAAACACAAGTCCATGAACTGAAAAGACACAATAACAATTTAACTAAGTACTTCCATGTGATATAATCAAAATCAAAGCAGCAAAGGTAACAGTGGTGTGACTTATTCAAAAATAGTCAACTCTATCTATCTGAAAAAAACACCTTGATCCATAAGATGGACACCTCAATAAAACCATCAGTTTGAGTTGGTTCTTGCCTTTCTTTTATTGCCCTTTATTTGACACTCTAAAAGATGGACATCACTCTTAGACATATACTTTAACCCTTTATAAGTCCCAATATCCACATACAAATTCTCTAAACTGGTCTCCATACATTTCCTTAAAGAATGAGTTAAGAGAATTTGATAAAAGGTATCCATCTTTTGGTGATCATTTTATTAATTGATTGTAATTCCTATGTATGGATATTGTTTTGTTGGTCACCATTGGGACTAGATATCCGTTTAGAGACTTTAATTGTAATTCCAACAATTCAAAGTATTTATTGACTATAAGAAACTGCATACCTAACAGGATGTCCTGTGTTCTTGGTGAGTCCTTCAGTCATTTTGAGACCTTCCTCATTGATGGAAACAACCTTGAAAGAGACAGCATTGTGAAGTCAATGTTCAATGACACAACAAAGCAAGACTGTCACTCCAACACAACCTTTTAATGTAACAAAAACTACTATAAACTCCAGAAATGGGAAAATTATAAATTTATTTATACTGTTGAGACAACAAAACTATCATTAAATTGTGGAAGGAATAAGCAACATAATGTAACAAACTTTCATGTATCTTGTTGTCTGTGGCTTGATTGTTTAGAATACACTGTGGAAAGTTTATAAACATTCCAGTATGAAGTTTCAGAATCTGCCCCTTCTTTCAAGTATTAACCAAAGCTCAAATTGAGGAAGTCCCTTTAAATTGCTACTAAATTTTGATGCAGCTAAATGCTGGTCTTGCTTTGATGACCAGTCACAATCCACACATTTACCAGTGAACACTCTACTTACATGTTTTAGAAATCCATCTTCCCCTACAGCCTTCAACAGTCCTTTGACATCCATCGAACCCAGCCGAAGGATGTACAATGGTCGCCCCTCTATAACAAAGAAAAAATACCAACAAGTCAATAATGATGCCACTAAACTTGATCTTAAAGAAAAACCATCTTGTATTCCAGTCCTTTCCAGCTTGATCTAGTAAATTTATAAGCTTTTGTTCCAGCAAACCGAGTTTATATTTAAGCATCATATTTACTGAAGAGACAAACTTCTTGTTTTCCTATACAAGGTTAATGCTATTTAGGTTCTACTGCCTAAAGAAAGGAAAACACACAGTCACTTATTTTTCCTTCATCTAAACCCTTCTAAAAGAGGCCAAAGTTAAAGCTCAACAAAACACTTCTAAATTTCAATTTGTACTTAAATGCTGAGAAACAAATAGCTCTACAAGGATGTGCTAGTAAAGAGGTTCTGTATAAATGGTAAACCACAGGATTTCATTCACAGGTGTAAAAATTAGGGCCATCTACTGTAACAAGACTGGGTATCAATTATTTATTTTCAAGTTACAGTACATAAAACTGTTACCTTTGTCTGTGTTATGCCACCCTCCACAGTAGTAGTTGAGAAGTGGATCTGGAGGCTGCCAGATCTCGTGTATTTTGTCAATATTGTGATGCCGCCTCCATGCCAATGACTCACACAACATTTCGTAAGACTGTATCGATAAACAATAAATGGACAACTAAGCTTTAACTGCATTGTTCAGAGTGAGGCTGAAAATGGGGATCAAGACTAGGGACACGCCCCTTGGGAGCGTAAGGCTTGAGGGCTTCGTGCATGTGAGACTCTTAAGCTACGCTAAGTTGATTTTGAGCAAAAAGCTGACTGTTTTACAGTCTAAGTGTCAAGAGTTCTGGATTGATGAGTGTCACAGGAACCGAGTATCAAGAACGAGATGCAACAATCAAGAATCTACAGTACCTTGTCTAAATTAAAGTCCCGTGCTCTGAGAAATCTTAAAAGATGAGCATCATTTGGCATCTAATAAAAAAAGAAAGGAATAAAAATTATTATTCATGTGGTGGTAGATTTCCTCTTTTTTATAATACTAGTGATAATAATAATAATGAATAATAAATACCTTCCCCTGATGTGTGGCACTGAGTTTCTTGCGCAGCTATTAATAAAGAATATTAAACAAACCAAAGTCAATTTAAAAAATTTCAATATTATAATGCACTAGTACGACTGGAAAATTGCACCCAAGGATCTAACTGTACATCATATTAAAATTTTTTTTAACATCAAAAAAGAGGTGGTAAATGAAAAATGGAAAGAGACTGGACTGAGACTGGACCTCACCATACACAAGTCTTGAGAACTCATTCTGTCCATTCAAGACTTTTGGTCATTTACGAAACAATGTGAGCTCAAGTTAAGGTTAAGGTAAGGTTAAAGTACCCTTAAGCCTTGAGGCTCACACAGCTTAAACCGGTTTCTATAGCATGAAGTAACTAGGGGTAATGCTAAAGTGTACTCTCCCTTCCCGCTCAGATGGAATGTTAGTCCACTGCAAGGCCCAGCATTTAAAGCAAAATATTAAAAATTTTGTCTGAGGGAACGCCGTTGGTAAAGGCATGAACATGGACGTACACTGAGACATCATGGTAAAACATTGAGTACCCTGACAGTTAAGTTTTATATATTACCCCACTTGGACGGAAACATTATTTGCAATCCAAACATCTAAGACCCAATTAGCGCATCAAAGTGTATTGCCATGCACTGACCTTAATAAGCTGATTTTCTTCTTTTGGGCTAAGTTTCCCAAGAAATCTTTGGATATAGTCATCATCAAGCTTGTAATCTAGGATTCAGAGAAGAAAAAAATATGATACAAAGTTGTCTTCGTTTCCACTATAGGAACATGGACAGCCTGTACTAACAACATGCATGTATCATCATATGCTTTAATACCTGATCGGGCACCCAAGGTTTCCACATCTGCAACCTCTATTGCAGAACTAGCAATAGGAAGCGCATTGCCATCCTCTTCAGTTTGCTCAGGATTCGCCACCAGGGCTTCTGATGCACTCTTTGTTCTTGGTCGCCCTTGTGAATTCTCAAATGGAGGCAGATATGTAATCCCTTCACTCATTAACTCATCTATGTAATATTGGATCACTTCTTTGCCCTGTAAAGGAGTGCAACATTTCATCAGATCAGTGTTACTGCTCTGGGGTGTGATATACAATGGACCCCTTCTAATAGCAAGACTGTTGGGCCGGTCGCATAAACAGGGTGCTTAACTAATAATAAATATTGTATTATAATGGGTGTAGTGTCATGTTGGCTTTCTAACCCATGGAAGGCCAAGACTTATACAGTGCAACCCCCTCCCCCCTCCTTTGCAGACACCTGCTTAATAGACACCTCTGTGCTTTTTATGGTCCCCTTAGTGTCTGTATTAAAGAGGTTTGACTGTACTTAATTCTGACTATTGATTTGCTAAACACAATATGCATCACCCATTGCACTATGCATCACGGGACATTTGACTGGTCATATCAATGAGGTAAAATTCTGACAATGTGACAGTTATAGCGACTGATGAATTCAAGGCCATCATTGGTTATCATATTAATGATAAGATGATTTGTATTAATGATCATAATATGATCGTATTATGATCATATTGTCAGATCGTATTAATGACATTGTAGAATAAGGAAATGCTGTGTGACGCCACTTTTGACTGAGCCATAAGAAAGTGCTTGTGTTATACCAATAATAAAATAAAATATTAATAACCATATGACAATGTTCTATTCCACTAAGGGGACTAAACAGATCTAACTACCTTACTTCTGGCAAGACCACAGCCCAATTACAATTAGGGTCTACAAAACACATTTTTCAGTAAATCCCAAATTAAGGGATGAGATGGTGGCACCAGGAGTGTTTTGAACACTTGCGATTAAAAAAAAAGATGTTAAGAGCAATATTTTTCCTAATTTTTTCTTATTCTTTTCCTAGCAACATTAGCTACAAACCAAGGAAAAAATAAATAATTATTAATTATTAATCACCTTCTTAATGTTCTGGAGATACAGCTTAATTGCCAGCTTTTCAACAGCTGCCTCAAAGCCAAAAAAAGATTTGATGTCCAAGCTTGCATCTTGTTCAAAACAAGTCCACTCAGGGTTATCAGGGTGAACCTAGTAAGCAGATCGAAAAATGATGAGTCAAATAGTTATGTATTATTATCCCTTTGCAGAGCTGCAAATAATAAATGATTCATTTATTTATCTTTCTTTCTTTTTAAACCTCCATCTTGGTCAGACAAAACAAAAATGTGGCCAGACTCCCTTGGGTCGCACTTATGTGTCTTAAATGAAAATGGTGCATGGTAGGCAAGAGATTCACAGGTAGACTGATCACTACCTTACATTCAATGAAACACTGTCAATTCACTGGCACAATTCTCAAGCGCTTAACTAAGATTTTATTCAACTACCAAATGATAGTCATTGTCAGTAGGTGTTACTGAAGATATCATGTCCAGCCAGAGTTAACATTTCACTGGACATGGGCCAATTTCATATGAACACTGACTAACTATTATTTGCAGTTCTGCTTTACCATAATTTTACCCTTGTAATTTGTCCATCTATTTTCTGTTTGTCATTTAACGTTGAAGCCACTATTGGTTTGTTTAACATAACAATTCAATAAGAAATATTGGTAAGTCAAATATTGTTAATTAAGAAATACATTCTGTTGTTTTGGCAATTGCAATGCTCCCTTCATCAGGGGAAAATTAAGTAAATTTGAATTTACATTGTGTACATATTTGAAGGCAGCATTGTCATTGAAATTGTTGAAATTTGTCTCTAAATCATGAGCATTTGACTCAGTATTTTTCCTTACCGTATACTTGAAAGTAACCTATTCTAAGGGTGAAGTTGATTGGGAAATGTGGATTTAGATTTTCATAATCCAAATCCAGATTTTACAAATTTGTCAAACAGAAAATCCATCTATGACCCATCTACAACATGGATCAACAGATCCAAACATGAAATCCATTTTTAGATAAGTGTTCAACATATTGAAAAATTATCGGAAAAATCTAAATTTCAAGAAGTAAAACCAATTTTTCCACTTGAAAGAACCCTTAAGAGAGAAGGGTGAAAAAGGCACTGTGTCAACTTTATGGTGAATAAAAAGTATGCCCATGAAAAAATCCGTTTAGCCTCTTTCAATATATTATACTTTTTGGAAGAGAGCCATGCTGGCTTCATCCTTCAGTAACAATAGGCTAATAGGCCAATGAACAAATATGTTTTGACTATTGGCTCCTTCGACGTAAACAATTACAAAAGAACATAACTTATAACATAATTTTTATAGCAAATAGTTTCGGTTAAATTTTCACTACAAAATGGAACTTTCACAAGGAAGAAAAATAAAATCACACTTCATAAAAAGAAGCGTTTTGGGTTAAGGTTAGGGTTAGGTTCATTTTCCTTCAGGACAAACACTCTCCAATATTAATCAAATAAGGCCAAAATATAATCATTTTATTGGATAAATAATTCATAGCTGTCATACAAAAATAAACAGGTATGAAATTGTAACCTTGGAAAGCGAAGTAAAACCAAGTTTGTGGTATTTTGGTACCTTTGTGTAAATGAAAGGAACCTACTGACTCAAATGTATATAATTTACATAGTTGTCCACTATGCATAATAAATTTCGGTGCAATATAGTAAAAGCCGCATGTTGTTTATTTTGTGCCACGCTTTGGATGTTTACATATTCATTCATTTACGAATGAACCTCAAAGTACATCATAGCTGACGCAATTCGCCGAGGGCGATTCCAACTCACGTCTATGACCACGTAACATTATATTTTAATGCCCAACGAATGATGGAAATGTCTCGAAATCTCTTCCATTATATCGCTTTAATATGTGTTAAAGAACATACTTACCGAATAATAACAGTGTTCCTTAACAAAAACGCGGGATGAAAAGCTTTCATTGAAAGCAGTAATAGTTAAAGTGCGGTCTCGTCGATTCAGACAGTTTGTTTGGTTGAAATATACATACTCCACACCAATAATCTGTGAAAGCAAATATTGTGAAACACGTAAGCAGAAATCGGAAAACCGAGAAAAATTAATAAGCTGAGTACCTTAACATCCTATAAATTAAAAAACACCCAAGAACTTGCTATTTATACGTAAGCTTCAATCTATTATTAAACCTTCTCTAACTGCTAGTCTTGTATTTAAAAGATGTTTTGAGAAGTTGCTTCTTGCCCTCTCGTTATGTAATATTAATTTCTTCACATTATGCCACACCTTCAAGAACGTATTCCTCGAATTTTAGGAGTTCAAATTAGCTGGCTTACCTTTTTCAGCAAGTATGGTGCATCTACGTCAAGTTTACATCGTCTCTCGATGTTGTGAATCGCGCCATCTTCACTTTTGTATTCCGACAGAATGTCACTACCAAGAAACACAGGAATCATCTTGCATGTAGGAAAGCGCTTTTCGTATGCCTTTGAAGAAAATGACGATAAAGTGGATAAGTACACCCACAAAACGACTTCTAAAGGCGTTATCAGCTCTTACAATTAGAGATCGTAAATTATATGTTCAAATTGCCAAAGCCGCCAGATTACACATATTCCATCGTGGAAAGCCCTATGTACTCTTTTCAACTCAAGATTCAAGGCCTGTCTTCGGTTAAACACATCACACTTTAAATTTCTGTTAGCAGGTTTCTGTAGTAGGTTTTTTCCAAATTAGTCTTCCGCGTTTTCTACACACAAGAGCATAACAAATCAAGCAAAACGCAGTCACTCACCGCCATCACAATTTCGAACGGGTACTTGTAAACTCTAACAGGGGACTGATACTCTTGAACCATCGCGCTTACCAGTGGTTGAACACAAAGCCTAACTAAACATAAATACTATTCTCAGTTCGATCCAGCTAAGAGTTAATATTCATGGCGCTACCGGCGTTCATAGAACGATATGCCTCTGCGAGATACGATGAAAACACTAAATAACCTTGTAGGGGTCGGGGTAGGGGTGGAAAGTGACGTCACGATTCTGTGGCTTAGTACCCAGACTTTCTCCTAGGGAATCGCTTTTGACATGAACGTCAAAGCAAGGTCGTTTCCGTGGCAAAAAAACCCGTGACTTTCATACCAAGTGTGGAGCCAAGTAACAGAGTTTGAATGGCCTGATATTTTCAATGTTATTTTTGCCTAAACCTGCAGAGCATGAGACAGCTTAGAGTGTGAAGTTCACTCCCTTTGAATCCGCCGGTATCAGTTGGACGCCTGTGGCTTTGAGCACGTGAAATTTGTTTCATCCGGCCTACAATGTAAGCTTACTTACCTAAGAACTTAACCAAACTCTCAACCTGAAACTATGAATGAAAGCAATAAGATGCGAAGTGTGACAGAGCCTTCAGAAGACACTCCTTTACTCAGTTACGACGCTAACGAACATGATAAATATTCGAGAGCGAAGGAAGCTGCCAAGAAATGCCTTCACAGGTATTTACCCATTACGTGCTGGCTTCCACACTACAACAGCGAGAGTCTACTGCGAGACATTATTGCTGGTACAACAGTGGGGCTAATGGTGGTTCCTCAGGGATTAGCCTATGCGACAATAGCTGGGCTTCCTCTACAATATGGGCTCTACTCTGCGTTCATGGGCTGCTTCGTCTACTGTCTGTTTGGTTGCAGTAAAGATGTTACCCTTGGTCCAACAGCAATCATGTCATTGATGGTAGAGCATTTTGCCAAGGGTGTGCCATTACTTGCTGTTGCATTGACTTTATATTGTGGTATTGTGCAACTTTTCTTGGGTACCTTTCGTCTGGGTTTCCTGGTGCGCTTTATCTCACTCCCAGTTATCAGTGGCTTTGTGTCTTCTGCAGCTATCATTATTGGTTTTGGACAAGTAAAGAGTCTTTTAGGGTTGCAACACATACCAAGACCTTTTTTCGCGAATGTCGTACAAACATTCAGGCACATCAAAGAAACAAACCCTTGGGATCTCTTACTGGGAAGCTGTTGTATTGTGATTTTGATCGTTCTGAAAAAGTTAAATCGTATTGAGTGGAACAAAGACGAGCCAGTGACTAGATTGCAGCGATTTTGCAGAAAGTTTTTATGGGTCTTAACCACTGCACGGAATGCGTTGGTCGTTCTGTGTGCTGCAGCAATTGTGAAAGCAGTACAATCTGCAACTGGCGATATGGACACCTTTACCTTGACAGCAGAGGTTGCACCAGGGATTCCAGATATTAGGGTAGGTTCCTTTTGCTTTTGTTCTTATAATTAACTTTGGCCAGTTACTTAAATTCCAGATTGTCTCTTCAAGAGCAAGTGGCTATTACAAAATTATGTAGCAGTGGCAGATCCAGACCTTCAGATAAAGGAGGGGAGGGGAGGGACAGTCATCCAGACCCTGAGATAAGAGGGGTGCCTGGTCTCCCAAAAAAATGTTTTTGGCCCTTCGCTCTTCAGTTTGGTCCTAAAAATAAGGGGAAACCTTCCCCTGGATCCACCACTGATTAGTGTCACATTTTACTTGCTTGTCCCCCCTCCCCAACAAAACCCACCCCCACCCCCACCTCCATCCCTGTTAACATTTCCATGTAAATCTACCTTGTGACGTAATACAAAAACAAATGGTTATAAGACCTTCAGTTTGTGTGTGGGTTTGAATTGACTGAGTGGCTGGGGAATCCCTAGTTATTCCCAAAAAGAGAAACAGTAGGCTTGGAGGTCAAATTTGTTTGTGAATTTTAGGAGTCAGAATACTAAACATTGAAAGAATTGAACCCTGATTTTCCGAAAACTGAAATTAGAATTTAGTAACCAAATGCCAGAAGTTGGATAATTCTTAGAAATATGAAATATGAAATATGAAATATGAAAACGTAAGTCAGGGATGAGGCATCAGAAAACTGAAATCAGAAACCAGAAACCACAGAAACCAGAACCAGGAACCAGAAGTGAGAAAACTGAAACCAGAAATAAAAAACCAGAAACCAGAAACCAGAAACTCAACATCAGAAATCTTGCCCCAACCCAACCCAGCACCCCACATTCAGTTGGCTTGTGATTTTGATTAGTGACTGAGTGACTGGTAAATCCAGAGTCATTGAGTAGGGGAAGATCTGCATTAGCACAGAAGATGAAAATATATTGTATTTGAAAATTTCAAACAAAAAAAAAGGGGATGTTTATATTAATTTTTTATTTACAAATAGATATGGCTAGCTGTAAAAGTGGGAAAGATTAATAGAATGCATCAGAATAACCATAAGGCAAAATTTTATAAATACCAGAAAGCTGTTGTTTTCAATCTTGTGACTTTTATTGAATGTTTATACAAAGGACAGTTTCTAGCCACAGCTTACAGTATGAATTCCAATACAGCACTACAAACCAGCTAATAATCAAAAGTCTATAGTGTTTACATGTATATTCTGCATCTGTATTTTGACAAATGATTCCATAATATTCATTTCTGTTAAATTAAAATACGATTTAAACAACATGCAAAACATCACTAGAATTTTCAAAAAACAGGCTAGCACATTCTTTCAGTAACATGACATTTTAAAGGTCATGTCTTACGTTTTAATGAAAACTGCGCATAATCCATTTAGAATCTTACTTGAACCAGAAACATTATTTATTATTTTGCTGCTCCATATCAAGCATGCATGTATACACATATAATTGAATTACATTCTTTTATTTACATTTACATTATTTATTCATTTTTAGTTATTTTTATTTGGATATAATTTTGACATGCCCTAAGGTAGCAAGAGCTAATCTGGGCAAGCCATTCACTCGAAAAAAGTATACAAAGTAAAGTAAGATAATATATGATAACATAATAAGATGGTGTTGAATATCTTGGTTCCTACTTCCTTTTTCTTTGGCTCCTAGCCCCTGATCTTCTCTTACAGTTTCCACCTGCCATCTGGTGATTCTCTAGACTGCGAGCAGTATCTCTTTTTCTTTTCTTTAGTGAGGAGAGTGCACGCGCATGGTCATTTGCGTGTCTTGCCCGTTTTGCTCGACGGACCAAGAAAAAAAAGAGAGACTGGTCATAGTCTAGTGATTCTCAGTAGAGGTAACTGTTACCTTCAAATAGCCCCTTCAACAGAATGATTTTTTTTTTACCACACAGCTGTATGTAGACATGTAATCACTGAAACCCAGTTCCTCCCCTGTAACTACTTAAGGGTGCACTCACCAGTAGTTTATGCTGTGTTTACCATTAAGTGCCAGAATTTTCATCAGGGGTGATTATTTTTTGTTTGTTTTTTAGTTCTTGAGAACTGAGCATTATTGATATAAGATAAATTCAAGTCAGTGAGTTGTAGTTAGTTAAGTTCTAATACCTCTCTTTAGTCATACTGCTTTAAAATATTTAATTGAAAGGTGGTTTTTTAACTGACTTGCCTGTTATGCAACCCTTTCCAAAACTGAGTACACTCAACTTAAAAAGAAGATTGTTCTGATAGAAAGTGCTAACAAAGGTAACAGTTGGGTCAAAGTTTTTTATTGCCGAAAAAACCACACGCCTACGAGAAGTGAATCAAAATTTCACATACACGTGGCAGCCAAGGGTTAAGTGACATGTCGTCTTCTTCAGTTCTTTTCCCTGGGTCTGTTCATTTGGTCAACTAAGTTTTTATGATGATACACAAGCTCGGGACAGTAATGTTTCACTAACAAAACTTCAGCATCAAGCTGGTGAAACCCACACTATTATCTTAAACATTGCGATTGCGCATTGTTTGCCCCAAGATTTGATGGAAATTTTGCTAAAATACCACCACAAAAATTTGTTCTCTGAGGATGACTCTGTCATTCCAAGGTTCATCGAACCTTGTAGACAATGACAGGAAACATGTAACTGAAACAGCTAGATCATCATTTTGGTACGCGTATTAAAAAAGTTAAGCAAACGTTAGGTTACATCATTGGAACCATTTCCTCTTCAAAACGCGGCTGGAAAAGCGCATTTGCTGACCGAGCATGCCTCCAGACTGTCTAGAACCGGCCAACCCCGCATCTGTACACACACGCCTTAGTTCCCGTGACTGTCAAGGAAAGGTTTTTACAACGTGATTTTTGATTTGATGCGATCGTAAAATTTTTGGTATTTTAATTAGACCACACTATTGCTATCAAAGTATGCCTGGGCAAATATTCATCTCGGTAGCAACTGAGAGCGGGAGAGCTAAGATCAACTCGGATAATTTCCATTCTATCCCCTATAATTTGATGCACCAATTTTTAAAGATACTACGCATCAGTCATCATTGCCATGTGGCTAGGACTTACGTAACACGGACGAGGACCTTCGGTCTGATGGATGTATTAAGTGGGGTACGCACCGCCCAAACGCCCACTGATGTTTTTTGACACGTTTTTGGCACAAGTTGCCTAAGCTCGAAATATGGGCGTCGGCACTGGTGCGTAAGGTAATTTAGTTCAAGTTAGCGGAGAATTCGAGTTATCCGAGTCCTAGTTATCGAGGTTCCACTGTATAAGCATTTGTATGGGGAAAAACTATTGTTTCTGTAACTAACGAATGTTAAAGGATTAAAATAATAATCGGCTTGAATCACTTAAGTTGTGTTTTTTTTCTTTTCTGTGTGGTCTACGCCCCGGGGGGGGGACTCCACATAATAGAAGGGGTGGGGATGCTCGAGGGAAATTTTGAATTAAACCCCTGAAGGAGACCGATCTGGGCAGGACCCAAGCTTTTTTGGACCCCTAAAAGAGACCGTGTTAAAACACAGACAAATGAGAAAACTTGGATTATATGAATGGAGTAAATAAAACGAATCAAAAATATACATATCAAATGTATATTTTTATATTTTTTCGCGTACAACCCTAAACGAGACTTTCACGGCTAAATATGATGGCGTTTTGCCAAAAACACCCTAAATGAGAGCAAAATCCGAAATCTACACCCCTAAGCGAGACGACGAGCATCCCCACCCCTTTCATCTGCGGAGTCCCCCCCGGGGGTCCACGAGCCGATTTATGGCAATTTTATGGGGTTTTTCGAACCGGCTTGCTCTCTCTATAACCTTAGAAACCCATAAAATTGGCATAAATCGGCTCGGGGACCACACAGGAAGAAGAAACACACACCTTTAGTTTAAATAGCTAAGCCGACTTTGATTTGAATCCTTTCACACTCGTCGGCTACAGAAACAATCGTTTTTCCCCCATACAAATCCTTATATTTCGATGGTTACGCAACAATGCCGATGTTCATAAACGAGCTTGGGCTACCTGTCTTTTTAGAATCAGCAGATGGTCAAATTAAAAACAGCATGTAGCGTATTTTATACCTTTATTAGCCAATCCTAGCCACCTGCGTTCTTCCTCCTTTGACGAGGAAGAGACATGTCGTTGCCCATGTTTTTCTTGTTCTTACCTGTCCGGGTCTGTTCAATGATTGTTGCATGGTGACTCTTAGCTATTACCGTCGAATAGTACTATTTGCAAGCTTACTTTGCGTTCACTGAAAGCGTCGTTTACAATGCAACGCAATATCCCGTCAGTTTATATGATTCCATTGTGGTGCTAGTGTTGAAAGCCAGGTTAAAATTTGCTGACGGGGATGGGTTGCAACAAAAGTAATGTAGTACTACTCGTAAATGTGAAATTCCGAGACCACGGGAAGAAGAAACAACATACCGTTGCGTCTCTCTCCTCCGTGGTAACCTCTCTCTGTCATAGGGAGGCTGGGAAGAGGGAAAAAGAAAGCGCAGGGGAACGGTGGGCAGGGGAAAAAGAGGAAGTTTTTCCCTCGTCACATCGTCGCCCGCGTGCGCAAGAGCCTCTGCTGCTTAGGAGAAAACTGTTACATAACTGAAATTATATCGTCATCCTTGTTCCCTTGTACGGTAACATTTAAATTCGTGTGTTAACACTGGACCTTTTCTCTGCTTTTTGTTGCTAGCCTGTATTAGTGTTGGCTTTCTTAAAGAATCTGTGGAAACTAAATCAACACAATAGATAAGTGTTTGCAACTGAAAATCTGAAACTATTTCCAGGAAGAAATAGCCTCCGGTGAAAAGTTCATAAAACTGCTGCTACTCGAGATTCGGTCCTATTTTCAAGAGAGATGATAAATTTCGGCCTGACCTCAGGATATGGTTGTGCTAGAATTGTCGAAGTTTCTTTTTTTCGCCACCACTGCTACCAGCGTCTCGTCAACCCTTGAGAATTACGTTGATAACGATAAGCAAACTTATGCAGTGCCTTGGCTTTACAAAAAACGAGAAAGGCGAGCCGGCACTTGACTTTCTGTCTAACGTCGGTGTTTAAGCAGATTGTTAATACAGTAACCCACATGTAAAGAAGTGCCAAGGGACCGGAGAAAATCGTTCTTCTTAATGTGGGTACTTTACATCATGGGGCGGAACATATCCGTTTGTTATGCCGGGGTTTCGTTATATATTAGGGCGTTACACCTGTCATGCGACTTCGAGAGTGCGGGCGTAGTCTGTTTTCATTTTATGAAAAACAAAACAAATCAGAACTACCTGTCTCCTGACGCGCGAAGGGTTTACTTTGCTGTCAAATTTAAAAGGAAATTTAAAAAGCAGTAGTATAGGAATTCCGTCCGTTATATGATCACAGAATCCATGCTTCCTTTTTTCTGACTTGAAATTTGTTGACTTAATTCGGTGTTGATTTACCTCCGGGGTTTCACGATTATGTATATGTTGAGTGATTATGATTAAAACAAAGGAAATTGAAAAAAAAAAAAAAAAACTGGTTTGAATTTTCAAAGCCATTGAAAAGTGCTACATTAATTTTATGCCAAACGTGTGTCAGTTAGAGCCTCTTGTACCTTTGACTAAATCGCCTTAGTTCTTTGAGATTTCTTGACTGCATGAGATGAGAAAAAATGAAGGTGTTAGCGCGGTTGTTTTCTCGCACATGCAAATATACACATTCTCAACTCCCTGCATCTGGTCGATGTACTCGATAAGGGCCTCTTACACATTGTTTCTACGATACTTTGAAGTCTTAAGTGGATTGTGGTTCAAAAATTCAGATCTTTCATGCGGTGAGCATGAAACAACATCTACCCTTGGGCAAAAATACCTGGTTCTGAGGAGACGTGCGATTCTTGAAATTTTTATCTTTCACATGTCTTGATCTCTTTAAAATTTAATTGATCCTTTAATATTGGCCAGTGTTTCAGGGCTACATGCGTAAAATTGTCAAAAAGCTTATTTGTGACAGTCATATCTGAGAATCTCTTCTAATCCTTTATCATTATACAAATAACTTTAATGACTTCGAAAATCTTTGAAAGCATCAGTTTTTTCAACAGAGCACTCGGAAATTACTCTCCAATCAAATACTTGGGAACAAGGTTAATTTGAAGCTTAACAAAGTACCTTTAATGCGGTTAGCCTTAAAAGCAATGTTTGTGCAAGGGACATCTGTTTTTGCGTTTTCCTTAACATAACAAAAAAACAATATTTAGGGGATTTAAAAACTTATCTCACGAACGTAAATCGCCCCCGCCTCATGCAGAACCACAAGACAGGCGTCAACTTTTCAAACATTCTGAGTTATTTTCCCTGCGAATTTGTCCGAGCGATTATTGCGGCTCCTAACAGTTTTAACAGTGGCTATAAAAGTTTCTGAATTGTGTGTTCACCTGGATTATTTTGCCATCACAATTTGAAATTTTACGTTTTGAAAGCGACGTGATTAAATATTAGATATTTTATTAATGCAAGCATCGTTTCAGTGATTATTTTGGTAACGCCGGCAACGCTAGAGGAGAAATAAAGGCCCGGAGTGGACTAATAACTGTGTGCGTACCATTCCAAAGTGTGGTACGGTACCGGTAACTTTCGTAATGAAATACTGGAGTTTTCGCAAGGGCCATAGGCGCCTATTGCCCTGTAAAAACTCCGGTTAATGTTTAAAAGTTCTTGGCATCGAGTCCTATTTGAGTCCAAATTTTTTCTGTAGTGTAAAATGCACCTTAAATGCGCCTTATAATGAGGTGAAAACTCCAGTATTTCTTTACAAAAGTTGTCGTAACGGTAGCCCTTTTAAAAGGGTCCGTACCAAATTTTTCTTTAGTGTGGAATGCACCTGGCACGTGCGATGGGGTACTCCCGGTTAGGGGCGATCTAGCGCTCTCCCAGGCTATGCGATCTTATCGTGTACCCATTTGGGCACGGACTCAAAGGCACGACTCTAGTACGACTATAGCACAATGTGGTTTCACACGTCGAAATTAATTTGGTCAAATAAAATAGCAGAACTGAACTTGCCGAGAACAAAATGAACAACAACAACAACAAAACAGTTAAGTTAACTTAACTTATACGGCAAGGCAGTAACGTGACGTTTGAAGGCAAGTCGTGTTACGACAGTGAGAGGAACGTGACATGTAATTCTGTCAATTGAGTTCAGCACGTTTCGCAGCACGACGTTTGGAATGGTTCTAAGCAACAGTGCACGTAAAATTACATCGCCTGTGCGCGTGACTCGTGCCTTGTTGAAAACGAGCTGGCAAACACTAAAAACACAGGCACGTGAATCTCTGCTGTGACCAGTTCACTGAACCCCGATTATGATTTCGTTACGCTTCATTTGGAACCTGTGAATTACAATGAGATCTTAAAATAACCGAGTCTGTTGTGTACATCAAATAGTTGTTAAACTTACTGGCAGGTTGAAAAATTCGTCATATTCCTACGGAATACCCTTCTTTTAGTTTCTTTTACAATTATGTAATTAGTCTCAAGATCGTGCAGAGCGAACACATGTTTGCGGGAAAGTCATAAGATGTCATGTGCTACCGCTAGTCCACAAGTCCAGTATTATGTACGGTTTTTCCTGATTGAAGCATGCATGCATGAATACATCAGTTTCATTCATTTGATTGGCGGAGACGAGAGAAGACCTGTTACCCCTTCCTCAAACAAGATGCAAAAATCAAAACATCCGAAATTCAAGGTGATTCGTTAATCCTTGGTTACTTTTTTGAGAGTTCAGCCCAAATCTTTTATCATAATTCGTTCTCTTTGTAAAATATGAGTTGTTCTGCCTTACAGGAAAAATGGTCGGAACTCTGCGAGCCGAAAATGGCTCAAGCTTACATTAGGAAGCGCTTCCCGATTGTAACTTGGTTGCCGGAGTATTCCCTGAGAACTTTACAATGCGACTTGATTGCAGGGTTGACTGTTGGTTTAATGGTCGTTCCTCAAGGCCTAGCTTATGCACAGCTCGCTGGTCTTCCCCCTCAGTATGGACTGTATTCGGCCTTTATGGGGTGTTTTCTTTACTGTGTATTTGGTACAAGTAGAGATGTGACCCTTGGGCCAACAGCGATTATGTCACTGATGGTATCCGCATACGGAAAGCCCGAAGTTCCTCAATACACCATCGCCCTGACCCTGTTTTCCGGAATTATTCTGCTGGGGATGGGAGTTCTTCGTCTTGGGTTTGTCGTCAATTTTATTTCAATTCCCATCGTATCTGGCTTCACATCGTCCGCAGCTATAATCATAGCCTTCAGTCAGCTGAAAGATTTGTTGGGACTGGAAAATATTCCTCGCCTTTTCGCTAAGAATGTCTACTACACGTTCAAGAATATAGGCCAGACTAAGAAATACGATATAACTTTGGGTATAATTTGTATTTTATTTCTAGTAGCGCTTAGAAAAATCGGCAAATTACAATGGACGACGCGGAAGGACGTGTCCGATTCGAAAAGGACAAGAGCGGCAAAAAAAACAATTTGGTTGATTTCGATCGGTCGGAACGTTCTTATAATCTTGATCGCAGCTGTGGTGTCATCTGTGTTCTACAATCATGGACACACAGACATTTTCACCCTACCAGCTTATATAGAGCCTGGCTTGCCCCCATTTCAGGTATTTATTTACATGTCACAATTTTTGTCTGGTTACATTTTTAACTATTTATTTAACTGTGACACATCATTCATTTCAAAAGTGTGCCTAATAACATTATGAGTGGTGTTGAAAAATAACTAGTACAACTGAAGGTTTGATGATTTTCTTTTGAAGGCATTTTCAGTTTGATTTTCTTCGAATATTCGGGATGTCATGCTTTGTATGTGTAATTTTTGCCACCGCTACACGTTTGAATAATAATTACATTTTGCCACGCTCTAATTGGTGGGGGAAATTAAGAAATTCTTTCAAAAACTAAGTCACGACCATGGCAACTAACAAACTCAGTTTACCGCCCACGTGTTTTTTAATATTGTCATGTTTATTTCATGGTCATATGGTTATAAGCTGTGGGCTTATACAACTTCGTAAGGGGTGTTAGCAGGGCTTATAAGGGGAGTGCCGGGGCTTATATCCTCAACGCTCGTGCGGGGGAGGAGCGTTGCGTGACAAGAAAAACGGCTGCGAGGGAGACTAATATCTGAGGGGACTTGTGACCGAATAGAGCGCCATAGCAGTGCTGAACAAAATACGCTTTGCATTTACTGGTGTTTAAACCTTCAAAACGTCATGATAATTCAAATTCATTTCAGGACGTACATTTGAAGGGTGTGGGGGGGTATACCAGGGAGGGCTTATAATCAGATGAATTTTTGTGTTTAGAAGTAGATGCGCCTACATGCTACAACTGAGAGGGTTGGGCATATAAGTGGGAAGGGGGGGGCATAAAATGTTGTGTTTAGCTTTAGTTTGGTTAAAACACTACCACTCCCTGTCAAGGAAAGTCTTATCCCCTGATTAAAGCTCTGCACTATATTAACATAATAAATACGATATAAAGTACATCATGCAAACTTTCTCACAGATTGTTGAGATGTATAACCCCTTCATCTGTGCGCTGGGCTTGTTTTTTCCTGATGATATCCCAGTTACCCAGGGGGGAGGGGTGGTGGGGTAAACCTTCATCTGGATCAACAGCCCACAAACTAAGCAAGCAATTCCGTCACAGTTACTGAGTCTATTTGACATTATAAAATTATAAATTTGTTTTTCCATGAAACACTTACAGGATCTTGTTCTCAAAGCAATTAGGATCTAGATCTTGTTCTAGCAGTGCTGCTTAAATAATAATAATTTATAGAAAGTACAAGTCCTGCTTTTTCACAAAGATGAAAACAACAGTACACAGTATATTTTAGTTCTTTTTCTCATGGAAATGGAAGCTTGACTCCACATGGGTGCTCATCAGTACTTACTGCTCGATATGAAATAAAATTAATATTTAAGAAATCCAAAACTATGTGTTATTATTATTACTATTATTATTATTATTTTATTATACTTCAACATTTTCGTCTCGGATTTTTGCAAGTTTTTTTTCTAATTATTATGCATAACTGCAATGAGGTAGGCAGATAGAGGATGTGACATCACAATATTTTTTGCGCAGTTTCGTGCAAAATGTATTTTTTATACCCATGAAGGTAGAAGTCTTACTAAGGTTCTGTTAAATGCTAGCTGTGTTTACACAATCTTGTACACACATCACTAAAAAATACAGCTAAATTCTAGGGTAACAATCAACTAATTTTTTTTCAGTCTTCTCTATGCCCAATGTGCTGCAACAAAACTTAACTGTTTTAAAAAGCCAAACTGATTTCCCAGACAAGAACCTGCTTTTATAGGCTCAACAGGTTCTTATAAAATGGGAGTTTAGATGCCTTCAGGTCCGGGTTTTTCTAAGCAGGGTTAAGATGACCCAGCATATTCAAGTCAATTCTTTACACTTACAATTGATTATTTGATTTGTGGGACCTTAGTACAATGGCTGGTTAAAATTAAAGCAGACAATGCTTGAAACAAACAAAGAAAAGGAACTTGGAGTACATTAACCCTAGCTTCCTAAGCAGGCGTTATTTCGGCTCATCTAAGAACATCTGAGTGGGGAGTTAGGTAAAATAACCCCGGTTTCATGATAACCAGCCGCCCAGGTTCTTAACCAATAGGTTACTCTACTGTAGGAGGCTTTTATTTTACTTCATTAAAGACTGTTTGGTATATTTACCTATAGGTCCCTGCCCTAAGCTTTGAAGTTGATAATGCTACCTTGTCTGCATCTGAAGTACTCAAAGACCTTGGACCAGGGCTGGTGGTGGTTCCATTAATTGGTTTTCTTGAGAGCATTGCAATTGCTAAGGCCTTTGCACGTAAAAATCGCTACTCTGTCGATGCCAGTCAGGAGTTGATTGCACTTGGTATTGCCAACTGTGTCAGCTCATTTGTATCATCCTACCCAGTAACTGGAAGCTTCTCCAGGACAGCTGTTAATGCCCAAAGTGGCGTGGCCACCCCTGCAGGAGGTATAGAAATTTAACAGTTAAAAATATCATAGGTGAAAAATTACTCCTTACATGTAATGTTAGTGATTAACTTCAGCTTTAATTTGTAAATTGATATGTGAAATTACAAAATTGCTTTCATAGCAATTTTCAGTGCCAAGATGGCATTTAGGTTAAAAGATGTAAGTTATAAGTAAAGATGTCAGAGCATCAAAAGATGCTGTAGAACACCTAAATGCACATATTAAATGGTGATAACTACAAACTTAGTTTTTAAATTCATGACAAACAAGCAATTCATTTGTGCAAACAAAGGGTTGTCCATATACTTTTATCAAAACACTCTCTTCTAAAACAATAGTATAACAATAGTCATGTAGTTAGCCTTTGAATACAGCCATATGTCTCATCTTCTCACTGCTGTCCCTTCTGGTGATGAGCAAGGAGAGAAAGTTGTCTGTATTAAATAATATTGCAAGCTTTTTTGGACTACTGGTTCTCATTTTCTATTAGATACCAATGCACATAGTGCTGAGTTGACTTCATGTTTGTGACTCATGTAAAACTCAAAATACAGCAATATCAGATACACCTGATTGAAAAAACGTTGTTGTTTGAAAAGTATAAACCATGAACGATGAGACCTAATGGATTTATGGGTACAACTTCATTAGCATTGCAAATTTAAAGTGCTTCTAATAAATGTTTACATTTATGAAGCTTTTCACGACGATGCATTCCAGAAAACGGTTTCCAGTATTTATGGCTCACAACTTCACTAGTGCTGGACACATAAGAGATTTCTACAGTTAAAGAGCGTAGCTATATCGCCAACACACACTTGAAAATCATAAGATAGGGCCTACAAGTGTTCTAGGAAGACAAAAAAAGACAACAGCATGCCTTAAACAAAGTACTCTAGGGATTTGCATCCGCACGAGCATCTCATGACAATGTAAACTTTTGTCAAAAGAACTTTGAATTTGCCTTGCTAATGAACGTATACCCACAAATCCTTGAAACCACATCGTTCATGGTTTACACTTTTTAGCGACAACATTTTTTCAATCAGGTATATACAGTGGTGTTCATCAGTACTATTTTTATTATTTTCATTTTAGGTATTTTTACTGGAGCTATAGTCCTATTAGCCCTTGGTGTTCTCACCCCATCCTTTAAGTATATACCAAAAGCATCCCTGGCTGCCCTGATCATGTCTTCCGTTGTCACCATGATTGAGTATCATATTCTTCCCAATATCTGGAAAGTACGTCGCATTGACCTGGTCCCACTGATCATCACATTCTTTGGTTGCTTCTATGACATTGAAGTGGGAATCTTATCTGGCATTGGTGTCGCACTGTGCATTCTTCTTTACCGTACTATCTGGCCGGCTGTGACTGTTATTTCCCAAGGAGACTTCATTCTGTTGAAGATCAATGGTAATCTTAATTATCCTGGAGTTGAACATGTAGTCAGTGAGATTCAAGCCGCCTCAGATACCGACCCCCCACCACCTGGCATTGTAATTGATTTCTCTGTGGTCACAAGCATTGATTTTACAGTAGCACAAGCTCTTATAACTGTCCTCGAGGAAATGGATGCCAAGAGAGTTCCTCTGTTCTTTTCTGGTGTATGTGATGCTGTGGCTGATGTGATGATCAAATCTGGTATTGAACCTGGAATAATTAATCAAGGCACGCAATCTGTTATTGATACTATTAGTTCACTAGAAATCGTTTCAGCAAAGTAGCCTTAGTTATCAATTTTACATACTGCTGTGCGCTTTCATCATAAGCAGTGAGTTTGTTAAGAAAAATAACAGATTTAGCAATCGAATTGCAAGGCCCCAAAGTAAAGAGCCTGTCGTTTCCACTGACATCGTTGCCATTTTTGCATATTACTGTTGACTGAGAATTTAAAGTCAACGTATGTTTCTGTAGCATAAATTGACAGGTCTCAGTTTCATATAACCTAGCTCGCCTTTGCTAAATCTATCGTTAGTTTTAAAGCCTTCCCAAAAGCAAAAGGGAGTTATGTTCACTGCCTTTATTTTCTTTTTTTCTAAGAGAGAACAATTCCACAGATCAATTTAATACAAGTGTAGCTATTGTTTTAGAGTATGAAAACAATAGTCACACTTGTAAAAGTTTTTTCAAACTGGCCCCTGCCTTAGTCAGTTTGGTGCTGTCTTTATCATGTTTTAAAATTAGATCCTTTCTTTGAAGCAATTTCTGAACAACCTGAGCTATTAGACAGGGCTGTGCTCTAGCAGAGCCTGGTGGCCCCTGGTGCCCAACTTTTGCTCTCAGGTGACTAGAAAATCTGAGATTTTTCATACATATCACATGCTGGGCACCCTAGATTTTACAGGTTCCCAGCACTGGGCTCCCGTCAATTTTCCTTAGAGCAGAGCCGTGTTAGAGTTGAGCATTTAGAGGCACGAAGATTGCAGGAAGACTGATTTCTGCCATATTATTTTGCTAGTACAACAATTCACACGTGCTCAAGGCAATTTTTATCCATCTGCAAAAAGATAGTCTTTGGCATTAATTTCGTCTTGACACCATGTCTGACCAGAGGAAAGATTTCATCAGACATGGACAGCAAATGGCAAGTGCCAGTTTGTACCATGTGATCAAGTTTTCCCTTGTTGTTTACTGTTTATTATGTCTACACAGAAATTTATTATTGTTACTTCCAGCTTTTCATAAACAAAGAGTAAAATTACAGGAGTTTTTAACAAAATACAATATAGCGTAAAAAACAAAAAAAAAATGGTTGAATGAAACTTTACATTTTGGGTGAATTATTTGCATTTATTGGTACTAAGAATTAATACTATTTTTAAAGAAAATCGTAGCTTTCCTTTACCACTCTGGTAAGTTGTCTAGGAAGCAATTCATCCATTTATAGACATACAGTCAACTCTCTCATAGTGACCACTTCTCGTAAGCGACCACCTCCCGTAAGAGACCACTTTGCAAATAAACTGTTTTGTTGCTGTTTTGTTTTGTTTCTCAGTCAAACACTGTTTCAAATACTCTCTCGTAAGAGACCACTATTAAATTTCTTAAAAGACCGTGACCACTTTTGGGCCAGAAATTTGACATATTCTTTTGTTTTCTGTTTCCAGTAAGCGACCACCGGACATGATCACATATGATTGTAACAAAACCGTTGCTCGAATGTCACAAAAGTTCATTTTTGAAAAGTGCAGCCAAGTTAGCTGACAGATTATAGCAGTCGACTTACAAAAAATATGTCTGTAATACGATCTGTAGGTAAAAAAGTGGATTGTCACATTCATGCATTATCATGTTACATACAAAGTTTCATCAGCTCCAAGCACTATTCGAGTTAAACATTATCAGCAGCAGCATAATTAGGTTAATCAGTTCAGTTTGAGTTTTTTTCTTAATTTTTCCCATAGATGACCACCTCCCGTAAGCGACCACTTTGCCGTGCACCAAGTGTGGTCGCTTATGAGAGAGTTGACTGTATTAGCGTGTCAGTGTGTCACTATACACTATACAGGACATAGATTTGGGTAGTAATCTATCCCTTCCGGAATAAATTTAATAGCAAAATATATCTACATAAATACAAACAAAGTAATTTATATATTGTTATTGTTAAATTTATTTTGAGATTATATTCTTCTTAATTTAAAATTCAACAACAAGTGAACAGTTAAATTATGTAAGATATGAACTGAAAAGGAAATCTGCTATGTAGCAATTAGTACATTGCCGATGCAGATTAAGCTAAGAAAGATACAATTATTAATTGGACTGCAAATGGTTTGGTAGAGTGGACTGACAAATTTTGAACTGGAAGAAAAATATCTAAGAAGTTCAGTTAGTGTTTTTAAAATGGGGTATGATGAACAGTACTGTTATCGTCAGTAAGTTTTTATATTAATCCATCAATATTTTGTGACTCTATACTTTACAAATAATATTCAGCGTGCAAAGAAAGTAGTGTCTGATAGCCCGGGGCTAGTGGATTTTGCTATCGGGCTAGTGAATTTTGTTCTTAACTTGCCCGACGTGCTAGTGAAGTGAAATCAATTCTCCTCATCAAAATGTTTTTGGAACATGCTAGCTTCAGCTTGCCCGAATGGCAAGCTTTAAAAATGATTTCTTTGCACTCTGATATTACAAAGTAAACATTTCCAAGTAAATGAGGTGAATTATAAGTTTGTTTCAGGAGATATTTTTGGTAGAACAGTAAAGGCTAATTTTATGGGATATTGGTATGTTTACAATGAATGTGTCGCTACCATAAATCCTCTATTAAGCCCCCTCTCTCAAATGAGCCCCCCCCTTCTAATAAGCCCCCTTTTAAGGGGAAAAAAGTATTTCACTCAGGACTGTAAAATTTGATTTGGACTGCTCCGGGATGGTTTATTGATGTTTGGAAGTTCGGATTTGTTTTTGATCCTCAGCTGCACGACCTCAGACTTCTTGTACTTGACCTTTTTCACTTTGCATTCTAGTTCTTTATGAAGAACTGACACTACCATTTTCGCTAAATTAAATAGGCTCTCCCCCCCCCAAATAAGCCCCCCACCTCCATTAAGCCCCCCTCCCCCCTGCACACAGTGTTTGAAATAAATAAGCCCGCTGGGGAGGGAACAAATGGAGGATTTAAGAAACCTCTCCTCAAGTCAGTGTTAAGCCATGGCTTGTACAAAAGGGGGACAAAATGGAAGAAATGAATGGAGGCAAGCATTCTTTTTTTTTGTCCAATTTCATTTTCAAAACCCTGGGGTCAATTTAATAAAACTTTTGGTTTGGAAGGTTTCTTCCCCCTGCACAAGTTAGATGACAAAGTTGTCTTTGATTGTACTGACCACACCTCTCTTAATGGCCACTTACCCCTCTCCCCAAGGTGACCATTGTCAAGACACATGGAGACGTTTAGAGAAGCTCAACTAACATCCTTACTATTATGCACTCAAAATAATAAAGTGATTTTTCATGTCATTTCGCTTTTTTAATACCTGGCCACATCGCTACACTCCCTGTGTCATCTATTTCAATTTCTTTCTGGGTCTATAATTCACACTATCAAAAAGATTCCAGTGTTTTTCATTTGTACATACTGGTTTATCCAGGTTTATGAACAAATGCAATATGCTATCGATATAATATTTGGAGCCTTTGATTGAACCACCCGCCAGTATCGGTACGAGATTGCATTTTTTTAAGTACGAGTGTGTCGTAATTGATTCAAACCAATCTTCCAGTCTGCAGAGTATGGCAGGTGCACGCGTGAGTTTTTTAAATAATATAAGAAATAAGGGCCTAAAAACGGCCTTGCACGCCCGCGATCTCGACGAGTTCTGCCATACTCTGCAGACGGGCCATTCTTAATATCATTACTTTTCAGGGTTCTATCTAGGATTTATCATTTGGGGGAGACGTCCTGAGTGGCCAAAGGCGACAAGCCTCCTAGAGGGGTCCGCCACCCCCGTCGGAAACTTTTTAAATGAATATGCACTGAGATGCAATCTGGTGCATTTTGAGACAATTTTGAGAAATGTTATAGTGTGTGCACTAACCTCGTGGCGTCCTGTGATTTTTTCGATATAGTTACTTATATACTGTAATGATAACAATATTTTTTGGGGGGGGGGTTCTACCCCTCAAATACCCTAGATAGAACCCTGCTTTTATGTATGCGTTAGTTAGTAACAGTGAAGAATTATAACTCGGGTATACATTAAAATCCCAGTCGATTCCAAGGTGCCACTTGTAATCGATTTCTTACTCGTTCACTGTAGCATAGTTGTAACTATGATCAGATTGTGAACGATCAGATTCTTCAGATATGGAAATCCGGCTCACCTGATTGAAGTCTTCCTTCAATGATCGTGATCATTAGACCTTTATGTATTCGGGATCACCGTATTTGTACATCAGTTTGGAGGAAGAAGATCTCAGTCAAATGGTCAGGAGTTCGTCGAAGTCACTTGCCTTTTAAAACACCTTTTAACCCCGTTTTTTTGCATACCTTTGCAGACTGTCTTAGACTGTCATCTTTCTTTGCTATTACAAATTTCGTCCCAGGCTCCCCGAGGCATATTTGCATTTGGCAGCGTGGAGAATGGAAGCTGGGTTAGACTTGTTTTTTGTGTTGTTGTTGTTGTTGTTTGTTTGTCTGTTAGAATTTTTAGTTTTTTTGAATCGCAACTTTTCCTTTTCTAATGGCTTATTTTGCCTTTACAGCCTTCACCAGGTTCCATGCGATAATTTTTTGGGGGGAGGGGCGGGGCGGGGGGCGCGGGTGGTGCGGGGAGGAGAGAAATGGGGTTAATATTAAATTGCGAATGGAAAAAATATGGTTAGAAAAGCGTATGCCCATAAACCAGTTAATATGCCAGTGAACTCAGCTGGGGCACCTTTTTGAGGTGGCTGTACGTATCAGTGCCAACTAATAATTCTTTTCATATTTTTTCTTTTTAGCATAACCCAAATCCATTGTATTTAATTTTTCTATAATTTATAAATACCCCTTAGTTTTTTCTTTAAATTAAAAATATCAGTTTAAAAAAAAACATCCAAAAATTTTCGGACATTTATTAAAACTATGACTCCGACCATTGAGCCATTTTTTGATAGAATGAAATCTTGGCTAAATTTTGAAGAAAACCTTTTAACCAGCCTCAACAATTTGTCAATCTGGCCTGCATCACGCAAATTACTTGTGATGACATGTCAAGAACTAGCCTGCGCCTGTGTACAGTCGCCCCCTTCCCTCAGAAAAAATCGGAGATGGGGCTTTTCTCCAATTTTCTCTGAGGGGAGGGGGCGGCTGTTCACAGCATAGTCAAGAACTAGCCTGCGAATACAGCCGTTATTAGTGTCGTCACGCAACGCTCCTCCCCACTGTTCTGTGTAGTAGTAGCAGACTTTTGCGTGAATGTTTTCGTCGGTAAAGTTCGTTAATTTCCGGAACACTTCGGAACGAAGAAGATGGTCGTGATTCCCGTATGTAGAGCTGCCGACGTGGCGGACATTTATTTGTGAGGCCTGTGGCTGAATCAAATACAACTTGTTCACAAAACCTTCGTAATTTTCAGCTGTTGGTTGTTCGTTTTCCACCTGGATATTTTTACCACATGAGAAAAGAATGAATATTTTCAGACTAACAGGAGATCTGTCACATCTTCTAGCTATCGTGCTGCTGTTGTGGAAAATATGGAAAACAAGGTCGTGCGCCGGTAAGTTTTCGTTACGTCGGGCTGAAGCCACCTCATAACTAACATGACTGCCTTTTGGACGGTGAATTTGGCTTTGGTGCTTTGGCAAAAGCTATTTTAGCAATTTAGTACATATTGTAGCTTCTTATTACAGTTATAAGATGTCTCTTGGTATTACGGGATGAAAGGTCTTCAGTCAATTTCATACGTGAATCGATTTGTGTTTAAATTTTGTACACGTGTAATAAATTTCATTGGACGAGGGAGATCAGCTGGAATCAGGAATCTTTTACGAATTGTGGTCGTTATAACTTGATAAGTGCCATTGTATCAAGAATATGTAAGCTTACTTTCAATTCGAGGCTTAAACCAGCTTCCAAGAGCTAAACTTTGCAGCACATCTTTTATTGAATATGTCTTTGTGATGTGATTTATCAAGATCAGATCATATGTCGTCTGCCGTTTAATACTTAACCTCAATGAATTCACCAGAGTGAAACTGTATTCTTTATTTTTGATCGGTTTTTCTCTTGAGTTATTCTAAAGTTAAAGGTAACTGAATTTTTCTCCAATAATAAAATCATAAGTTTACACCATCGATAAACGAAACTGAACAACAATTGCGGGAAATCTTCAATAATAGTCTCGAATATTTTAGAATATTTGCAAAGTCCCATTTAGTCTTATATTTTAGCGTCTATTGACTTCAAATCCTTTTTTCACTTGAAAGAGTTTTGAGAAAGACCAAGCTTCCAAACAAATGATCAAAGAAAAATAGGAAACAGGAAAAATAAACATAACAGGAAAATAGTCTAAACAATGACTTTTTGCATTGGTCTTAGGGCCTGTTTTCATGGAGGTGGGGGACCCCAGGTAGGTGAGGTAACCCGTTTAGGTGGGGTAACCTGCCTGTCCATATAATCTCTCATTTTTTTTAAAATTTGATCATGTTTACATGATACATTGTAGGTAGGTGACCTGCCACATGTTACCTCACCATCTGGGGTCCTTCACATCTATGTAAACAGACCCTTAAATTGTATTTAATGATAAATGTAGCTTAATGACCTGCTGTGTAAATACCTTTTCCCATCTTCTTCTTGGATTGTCACCTCTAGGCACCATCAGTTCTTCGTGAAAGTAGTTACAAATCATTCAGTTCTTACAAGTTTCAAGATTTTCCCACTACATCCCAGCTTACTTGGTCCATATGATATGTCAGCATCTACAAGTAGAGAAAAGGATCCAAAACCTGAATGTTTTAAAACAAATTAAAAAAAAAATAGATCATAGCATTGATGAGATTTTATTTTCTTCTTTGCAGGCTTATCTGGCAAGAGTCAAATTCTTTTTGCCTTGGTATTTAGCACACGATACCTTGATTTGGTTTTGACTTTTATCTCAGTCTATAACACTGTGATGAAAATCATCTACTTGGTGTGTGCGTACGGTACAGTCTATTTGATGCTAATTAAGTTCAAGGCTACCTACGATTCAAATCATGATACTTTCAGGATTGAGTTCTTGCTCATACCAGTCGCTGGTCTGGCATGTTTAGTTAATCATGAGTTTTCAGTATTGGAGGTAAGTTTATTGGAAAAGGAATATTATTTTAGTTTAGGGGACCAAATTGAAGCAGACAAACTCAGTACAAATGCGGTTGCTGGTAAATAGGGCAAAGATTCAAAAAAATTTATTGTAAGCAAGGCAACGACAACCAATTCCTGTTTTTGAAAATACCCTTGGGATAACTGGTGCCACAGCTGGAACTAAACTTCTGGTTAAGTCCTTCTGCAAAACAGCACCAAAATCCTTGTTCAAGGCACTCACCTGTGTACTACGATTTGGGTACCTGCTATGATTGGTCTGTTGCAAAAGCCCTTGTTGATTTGCCAATCAGGTTGAAAGGAAATTCAAAATGCATTTCCAGTAATGTGGTGGCCCAGAACAAGGATATTGGTGCTGCTTTGCAGACGTTACTAACCAGAGTTTGATATGTCAGTGACGCAGGCTACCTTGGGACTGTGAGTTGAACTCCTCATAGAACAATAGGTAAGGGTGAGTGTAGTTGCTCTGCAGAATGCTGGAACCACATAAAAACCATGCCTACATGAGACAGAGAGATGGATGGGAAGAATGCAGCAGTAAAAGTTTGTTAGTGAAGTCATAGATCTTGCTACAAGATGCATCATGCACAATGAATCTCAGAAACGTGAACCCTGTTCATCTCAAAACCCTGTTTCATGTGCTTACCAGTCTGTCCAACAGCACATAATTATGAGCTGTGATTTTGGAAACCAAAAAAGCCATGCTTATCAATAATATCGTTAAGCTGTTAGCAGTACCCTACAACTGTAACTCTATAATAGTACAAATCTGTAATAATGTAGGGATGACAAGTGTGACATCACATGACAAGGGTGATGCATGCACAAAGTTGCTGTTTTGCTAATCTAAACCTATTGCTTTTTTTGCGGATCTTGTTGCTGTCGCCGTCGTCGTTGCTTACACTCCCCCATAATATTAAGACGCTAGAGGCCACTGGGTGCTGCTAGAGCACAGTTCTAGTTGTATATTGCAAGTGTGAGATTATTAGACTACTTCAAGGCATAAGGTGCAAACTAAAAAAATAACTAAGGTCCTTTAAAGCTCAACTTAACATAAAATAAACAGTTAAATGGTGGAAGCAGAAAAAAATATACCAATATTTTTTACTAGTTCTGATAAAGTTGCAGTCTCAGCTACAATTACCGTGTAGCTATTTTTATAACAACATGAGATAACCTAAAAATATGTCTTATAATAAAGCAGTTGTAAAATGATATGTTCTTAGGGTACTGGGTTTTTTAAACAAACACAGTTCATTAACCTATTTGAATCAACTCTTTGACATTTTAATTTCACATTCTTTGTCTGTTTCAGTACCAATCAGGGCAAAAATTTCTACACCACACCCCTTACCAAGTCGCAGTCGAGGCAAGTTTTTCACTAGCCTGCGTTGCAGACATAATTTAACCCCGGTTAGTAGCGTCTGCGAACTAGCACCAATATCCTTGTTCTGGGCCTCCCAACAGACTCAACAAATTACCGGAAATGCGTTGTGAATTCCCCTTCAACCTGATTGGCAAATTGACATTGGGATTTTTTAACAGGCCAATCATAGCGTATACTCAATCAGGGTTGTCACTAAGATTTCAAGTTGCCGGGTAAATACAACAAGTAGGCGGTGAATCAAACGGCTAGGGATTTCTTTTGGTTCTATTTTTCTTCTATTTTCCAATAAAAGTAGCCGGGGAAAATCCCCGGCCCCCGGCTCTTAATGACAACCCTGCTCAATTCCTGGTACACAGGTGAGAGCCCAGAGCAAGGGTTTCGGTGCTGTTTCACAGATGGACTCAACCAGAAGTTTAGTTCCATCTGTGGCGCAGGCTAGTTTTTCACTTGTCTTGCCATGTTATACAGTACATATATATTGCTGAATGAAAATATTGGTGACCTGAAAAATATATTCTTGATTGCTTATTCATGTATCCCTGGTTATTCAGAAGTTGGATGGCGTTATCCACCAATAAATCGATATCCAGTGGATAAGTATTACAAAAACCAATAATTATTGCATAGTGCTATCCAGCTTTTGAACAACTGTGCCCAGATGTTTTCTCTGAGTTTTGACTTATGAACATGTTTGGTATTAGGTTCATGGTTTTGGTTAATGCACAGAAACATTCAAGTACAGGCAGAGGGTTTGAGCAAAACTTTGTGTCAAAAACAATGTTATTAGGATTTAGGATGTCAAAACTGAGCAATGTACTGTGTACACATTAACTTTTTCAACCTTGTTTTTAAATTCCAACCAGCACTCTCACTAAACGTAGTTAACTGTTAAGTAATAAATAATGTGAACTTAATATGACTGCCTTTGTGGTTGCTGGAACTTTAGTATTAAAAAGGTTTGATTAACAATGATACATCACAGTTATGAAATGATTAATGATCCTGGGTCAGTGAGCTACAGTATAAACATGTATTAAAAACTGATGAAACATATTCTTTGTACCATTTAAAGTGCAAAGTGTGGGATAAGACAACAATCTAATGTATTTTCCCATTTAGTTTGGACTTTCTTACCTCTGGGTATGGCTGTATTAGGGTACTTGTTACGGTTGGTTTTGACAACCCTTTGCCATGGCAACCTAATCAAAACAAATGAAAAAAAAGATACAATATAAATGTTCCTGATTGTCTTAGAGGGCACTAACACAATGAACGTGGCTGCTAGTCGTCCACTCTCATAATTCTCTTCCCTTTTTTTGTTTGCATAGATTTTATGGACCTTCTCCATTTACCTGGAGTCAGTAGCAATCTTGCCGCAGTTGTTTATGATCTCCAAGACTGGCGAGGCAGAGACAATCACCAGCCATTACCTGTTTGCCCTGGGTGCCTACCGAGCTCTGTACATCGTTAACTGGATCTACCGATACTACTATGAAGGGTTCTATGACTTTATCGCCATTGTTGCTGGATGTGTCCAAACAGCTCTTTACTGTGACTTCTTCTACTTGTATATCACTAAAGGTAATGTTGGGTGATGTTATTATGGTTTGGGTTTTGTGCATGTGATGTTAAACACCAGGGCAGCAATGTGGCCCGAGTTCAAATCCCAGTGTCAACACGTGGCTTGAGTTTGTTATTGGTCCGGCCACTTGCTCAGAGATGTTTTTCTCCAGGTACTCCGGTTTTCCCCTCTTCCCAAAACCAACACTTCCAAATTACAATTCGATCTGGAACACTTGTTCTTAAGAACTTCTAAGTGCTTCATGGGTGAACAAATAACAATTTACAATTTACTGTAATTATTACAGTAAAGAACCATTAGCTCGTCTTAAATCCTTGAGTCCCTTTGTTGGACATTTTGACCAACTGTGAGCAGAAGCATTGTTTATTACACATAGGTTTCATTTTTGACATGGATACTAAATGGTATTACATACTGAGCAATTTCAAAACTGCTCTGTAGTTTGATAAAGAAGAAAAAGGTGGGAAATTAAACTGAAAAAAGAAATACATTTTTATGCGTTACATAAACAGTAGCTCTGGTAGGTAAATTAATTTATTCTTGTTCTTACTACTCATGAACGGGGCAAATTTTAGGGAACAACGAATTTACCTACTACAGAAAAGAGCACCTCTTAAGGTGCACTGTTTCTGCCTCTGGCTATGGTTGGGCAGACATGTTTGCCAGAAATTAAGGCAGACTTAAGGAAACCATCATTACTCAGCCGTGATAATGACATCACTGTTTTACTCAGAAGGCTGCCTAGCCATTTCTTTAGGGTAATTGAAAATCTACCCATTATTTATTGCTATGGTTACGGGTTGCTTACCCTTACCTGTACCCATAGGTATTGAAAATAGTGTATCTTGATGTTCTCATTATTTTTAATGCATCCAGAATACAAAGGGAAATTTCACTACCTTGTATTGTTAAGTTTGGTGTACAGTACTAAAGATGCTGGCTCACAGAAATCTTTGTTTTTCAGTTTTGAAAGGAAAGTCACTGAAGTTACCAGCTTAATTTGACAAGAGGGGAAAAGAAGACTTGCAATTCTATTGGACAGAAAAAGTTTGCCAGCAAATGTATCTCTAGAATAATACTTACAACTTTCATTGTGCAAATTGAGTGTCCGAGCTTTTATCTTCTTTAATAAGATTTATGCCAGTTACATTAAAGTTCTTGGAATGTACTTTCAAAATATTTAACTTGAGGTAATATATGCATTATTTTGGTAGCTTTTCTATGAATTATAGGCCCGTGTGGTCTATACTTCTTGCTTCAGACCATTTTAGCAAGAAATCTGTGAACACTAGGATAGCTCTGGATTATGTATTTGTCCTGTCTTATCCCTTTCAATCAAAGTTGAAGGGGTAGGTGGAAAACGTTCTTGTCTTTATCAGTGACTTTTGATGGTAAGTTAAAATCTCTCATTCTTTCACAAGCATACATAGGGCAACTTGAGTAGAGGATCTAACTCTTCATTTAAACTGACTTGGGTTATTTCCTGTCAGCCATGCAAGTAAAGAATGAACTACCAAGAAAATCTTTTCACCAAAAGGCTCTTGATGATCAAATTTATACATCTTGGGTTTTAGGTTATTCCTGGAAGTGCATTCTACCTGTACATGTATCATTTTGTTGACTGTTACCAGTGCAATTAGCATTTTAGGAATGATTTTTACTGTTTAAAGCTTTTGATTTGCTTGTTAATTTCACAGACTATTAGTTTTTTTGTACTGTGTTCCAATTTAAGTTAAAAGGTTAGGAAAAAGAAGTATTAAATTTTAGAAATTCCAATATTTGTCAAAACATTTGTCTTAACAGTTAAACCTTTCCATGAAGACTTAATTTGATTGTAGTTCACATCATCTGTTAAGCAAAGAGACCAAAAATAATGAACAACAGTCAGTTATCCCTGTGATCAGCACATAATAAATTATATCCATCTTAGAGAGGTTTTCACAGGTTTATTAGTGTAATCAGTATTTCTGTTACCCTCTTTAAGTCTGTATTTATGTGTTCTGGTTCAATTTTATCCTTGGTGTGATTTTTCTCCATTTCAGACTCATTTTCACACACTACCATATCTCAAAACAAAGGGGAATAAAATATTATACCAAGGATTAAGTTGAATCTGAACATAAATCATGTATTATGTATGTATCTGGATAGATAGATAGTCAAAGTAAATGACTGAAGAATGGTAGGGACAGCTCTAGGTCCCGGGGAGTACTCCCCTATAAAAGTGACGGGGGTGCAGGTCGGAAAATTTCGAGAACAGCCTTAAAGGTACTAGAATCTTGTTTTATGGGCGTGTCCCAAATTCATTTCCACCTCTAAGAGGTACCAATTCAGCCACAACAAATTATATAACTGGTACTGCAAATTTTAATAGTAATATAAAGATAACTTTCAAACACTTTCTTCTCAAGGACGTTTTGCAAGTATTGTCATAAATCTTTATCCTAATAAAGCATATCAACTCTGGCAGCAGTCATTTTACATTTTAGCACCCTAAGCGGTACCAGTCCACAAATTTGAACTCCTAACAGGTACGACAAGCACCCCCATCACTTTTATAGGGGAGTACCCCCCAGGCTCTAGGTGTCTGTTTTAGGGCAGTATCCCTTCTAGTCGGATGTCCTTTGAGAGACAGCTGACTATACTGCTGTGTATACTGCTGTGTATTCTTTTACAGGCAGCTAGTTTGGTGCTTTGAAAAGGCTTAACTGTTGTATCATTTTGTGCATTGATGATCTCAAAGTAATAACATTAAAAAAACAATATTTTTGAGCCTTCAAAGTGTTGTATAGCTGTATACAGAGTCATCTCCATCTTCAAAGATAGAGTGGAGGGGAGTTTTATCAGTGCCCACATAGGGACAATTCTAACTTTGGATTATTTGGAGGTGGGTACCCTTAGTAGTGGGCCAAGCATTGTTTTTATTTACTTGCACATGTTTGAGGATAGCTCACCGGGGGCGGATCCAGAAATTTCAGAAAAAGGTGGCTGGGACACTTGCCCACTTGCCAGCTATTTGGATAGTTTTGATTTTTCTGAGAACTCTATAAAAATAATTCAAAATTTCAAAGAAAAAGGGGTGGCCCTGGTCACAGTGTTCAGGAAGCCAGAAACAGACTAGCATCTAATGCAGACTAACGAACTAATAAAAAGGTTTTCCTCGAATGTACCATTTTGTGATAAACGTGACTAGTAAAGGTATGTACACCATTAATTGCTTGCTTTAAGGCGGCGTGGTGGAACAGTTAGAGCACTGGACTTGTAATTTGGAGGCACCGAGTTCAAGTCCCACCCTGACCGCTAGCTGGATTTGTTCTCGGTAGTCCTGTGTTCAAACCCTCGTCCACGTTTGTAAAATAGCCAACTGGTTCGCCTCCTGTCAGTTGGGATTTTTCAAAATTTTTTTTTTTCCATGTAAAGTGTTTGTTTCATTATCCGTAAAAAGCCCCTTAGTGGGAGAGGATAATTAAAGTGTTATTATTATTATTATTATTATTATTATTATTATTTACCTCCTTTGAACTAGGGAAAACATGTTTTTCTCTCAATTAAAACTTAAGTTGCACTAAAGTGAGGTTTCAAATTTTAGGCAACTTTTACACAATGAGGAGTGTTTGTTGAACAAATAACGAGAAATAACGAGCGAAACTCGGTACTCGGGGAACAGAGTGGGCACCTCCCACAGTCCCACCCATTTATCCACCCTGGCCCCACCCTCCCGCGTTTCATTTCGGCAGACTCGTTCAACGCGCGCATTCATTGAATAAAACTGTACCGTGAACAAGGGAATGCAGCACCTACCACCCAAACTACTGGACCAAATAAGAAGCAATAAGAAAACGAGGGGAAACTGTTTTCCCTTCACTATCGAGGGAGAAAGCTCCAAAAATCCCTTTGTTCGACTTAAGTCTTCGCTTTAGCGTAGACCAAAGATACCTCACTCTAGGTAAGAGTGAATGACGCACATAGGTAAGGAGATAGAAAGAAACAATCTCAAAGACATCTGTTTATGAGTATGTACATTTTGATGGTCGTTTATGTGCATTTTTGAGACTTTTTTAATGTTTCCCCCAATTGCAAAAAATATCCTCATAACCTGGGTGGCCTGTGCTGGACCTTTTGAAAAAGGCGAGGCTGCCAAGCACCTGAGCTGTCAGTGCGGTGAAAGTCACGAGATGAACTGTAGTGAATGGTTTGAACCTATACTTGAACCGTACCTAAGACTATGCCCTATAAAGCTTTTTGCTGGGGTAAATCAGTTCTGAATGATCTTTTCTTTGAAGAATATCGACGATGCGGGATTTGGGCTCCGTAACAGCTCGAAATTGGGAAATCTTCTTCACCGGAAATGGCCGGATGGCCATAATGAGGCCGAGCTGGTAGTGAATGTGTGGGGTAGTTGTGGCCATGTTTTCGTGGCCACAAACAATGGAAGAAACCTGCACGCTTTTGAGACCATTCCTCGATCTAAATGGAGGCCGGAGAGCGAAGGCCTTCTTCTACAAGGTATGAATGAGCGTCTCAATTTTGTACCTCGTTGTATTGATGTTGCGTGCATGCATGCCTGCGTTTAGCCCAGAGTTAAGCTTAATTTTTAAACCGATTGTAATGCTGATCACTTGACGTATTTTGTTCTTCATTACATTGTGTGTTAACTAGTTTATGACGCGTGCATCAGCACTGATTTTTCACTTTTCCAAAGAAATTAAGGTCATTGAAAATAATGACGAGTTTAGTGGGGTGCATGGAGGATATCTGAAGCAGGGGAAGGTAGGGTGGCTGAAACCTTAGAAACCAAGTTGCTGCCAAAATGGTCATTTTCATTTTCCAATTTAAAAGGAACGGAATTTCTGTGAATGACCAATTAAGCGTTCACTTCCAAAATAATATACACCTCTTATCTGATAAACGCCCCTCTTTGCTGTTGAAATTGTGTCAGACGCACCTGTCTGATAAATGCCCCCTTTTAGAATTACTCAAAAATACTTGGAATTAGCTAAAAGGAGCAAAATCAGTCAATTCATTCAGTTTCTTGCCAAGTATAGACTAACGATGGTAACACAATAACTCTAAGTGAAGATTCTGACATTGATGTCAGGATGTATCAATAATATTGATGGAGTGGATATTCTGTGTTGTTTCACTTTCTTGATATTTTCACGGAAAGCATATTAGTTTTGTGGAGTCTGTTATGTGCTATGAGACTAAATGCCTCTCTCTTTTAAACACCTCCTATCTATTAAATGCCCTCCCTTGGCCCCTAAAGTTGAATAGACACCCCGCGCGTTTAATAAATCATTTGCAGTACTCACATACTTGATGTCATATTGCAGTTTCTATTTCACAATACAGCTTTCTACTGGTTAACAGTTTTTTGCCCACCAGCCATGTTGCCTGGTTTACAGCCCTAAGAATAATGTATCTTCTCATGGATAAGTCACCCAGACAACTTCTTGTCATTTGCTAATGGTTTATAACTTTTGTGAGAAGAACCCACTAAATATAGCCAATAAGTAAATTATTTTTTTAAGTTTATTTGAATCTCAGAGAGTTTTTCTTTTTTGCCTACTTGTAGACCAAGAATCTCCCATTGTAAGTGTCCTTTTTAGTGCAGAAAATCCTTCATTTGTCTTCATTGTTCACCAAAGCAGCATTACAGAATGCTGGGAATTTACTCAATCCAACTATAAATGGATCAAAAGAAATGAGTTTCAACTAAGTAACACCAAAGCGGTTGAAGTACTGCATGTAGTCCTTCACCCTTTGGTCAACTCTTTTTTCTGGTGTGAACAGCGATCTGCCTCAGCTTCAAACTTAATAACATGCTGTGTATGCTTGAGAGAAGTGACTTTTTCTGAGCGTCTTGGAAACAACACCATAGTATCTGTAGGACCATTAACTGTTATTCTCCATGGGTGTCCGACCATGTCATTGCATATTGTGGGAAGAGGTGTGTGTTTGGTTCCTGACATGCCCGAGGAGTTAACAAGTGTTCTTCTTTTTTGGACATTTGTTCAGCGTGTATTGAAGGTGAGTACTTGTGACAGAAATAACGTTAATCTTAAATTCATTCAAATCTTTTCTCTGTTTCTGATTAGCTTAAATTCCCTAGCTAAATATTTTTATGAAGTATTTATACTGGCCAACTTTGGAGGATCCACATCATTTATTATTGGACAAATGAGGTCAATCAGCGAATAACTTAAAAAAATATATTAGATAAATGACATCATTCATTACAGTGCCAGTGGCTCAGTTGTTTTTGCAGTGTAAAGCTTGAGAAGGTGGCTGCAAAATTGCAGATGCTTTGTGGAAAAGAAATAAACTGAAAAATTATTGACTTAAAAATCTTCCACTTCCTCTTTCTCCACTTCCACTGATCAAGCAGCTTCTATTTCGGTTTCATCTCTACTTCTGCCTCCTAATCCTAGTGTAAATGTAGGTTTAAAATAACATTAACTTCTTTTTTTCTTGTGTATCAGGTTTACTTATGGAATTATGGTTTTGTGGGCAATATGGACAAATTTGATTTCAAAGCCATTATGGCAGAGTTGCTTTGTCCGTGGATTTCAAGCATGAAGGATGGATTACCACATAGTACTGCCATAACTTGCCATCCATCAACTAATGAACTTGTTGTTTTAAACAGTGACTCACAGATATCTTATTTCAGACTTCACGATGGTGATCCAGTCTTGAAACACCTTGTTAAACTTCACCTTGGTTCATCATTGGAAATTGACAAAGTTTCGGCCTTTTTCACATTTGGTCTTTTTGCTGGTCTTGTATCAGATGTAGGTATTATTTCAATTTGTGATATTACCAGTGGTGTACAACTTTGTAAACTTGAAGACTTATGGGGACAAAGTGTTCACATCTGGAGAAGCTTTGACTTGACCAATTCAGTTGGATTTTGGTCCATCACTGGAATCTGGAAATTGCAGTCTGGGACTGTCCTTGAAGTGTCTGAGTGCATCAGGGCTTCTCTTCAAACTACAAACTTGAACACTGGAAAAGAAAATTCATTGTCGCTTCAGGGAACATCAAGCAAAGTATGCACCAGAAACTGCTTTGCCCAGAAAAATGATTTGTGTACTTGCAGTGCATCCGCTTCTGAAAATTTTGTCATTCCTGACCTTGTGATTGAACACGAAGCAACCAATGATTCTTCCATAGCTAATCAAGGATCTGTTCATTCCAATGAACAAAGCATCTTTTCCGGTCCACTTTGTGCTGCAGATCATCTGATGAAGTGGAATATAAACCATCGAGCAGCTAAGCTTGCATTAGACTCAGTTTTGTGTGCAAGATTAGTCTCAGATTGTGATTCAACTGATGAAGAAGTGCCTGGAGTATTTCTTGATCTCTTGGTGGGTGAGTATGCTCAGAGTCCAGCAATGGCTCTTGCATTACTATGGGAACATCCAATTCACAGACAGTATGTTCATCATAAGCTTGAACAGTATGTGAGTGAAATCTCAGACAAATCTCCAACTAAAAAGACATGTCTTAATGAGCTGCTGCAGCCGTACATCGCTGAATTTCTTGTACTCAGTAAACAATGCAAGTCAAAAACTGATTCCAGTTTGAAAGAAATGACCCAATCACCATCTTTACCAACTAACTCAATTGCCCAAGAGATTACATCACTTTTGGAAAGGTTCAACACAGGTCCTTTGGATTTGACATCGTTGGAGAGACTTAGCACACTCAGCTATCAGCAACCACAACAGGTTTTAAGCTGTATATCAGAATATTTGAAGATTGACTCAGAGCATGATAAACCAAGGGACAATCATTGTGAGCAGAGATGGAGGATGATTTACAGGTAAAAACAATGACTACTTCAAGAAACAAAGGGCAGGGGGTTCAGAGATGAATACAATACAAAGTCTTGAAAAACTGAATTTTATGATATGGCTAAAATGTCAAATAACTTTTATTATTACATTACCACCAATGAAATATCAGGTGAGCATTCACCCAAAAACATGATATCTTCTGAGATGAAAAGATTACTGTTGCTATGGCTTTATGATGAATTTTCGCAGCCCAAAATATTTTTGGGTGAAATGGCTTGGAGGTACTTCATTGGTGTATATATATTAAAATTAATAGAACACTACATGTACATTGCCACTTGGAGATACTAAATTTCTCTTCAAGTGTTGAAAAATATTTCATGAGTGAGGGCAGCATGATTGTTGTAGGAATGTGGCTGTGAAGGCCAGTTTTGTATGGTTTCAAATATATTGCTTTTAAAAAACTTCAGGAATGTAAACAGTAACAGTGGTCATGGAAATGTGTCTATTTTGAAATGAATTCTGTCTCAGAGGCCTTGGTTGCAGCAATTGCTATGATTGCTGAAGTATTGTTTATCGCCATGCAAATCACAGTTCTCTACCCTCTAATAAATCGGTCTTGAATTGCCCCAAAGCCATAGATCTTGAAGAGTCACCCATACAACCGTATACAGTTGATCTAAAAACTTGTCGCTGTCTGACAAAGTAAAAAATCTTGGGCCATCAGCCCCAATGGGCTTAAGGATTTGGTTTGAATATAAGGGTTACTTCTGCCTCCAGCTTAAGGGCAAATCTAGTACTGGTAAACCTTTTTCCCAGCAGGCAAAACGTGCCCTGACACAAGCCACCCAATGAGTTAGAACACATTGTTCTATTTTGTGCTATACATAGCCTCGAGACTGATTTTTAACCTTATTTTTTCCAGACTTGATTGGAGAAGTGGTCAGTGGCAAAGAAGCCGGATTGCTCTTAAAGATCCATTCAATACCATGTTGAGCATCCTCCTGCGGCTGTTTTACGAGTCGAAACCTGACTGGCTCATGAAACTAGTGGAGCAGGGAAAAGAAACTATTCAGCATGAGGAATCAAGTGAGAGAGCTGAGGTTAGTATTTCATGTTTAGTTTGGTACACCTCATCAAAAATGATACACCCAATTTGTGCAAGAGCTTTTTTGGTGGGTCTTTCATTTCAATTTTTCTTCCCCTTCTTCTTTGACAATCGTAACAATTAAGTCCTGCAAAACAATAGAGATTAAGAATCACGATTCAATACATTTTTTTTGTTGTCCTATGTAAGATAATACAAGACATGTCTTGGATTCTGTACCCCATGCTGTGGATTGGGGAATCCAGGGGTGCTTACCATTTACACAAACCAACCAGGTCGAAATCTTGTGCATAAACATAAAACTATAAAACTCAACGTGGTTGGAGAATGACCTGGTTCAAAGTATCTCCTAGCCTGGGAAAACCAGCCAACATTTGACAACGCCACCACTGGTTTCCCCGCAAAATGACGTCTGAAAAATGAGCACAGAAATTCCATACAGATGACGCGTCACTACCCAGATCTGGGTAGAGCTTCTGATTGGCTGAAGCAAATTTCACACGCGGCACAACCAATCAGAAGTGCTACCCAGATCTGGGTAGTGATACGTCATTAGTATGGAATTTCTGCGCTCATTTCTCAGACCTCATTTCACAGGGGAACCAGTGGTGGCATCATGAAACATCGACTGTTTTCTCAGGTTAAGTATCTCTAGTCAGCTGAAAAGACTGAAAAGAGTAGAAAAAGTGCATTGCCTCAAATCACAGCCCCTATTTCCTGAAGCTTCCCAAACAGGATGGTGTGAACCATTTGATTTTCCAACTGGGCTAGATCTCAAATTCCATGTCAGTAGAACCTGTCTTCTGGATTCCACTTGAACGATTTTTTAAGTCAATAAAGACTTTGCAAAATTATTCTTGCAGATGAACCCGACTTGAAACTACTTATTTATGTATAGATATAATGAACAGTAAACAGCAAGTGAAGGGAAAACTTGGTCACGTGGTAGAAATTGACATTTGCCCTTGTCCTTAAAAGTGATTCTTTTTCAAAACAGGAACATGTCACACAGTCGGTACTTGAGTGTTTTCCTGTGTTGAGTACAAGCGATGCAAACACTGATTCAAAGCGGGTTCATTCTCAGCTGTGCTTTACCGCTGGCCAAGAGACACAAGCATTGCATTTACTTCTCAATAATCACATGTGGAAAGAGGCCATTGATTTTGTCTCCTGTTGTGGCAGGGAGAGCGAGAATAGAACGTTGCTTTTCGTCATGTTGATAAAGGGACTTCAGCGTCAAAGAGCTCCAAGTAACACTCTTGTTGAGGCACTCGATCTAAAGCCTGAAGGCTTTAGCACTCATGAATTGCTGGTCATAATGAGGGACCAAGCACCCGTTGCTAAGGAGCCTTTTGTGAAGGGTGCGGGACAGACAACTATTGGCGAAATAAGGCCCTATCTCGAGGCCCTGTTTTCTTCATAAGGAGCAACACAATTTTTTTTCGTACCGAAAAATTGGAAATATATATAATATATTTTTCTCATTCGCTAAATTTCGCTAAAGAATTTGGCTAATCTGAATTTCTCGCTTACCAAATTCATGGATAAGAATGCAAATCTGACAAATATAAGGTATAAACAACGTAAAATGAAGGATTACAACTGTTTTTTCACCCTCAACACACACTTTTTGCGCTCCGCACCGGAGGGTTTTTTTGCAGGTCTAAACGAAAGGTATTGTATCTAAGAAACCCTTAACCTGGCAAATTGACCCCAGCGGCTCCGCGCTCGGTCTTCACGTGACTTACTAACAGGCCTCAAATTTCCTTATACTTTACTTTTGATTCGCAGTCATCCAACCCAAATGAATACTGCAGAATTTTTTTAAATTCTTCACAGCGCGATAGATCGAAAAAAGATAGGCGGGAAGAAGGGATTGGTATTACAAAAGTTTCCAGAAAAGTTAACGATTCGAAAAGACACTGAGAAAAGAGAAGACGAAAATCTATATTAAACTGATACAATTGTTGGGTAAAAATTGCTTTTATATGACTAAAAATATAAAAGAAGGCTACCTACCGGGAAATAGTGTACATTAGTATAAGAGGTAACGCTTGTATGCGCAGCTATGCGCAGCAAAAGATTGTATTTTGAGAAAATTTTTTTAAATGAAACTACCTTTGAAGAAAATTATTGAAACAGTATTTACTCTCTTAAAGTTATTAAATACTTCGAACTTAGTTAAGGTGGCTCCGTAATTAATACAAGAGCTTTTAGCTGGGACAAAGTTTCCGTCATAACTTTTTCGATGTCAACGCGATAGCTGCGAAACTTTGCAAAGAACAACAGATATCATTCGGCAATAATACGAAATATTCCGATTTCATTGATGGTAAATATTTCTTGAGAAATTAGCCCTTAAAAGGACCCTAATGTTCAAAGAAAATCGCGTCTAGTAAAAAATTTTGGTGATATTTTTTACTGAAATTTCTGGTATCGACTTTAATTGATGTAATAAATATGCCAGAGGAATTTCAGAAAAATCGTTGGAGCAGAAGTCCGTAACTAAAAGTCGCTCAAAATTCAGCTGTGAAATTGTTTTGGAATTTCAAAAATAAATTACTATCAGGAAGAAGGAGACACCAGTTTCAATTTTCGGGACAAGTAAATTCAGTGTTTGCTAATTCTGAAAACAGAAGCCGATTGCCTATCGTGCTATTCTTTAAAAGGTACTTTTTAGTTTTAGAAGCACTATAAATTGCTCCAAACTTTGTTCTGACGTCGAATGACTTGTTCCTCGACATTTTTAAAATATCCCTTGGCAGTTTTGGTTCAAACTCCTGCTACATACATTTTGATGTATTGCAATGCATCCTCAACGGCTTTTCCTGCTGTACGTTGTTTCCAATTCAGGAAAAAGGTATTGGGATTGTAAGCTACCTTGTATCGAAGCTCAGATAGAACTGTCGAGCACCTTTGTTTATGACCAGAAAATGAGCACGAGCGGCAGCTCTGCGAGGAATTCGCACCTCAGCCAGGGGGGACGAATGAAAATGATGCCCATGTCTGTGAACCGATCTGTATAAACATGTATTGCAGAGCAAAACATAATAATCAAGAAAAAAATACCCATTCATTGAAGGAAGGAGTGACAAAAATTTCAGAGTTGTAAATTTATTCACGGGCAGTATTTTTGCGATAATTTTATTTTGCACTGTGATGTTATTCGGTTCACAGGCATGGTCATCATTGTCGTTCGTCCCCCCTGGGTGAGGTGCGAATTCCTCGCAGAACTGCCGCTCGTGCTCATTTTGTAGTCATAAACAAAGGTGCTGGACAGTTCTATCTTAGGTCTGATACGAGGTAGCGTCCAATCTCAATACTTTTTCCTGAGTTGGAAGCAACGAATAGCGGTAAAAGTCGTTGAAACTGCATTGCAATACATCAAAATGTAAGCAGCAGGAGTTTGAGCCAAAACTGCCAAGGGATATTTTAAAACTGTCGAAGAACAAGTAATTCTACTTCAGAGCAAGGTTTGGAGCAATTTATAGTGCTTCTAAAACTAAAAAGTACCTTTTAAAGAATAGCACGATAGGCAATCGGCTTTTGTTTTAAGAACTAGCAAACGTTGAATTTACTTGTCCCGAAAATTCAAACTGGTGGCTCCTTCTACCTGATAGTAGTTTATTTTTGAAATTCCAAAACAATTTCACAGCTGAATTTTGAGCGACTTTTAGTTACGGACTTCTGCTCCAACGATTTTTCTGAAATTCCTCTGGCATATTTATTATATCAATTAAAGCCGAATGAAAATTTCAGTAAAAAATATCAGCAAAATTTTTACTAGACGCGATTTTCTTTTGAACATTAGGGTCCTTTTAAGCAAAATGAAATCGGAATATTTCGTATTATTGCCGAATGATATCTGTTGTTCTTTGCAAAGTTTCGCAGCCATCGCGTTAAAATCGAAAAAGTTATGACGGAAACTTTGTCCCAGCTAAATGCTCTTGTATTAATTACGGAGCCACCTTAATTCAGTTATTGAAGCACTAAGAGGAACAGCATGAAATCGTGTAAAAGTCAGTGTTCACTTTTTTGTGAGACTGGAATCTTTCCCATCTTTGTCTGACGTAGCACGAGCTCTGCTTTACTGACATTCCAATGCTAGATAGGGTTGAGATTACTTAAAGAAAAACTTTTCAACTTTTACAGTCGTGCACATCGCTGGTTTTCGTTTGCTCTTTCACGAAGTGCACAGTATCTTGTGTCGTTTGGTTTGTGGCGAAACTAGAAAACAGTCTTTAACTCTCCTGTGATAGTTGAAAAATAAAAGCGTGGCATGGGTGGGCTCGCACCACCAACCTTTCGGTACCGTTAAGGCTAACAGCCGAACGCGCTAACCTATTGCGCCACGGAGACGTGTTCGACTAAAACTTAAATTATTACGTTGTTGGCTTAGCTTTGCAAAAACCGACCTGCTAGTCTCAATTTTGAATGGCTATTATTTATTGACATCAGTAAGCGCTCTCTAAAAGATAGACCGCCAGGACCAACCCCTTAACTTATAGTCCTATGTAAACCAAAATTACAACCACACTACTAAAATGCTAAAATACTAATATAATAGATTATTAAAATATCAAGTTAATCAGAAAGCTAAAAATTCTGTCAATTCTGAAGCTGTAAGTGTCCATCGTTCGTCCGTCCGTTCAACCAGTCCACCCGGTCCCTCCGACAGTCCGACTGTTCAGTCCATCCGTTCTGTTCGTCCGTATGTCTGTTAGTCCGTCTGTCTAACTTGTCCGTGTGTCGGTCCATCCGTCGGGCCCGTCCGTCTGTCTGTCCATCTGGTCGATCCAGTCCTGTCCGTCCGTCCGTCTGTCCATGCACGAGCCGGAAGAGGCATCACATTTAAATCACGAAAATAAAACTTTCTCAACTATGTAGTAATGAAAATACTATCGTTCTGTCTATCGATCTGCCGGATTACACATGTTTCGGTTAAACCGGCGTTCAATTTAACAACCGATCTGTTGTGGCTCAATTTTTCTCCTTTGTTTAAATAATTTCTTTTGTTTCGAACTGATCATCATACACTGCCACCCCCAAAAACAGAGGGGAATAAAAATTGAAACAAATCCTCTCCACCTCCACGTTAGTAGGACTTAGACTCATTCATTGTCCCTGATTGCATTATGAGTATTAAACGTCAAGCCAAGCGCTGCTTAAACGCGGGCCGAGGGATCGAGGCCTCTGGGATCATTTAAGGTAGCTAACTAACGGTAGTAGGAGCTCCATATTAAACCCCCGGCAGGGAACTCCCACGTAAAAGTGTCGGGGTTGCTCGTCGGAAAATGAAAATGAAACCTTCCAGGGAGGCCAATTTAGGTGTGGCTCAAGCTGAAACTGACCCCCAAAGGAGATTTCTGTGTGGTCAGTGTCATGATATTTTCTGTAAATTTCTTTACGCGCAGCCCTAAGTGATACCTGAATGGGCAAATGTAGTGACTTTCCGTCCCAAACATGAGCTACTGAAGTAAGCCATGTCTGGATTGATCTGGTAGCCATAGAAACCCTGTAACGGTGGCAAATGTTGATGTAATAACAGCAAATGCTAACAATCCCTTCAAAGGTTTGTAGCAGCAAATACGGATGTGTAAACAACAACAATAACGGCAAAAAACAATATAGAGTTTTTTAAAATTTCGTTTTAATTTAATTACACGTTCATAAATACAGTGTACCATATTTGGTCGCCTTTAGAGTGGAATATTTCTCTTTCTCTTTCTCACCTTATATTTACAATCAAATACGAAAAAAATATTTAATTCAAAATTGATTGTCAATTTTAAAGATAAACGTATACTTGAAACATGTTGATCGTTGTGGAAAAAAAATTTGCATTGAATTAGAATTAACTGAAATAACTGTTTAACTGTTCTATCCTTGGAGCATTTAAGCTGAATGTTCTACAAGCAGAAAACAACCCGGGAACCCAAGTGGATGCTGGAAAATTTTTAGTGAAAAAGAACATTTTTATCCGAAAAATAATCTTTTAGATACTTTAAGAGCGTTTTGGGAATCTTTAATGGAGGCCCCCTTAACGTTAATCACAAATTGCCCCGTTTGCTTTTTGAAATTGTTCTGAACAAAGTTACATACTGTCATCTTAAAGAAAGTTTACGTAATCGGTCAATACATTTGGGTAACGTTCCGAGACGAACTGCCGCGCTCGTACCACGTGACCCAAACCCATAGACCACGAGGAATAATGAGGCCTAGGGGCTAGGCAAATATTCTTTTCCCTGAGTAAACAGCGCAGGCTCTGTTTGGCGGCGATGTCTCTCGCCAGTTCGTAAGCGGATTGCCTGTGTACGTGAGCGGAATCCGCGCTGCCCTTCCTCTTTCTTGTCTTCAAAAGTCTCGTTCTCATCACCCGCCAGATCACCTTTGTATATAAGAACATACGAAATGTATTATCACTTCTGGGTCTTGGAGTAAGACACCTAGATCAGAGGTTAATGGACTGGTGGGGAGGGACTGGGGGGAAGGAGAGGCAAAGGGGGAGGGGGGGTTGGAGGACCTACAATTACCCTTCTCAACATAAATTTTCTTCAAATCCTAGTGTCCCTTTCCTTGGGTGCCAGAGGGTTTTTTTTTGCTCTTTTAGGGACGACAGAATTCAGCGGCAAAACCGCGAAGGGGCGACTAGCAATTCAGCACTTGGCTCTCTAAGTCTCTCGCGAGAAGGTGAAAGCGAGAAGACCTCTAGCTTCCAGGCTAAGCGTCCCTTCGACTCAAAAAAGTCCATTTGATAAAGAAAACAAAGAAAAGTAAAACAAAAAAAAAGTTGATGCAAAATATAGAAGAAAAATGATAAACGCGAAATATGATTGATAAAATTATGATATGGCCAGCTATTCTCAAGACGAAATGGAGCACTCTGATTGGCTCTTTTACGGTCAATATCACTCAGTACGCGCTCGGTTACTTGCACAGGAGCCGGTTACAGGGCCGGGAGCCTGACAGAACAAAACGTAAAAACTTTGGAATCTCTAGATGTTGTAGTGGCGACAACTTCCTTAACACTTTTTCGTTGGCGGTTTTGCTAATTTAGAGTAAAGCGCTAGTGCTTACGGTTTTATTCCTACCCTCTCCACCCCACCCCCCCCCTCCCCCCGTTCTTCCCGCCATCGAGATTCACAAACTTTGGCGAGACCCGTATTCTCAGTTTTGCAAAGCAGGAGATTGGACACTGTGACAATTTTAACCCAGTTGACGTCCCTTTTTACTTCACCGTATGGTTTGCAACAGAGAGGAGAAGTGTGACGTCATATTTCTATAGTAGCAAAATTTCTGGATCTCAATTTCTGGAAAGCTATGGGCTACTGTTTTGTTCCTGAGTGCAATCATGCACAACAGAGTCATACATGGCCTTTTTTTTTCAGTCATATTTGCAGGACCATGGATCCGGAAATTTTTCTACCTTGGTAACATTGCAACGTGACGTAACGACTTCTCTTTATATTTTAAAATACCTTTGGCTTCATTCTCTTCTTGGTCTCTCTCTGGCACATTTGGATTTTGAAGCTGTAGTGAAAAATACTCAACTCCCACAGGATCCGACATTTTGCGAAATCCAATCCGCCTGCCAGGAAAATGATTTCGTGACTGTCCTCTTTCGTGGTAACTGTCATGTGATCTACTGATCGCAGCGCTGAGAGCCTCAGGGAATGATGCTCCAACGGCTGTCACTCGAGGAACCATTGTGGCTAGCAGCTCGTACGACAGGCTCTGTTTCATCCTGTTGCGATCAATACTCACGCCCTTTTTTGTGTCAGGGGGCAGGCTGTCAAATTCTGGAAGAATTGAGGCCAAGCGCTCATCAAGGCTAATACTTTTCGAGACAGCTTTCTCTTGGGTCACTTTCGTTTGCTGGTAAGGTTCCTCTATGCGCCGTATTATGCTGCCCACAATGTCTTTATTTTGTCGCTCTTTGATATTCTTCCAGTCGATGCACGACCCAACATCATGATCAGTTTCTCCTTTTTCACTCTCATCGCAAGAGTCCTGGGTTGGACACTCGTCCTCGACATCTGCTTCGACATGGGAAATTGGTTCCTACAAAACGCACGGTTGTTATGATTTGAAATAGGTTATTTTTACGATCGGCCACTTGATTTCAACTGCTACCAGATTCCTTCAGTTTTCTGTTTTGCTTGCAAAAATTAGGGTTGCTACATCTTTAAACCTTGTTTGAATCAATTATGCTTATTTTAAAAAGAAAAAAACTGAAGACGAAGTGAACTCTGGAAGCCGCAACCTTGGCCCCAGGGCTTTTCACGCCCTCCTGCCCATTTTCTAAGATAAACGGCCTGGAGACGAGGTTATGGAAGCGGTAATGAAATGATCCCATGGTAAAAAGGTCTTTAAAGCACGTTATCAACAGAACCTTCAAACCCTGCTTTAAACTATTTATCTTATTAGTTACTTGATCTGTTAAAGGACCTTTTCCTTGAACAGGCGGTTGTTGCCCTAGCAACTCGTGATTAAAATGATAACAACTCGAAGTTTCGCAAAGCATGTATGGATTACCAGTAAAAACCCGCGAAAAGAGAGTAAATTTTGCATTTTCAAGTCAAGTAAGTTCTGTTCGAGTGGAATTAATTTACGTTGTTCAAAACGTCATAACCTAAGTTATAAAATTCTAGAAAAAGCCTTACATTGCCGTTTTAACTGTTAAAGTCAGTTCGTATTAAACAAGGTATCTTTCCTTTGTAACTCCAGGTAATAAATATCCATCTTTAGATCGTGGATACGCTAAGTTTTTATTCAATACTGATTTATCTGGCCAAGAGAGAATTGTTACTTCGAAAAGATGTGGTGCCAATTACAATACTTTGTAATAATAGGATTCCTTTGCTTGAAGGTCTTGTTTGAGCTGTCACGTGATTAAGCTTCTCTTTGAACACGTCACAATACACATAAGTATCAGAGGGAATTCATAAAGAGGTAAAATTTCATCCTTTTATCGCACTATCTGTACCTTAACCTTGGGGGCATTCTTTTTAGTATTAGTCTTTTAAAGTCATAGACTCGTTTTGTATGCATTTACCTTTTGTTTCAAATCTAGCTCCAAATTTGAAATTCTCTTTCTTAATTCTTCGTTGTCTTTCCTTTCCTGGGCCAAATTCAATTTGACAGCCCTAAGTTCTTCTTTGGTTTCCTCGTACTTCTTTTCGAACTGTCGCAAATATTCCGCCTGTTGGCAAATGCTGGATTCCTTGGATTCCAGCATTTTGTTGTATCGGTGGGCAGCATCTTCTTTTTCCTTTCGCACCTCTTCAAGTTCCAACGCGGTTTCCGTTATAGCCTTACAATAAAAGTCCCGCGCTTCCCTGTAAATTCTTGAATTGTCTTCAGCTTCTTTATATGAGCGTTGCAGTTCTTCTATGTCCTTTTCCTTGAGGTTTAACTTCATCATTAAATCGGAGATATCATCTTGTTGGGAAGTACACTTGCTCTCAATGACCTCTTGATTTTTCAGGGCTTTTTCTTTCTCCGCCACAATCAGATCGTAACGCGCTGTCAGAGCTTCAGTCCAGTGCTTCACTTTGGTTAATTCCAGAACTTCATCCTCTTTCTCTTGCAGCTCGCACCGTAACTTGCCATTTTCAAACTGCACTTCCCTTAGTTTTTTCTTCAGTCCCTCGTAGCTCTTCAATTCTGCTGATTGAGACTTCAATTGCTGTGACAGCTTGGTTGTTTCTCTTTTCTTAAACGTGTTTGAAGCTCTGGCATCTTCCAGCTGCTTTCTAAGTGTTTCGTTTTCTTCGTGCGCTGTAAGCAGCCTCATCTGAAGCTGTATAATAAACTGGTTTGTTCGACCTTCGCGTTGAATCACTTCAAATCTCTGCAACAAATTCTCGCCGTCTTTGCTAGCACTGGACCGCGCCTCGCTTGCCAAGGCTTCTTGCGTGTCGTAGACTTGTTTTTCGAGTGCCTCGATTTTCTTTTGCTTTCTTCCCTGCTCTGACAGGCTATCGTCTAACCTGCGTCTTAGTTCGTTGTTTTCTTTCAGTACTTGATCGAGCCTGAAGGCAAGGTCTTGTAATTCTTCGGACTGTCTTTTGACATAGTTACTCAAGATTTCGACATCGAGAAAGCTTGAACCTCCACCTTAAAGAAAATTGGTAACAACAAAAATATTAACAACAGGACGAGGAACTTTGTTAACGCTGACGACCTAAGCAGAAAATACATAATTTACGGTAGGAATATTAAAGCGCTGCTGTGCAACATTTCGATTATACCAAGGCATCAGGAACCGATTCCTGACCTATTATAAAGGAAAAGTGACTGTGGACTGCTCAATTTAGGTTTCTGGGAAACTGCCCACCTACCCCTCCCCTAAGGCACCATTTTGCCCAAACTGAGAAGTAAGTGTTAATGTTATCCGAGACTGTTTCTTTGTGGTTTGGGTGTAAAATGAAAATGGAGGAGCAGGGGCGGGGGGGGGAGGGGTCGGGAGACCGGAAAAATAGAGGGCGGGATGGGTTCAGGAGGCGGCAGAGGGATGGGCGGAAGGTGGGAGTTCTAAAAGGGTGGGGAAAAGGGGGGAATAGGGGCAAAATTATGCAACAACGCTTAATATTTCGCAGTCTAAAAGGGATAAAGAGAGGAAGCCGAGAAAAAAGAGGCGGGAGCTGGGACTACGTACTGGAGGCGGGAGGTTTGGACGCCCCTGTCCCCCCCCTCAATAAATGAAAGTGCATACTGATCTCATCCGCCTTAAGTTGTTAATATGATCATTTTTGCGTTGACAATGATTGTAGTATCATCGAGACGTCGGACCGCGTTACCAATGCTATAGTATCTGAGTTTCGATGAGTTTGGAATTCGACAGGCGTGCTCCAAAGTGTAATAGGACTGAAACGGCTAATTAATTAATCTATTATCATTTAAAACAGCTTTAAATAATAGTGGATCTGTAGGTAAACTGTTTCAATTCTATCGAACAAGGTTACTAAGAAGACGCCTCCTTAATTACGCTGTCTCTTTTTATAGTTTAAGGTCAAGTAAAAAAGAGTAATTTGTGACTCACCAAAAGTTATTTGACTTTTTATCTCCGAAAATATAGGGTTGACTCCTGAGGAACATAAAATGAGTTAACTATTAAGATACACGTAAATAACACCTATATTGACTTTACCTAGACTTCAAAATAACCGGGTTATTTCATTTATTTATCTATTTTTGTTTTTGTTTTTGTTTTTTTTAACGGCACGAGGGACATGTCACTGGGGCTAGAGAAAAAAGCTCTTAGTACTACTCTCCCCAGTCTCACTCCGTTTTCACCCTCGCTCGAGGACTTTCCTTTGATCGCTCGAGCACACTGGTAAGAGTCATGACCTATGCAAAAAAACGGGCTGTTTTGCAGTCTAGTCTTAACCGACCTACTGAAAAAATCGTGTACAATTTTTAGAGAACACTTTCGAAGGAAATGAGCAAAGTCGCGTCATGTTGTGAATCAGTATGACGCTTCTGTAAATGCTATTGGCATATGGCAGATCGTTCAGTAGCTTTCAGTGGCTACATGTGTTTCTGGTTTCTTCTCGGAACGAACTGACATGTTTACTATTTGAGAGAAGTCATTACTTTCATTAATAAAGCAGTGCCGTGTTGTCAGTAGAAGTCCCCTCAATTTCGTTCCCAGGGTTTTCTACTACGCGTCTCCTGGAACCTGGTACAGAACGTGGTTAGACGTCTATTCAGTTTATACTGTGATAAGTGTTGTACATACAGCGAACTTTAGGATCAGACCTTGTGTTAACTCATCGCTTACGAGAGGTCAAAGACATGGAAAAATAAGCTATACGATCCAAAACGTGGTCGCAGCCGCTTACAAGGTTTTCCAACTTATTCTGAATAGAGGTGGTCCTTACCTCTTTAAGTCGCTTTAAGAGGTGGTCGCATGTGAGAGGTTCGAATGTAGTATTAGTAGCACTTAGAATAGGCGGTGATGGTGATTTTGGCAGGGAACTTTAAGTTAGAACCGTAACATGCGAACTCTCTGTCTGTTTACATGAGTTTTCGCAAATTTCGAATGATGCCTGAAATGGTACGAGGACGTATCGTGCTTGTTTCGCTCAGAAAGCGCTAAATTCCTGAGGAAAATGGTAACAGCTAGTTCGTGTCTTTCGTAATCAGTCCATGAAGCACCATAATGCTTTTTAATGAGTAAAAGCTTCTTGCTAGACTTGCAGTACCAGTATCTGCCGCTAAAATTTGCATGCTTCGTGCATTTTCGTTCGGAATTACTGACAACTTACAATAGGAGACCGAGAGATAGGTTAAATAGCAAATGGGCGGAGTATTTGGAGTCCTTGGTACATGAATATAATAGTCCATCGGCGGCATAGACAGAGGAGAATGAAACATTAACAAGTTAAAACCCCCACAATGAGGGCAAAACCGATATTTGATATAGGTTCTAGACTGATTCATAACTATTATTCTGTAAATATACAAGTAAAAAAAGTGAACACGATAACCGCATCGCAAACGAATACGTTCTACGTTTTATATTCAACAGTATTAGCAATCACATAGATGTTAAAAAAGTAAAATTCCGGTTTTTGGCCGAACATAGTTCAGTATTTTAAGAGAAATCACAAATTAACAGAACTTACTCTTCGTCGCACTTTCTCCAGTCATCATTTCATATAAGTTCGGATTTACCACTTGTAATACGTCAAGAAAATGACAGAAAGCACTCTCTCCTTTCATGGCCAGGATATCCAGAAATCTTCCTGCTTTAGACTCGCTGGTTTTCTCAGCTTGAATCAGCTCATAGTCCGTTTTATCGAATGTTTTCTTGCTTATTAGGTAATCAAATAAAAACGTACGATCCACCTGAAGGTTTTGAACAATAAGCAAACGATGTTTCGTCAAAATATCAGTGAAACTCTCGTCAAGTTCGTCCAGACTCATGACGAAATCTTTACAAACGCGTTTGTCTCTCTGAAAAAGTAAAAAATAATTAAACTGGTTTGCTTAATGGACTATAATCAGCGAATAAGAAACTGAAACCATTTTAGATCGCTGAACGGATATTGTACTGACCCTGGTTCTCCTGTTTATCGTCTGCAATGGAACTTTCGTTCCTTGAGATTGCCCAATCACTGTATTTTTGAACGATGATAAATTCATTGTTAAAAGGAGGTCTTAACTCAATGAATGAGGTATCGAAATTACGGAAGTTAAGTCATTTTCGTATGGAGCGGTTATAAAATTTGGAATGGTACGAGGAATGTTATCCAGCCGACTCCCGATGAACTCGAACCTATTCTGGGGAAACGTAAAAAAGTTCGAGTTACAGGAAGTTCGAAGCAAATAAACAGGCGGAAATAAGCAAATGTGATGGGGAAGAAGTGCAAGTATCATCCACACTTCACTTCAAGGGCAACAAGAGATATATTGATATTCAGTTAAGAAAACAGGAATCAAGCAATGCTTGATTAATATACAGGGCTGGACTCCGTATTTGAACTGGACTGACAAAAAAGTAAAGACAAAGAATTCCCGGTGGCTTTAAAATAAATTCATTGTTTTGGATTGTAGTACACAATTATATTCATTTATTTATTTTTTTCGACCTGTCACACTGCACGCTTAAAACATGGTTCAAGTTGTCGATGGTAAAAAAAAGATATAGAAATGGTCTGAAGGGAAACAAAAGCGAACAATTCCAATTTTCGAGGGCCCGAGTTATCTAGTGCAAAACTACATTAAATATCTGAGAGAAATCCATGGATACTTGATCTTGGTTGGCGTGAGGTTAGAGTTAGTGAGGGTTTGATTCATCGGGAGTCGACGCCAGGGTACTTCCTTTTTTGGCCTATACGGGAAGGCCCCGCCCGAAAGGGGTACCTTTTTCAGACCTCAGGTATATGAAAGGGTAGGGATTTCACGTGTTGAAGTATATAAAAGGGTAGGGAAATCGGTCATTTTGGACGTAAGAATAACAAAGAGGGCTAACAGATGCTTTTTTGGCTGTGAAAAGTCACGAAAACGCTCCGGTTTTGTGATTTATTCATATTTAAAAGACGGTACCCCTGACAGCAGTTAAAAGGGATGTAAAATTCTCAACTAAAGTATGTGAATGGGGTATCATTGTCAATAGAAGGTTTTCAGAAGGGGTGCCTTCTCTGTCAAAAACGGTATATAAAAGGGGTTGGACATCAGGGTGGAGCCTCCGGGGATTAAAATTTTATAGTATACCCCCCTCCCACCTTGGGCAGTCGACTTACATCAGGAGGCTAAGACTTCCGCTAACAGATATAGATAGGATATTAAAGAGATACGTTCTGAGAGCACAAAAGAGGAAGGCTCTCCAAACTATCCAAGGTGCTTCACAGTCAACCTACGCAGTTTACGCTCAGCTGAAGCATGAACTAATTGTTTTATAATTAGATTTGAACTGAGTGGAGTGCAGTTTGGTCTGAAATAATAAACGTGATTTTAAAATCGTGCGCAGCGCAGACACGAAACACGACACGCGAAGTTCAATTACCATTTTATTATAGCTATTTTGAAATCGCCAAATTCAGTCAACACCAATATTCCAATATTTTATTGATCCAGTTGCTGGTTTGTTAAATGTGGAATCGGAAACGCTTTTACATCTCATTTCGTAAACAAAACTGAACTGATGATCCTATTTAGAACATTTGTGATTTGGGGCTAAAATGTGTTTCGTGAATAGATCACATTCCTGAGAGCCAGTCAGATTGACATAATCACCACAATCTCGTCCCGAGGGCGCTTTTCCCTGGCTTTGGAGGTTAGCGAAAAGCTCCATGGGGAAGAGGTTGATGATCGCCAGTGATTTCAAAAACAACATTCTCAAACTTAAATTTAATGATTACATCGCGCGCTCTGAAGACGTTTGCTTCAAAAATATATGTATAATAATAGTCGTCAGCAACCAGATCATTTTAGAACTCTCTCAAGTATTGAAACTCTAATCCAACTTGTCTGACATGGCCCTCATTCCGGAGGTTTACTCTGATGTGAAGGTGATATCTGTCGAGTCTTCTCCGCTTTCATTGCCTTCAAAGAGACTGAAGTCAGAAAACAATTAATTAATTTCGGCTCTTTTAGCACTCGTGAATCTTGAAAAATTTAATCTCCTTAATAAAATGGATAGATACCTTGCGCGTAAAAACTGAGCAATACTCATCTCTCCTGTTGTAATATCCACAAGTACTTCTAGTTGTCAAAAAAATTTAAGTGACGTCATCCTATTTTGGCTGAACTCTTAGAACTTTATGACGTTAATTGTCCAAACAAATCCAAATTTTAAGGTAAAACACGGTCACAATAAGGCAGAAGGAAGGGGATACTGTCTACAAATGAAATGGATAGACATTAAAACTCCTTAATTTTCTTGTGGCCCGGATGAAATTTAAGCGTTTGCAAACAAGCTAGTCTCCAGGGCTTTTCATTTAGACTGGGTTGTTCTACATATGGACTTATTTGGTCCCTCATTCTTTTTTCCTTCCGAAGCTTTCTTAGCCCTGCGTACCCGGTTTGACTTCTTTTTTTTGTGCCCGTTCTTAGGCCCCAAGTGGGAACCAAATTAAGGTGGGGCCCTTGCCCCGAGCCCCGCGTCCCCCTCCCTGCCCACCACTTATTTATAAAATAAAATTGCTACATTTTATTCAAAGCAACTTATTAGCTTAGTCTTTATTCTCATTATTTTAGTTCTGAAAGACATTTATTAAGTTCGTTTAAGTGATTATGGAAGCTAGAGGTAAAATATATAATGGTAATTGAGCTGAGTGGAGTGCAATTTGGTCTGAAATCATACGCGTGATTTCAAAGTTCGATTTGAAATCACAAGTATGATCTCAGACCAAAATTTCGCGACACGAAGTTCAATTACCACTTTGTTATAGCCATTTTGAAATCGCAGAATTCAGACAACACCAATATGTTATTGATCAAGTGCCAGGTTTGTCCAAAAGGGGAAACAAAAATTCTTTTACATCACAGAAATGATGCATTATAGAGCGAAAATGGTGCGATTTAGAGCAGAAATGACGTGATTTAGGACATGAATGACGCGATTTACAACAGACGTGATTTAGTGCAAAAAATAGTGTGATTCGTGAATTAATCACACTGCTGAGAGCCAATCAGATCGCTTGGATCACCAGTGATTTCAAAATGGATATAGTAAATATACCAACTCCTTAACTCCTAATATCTAATATCAGGGCCACTGAGGCAAACGTTCAAATGACGCTGTACAATGTATAGTTAGCAGTATTACTGAAAAAAAAAATGCTAAGGGTGTGTTCGACTGACCGCATTCCGAAAAAGGATAAAAGAAATAAACTCTAAAAATCACTCATTTGGCGTTCATTGCTTTGCGATACCTAGAGAGCTGCTTGAAACAAAATATCCCGATGTATGTAGCGTTCAAGGGCGGGCTCAAAAGCCAAAAAATCACGGTACAACAGATTTGCAATAAAACTTTTGTGTTCTTATTCTGAAATACGATGAATCGAACGCACCCCGCGGGTATCATTCAAAGTCACGCGTTTAGATTTCATACCGACTTGAAAGTTTGGATCTCCCTGCAAAGCACAATAGAGAATACTACAAAAAAGCACTGCTCAGCAACTTTCATTTTAGTGGACAAACTTTAAGGCCTCATTTTCAAATTGAGTGGCTAGATTACTTTGTAGATGGCCTAACGTTGCCAGGAGAGTTTGAGTCAGTATAAAACCAAGTTGCTTTAACGCAATTTAAAGATCATACACACCAGGATTTTCAAAAGGATATCAAAAGCTATTGTTAAACCTTGAACTGAAAAATCTACTAAACCGAACGGCAGTAAGTAAAGTGAAGAAATGCTCTGCATCTTTCATTTGAATGACTAATATAAACTTGATGAGCGGTAGCGAAACACTGTGAATGAAATTCTTAGCCAATCAGCTACCACCTCTGGTATTTGGCTAATTACAAGCCCAGGACACCTAACCCTGACCATGTCCATGATTTCTAATAAGCTCCTTTCGGGTCGTCACTAATAATACACACAAATCTTATGTTCACTATGCGCCCATTTTTCTGATTTTGTGTCACTATTACACTATAACTTAGTATGTGTCGATTTAAACACGTTCTAGCTTATATTGTAGCTAAGTGATAGATTCCTAGCCCCGGTTGGATAGCACTATCCACCGGATAAATCACTATCCAGCGGATAAGTATTAGGGAAAACAAACCAAGATTTTTATCCGGTGGATAGCGCTATCCAATGTTTCAGCAACCAGGGCCTGGATGATAAGTCCAGCGGGTGGAACCCTTCACAAAATATCAAAACTTGGTCAAATATTACTGCAAGCTTTTTCTCGGATATGACTGGTAAGTCAAACGTCATCTTAACTCAGTTTGACTTGGAAGTTTAAGACAAGTCAAGGATCTTTTTGAGGTACGATTTCGAAAACCCCACTCTTAAATTCGTTTGTTCAGAATTCGACTTACAGGAAAACTCTGTTAATTAACGGGTCTAATGTTACTGTATATTTATGTGAGTGCATAAAAACTTTCTCTCAAGATTTCGTCAATTTTTTTTTAAATAACTGTATCGTGGCCAAGTTGTGATATTTGTACCTTTCGTTTAGTGTAACTACTGGAATTTTTGTTGTGTATAAAATATAATGAATTATGAATGATGACGAAGAGACTAGCAGGTAACGCTAAACTACCTGTAGAGTGAGGATGTAACTTTTGTTACAATTGGCCAAATTCAAATTATCACCCCTCCAAACGCCCTTTCAATGACTTGGAAAATTATATGCCGTAGAATCGAGAGACCCATACCTAAAGAATATTATATTTTTCGATTGCGAAAAATTAAGTATTGTGGCGTAATTGTAAATTAAAATTGTACTTTGTTTACCCACGGAGCACTTAGGGAGTTCATAAGAACTCGTTGAAACGTGTCCGTGCGTTCCACATCGAATTGGAATTTGGAAATGTTGGTTTTTAAGGAGAGGGGAAAACCGGAGTACCCGGAGAAAAACCTCTCGGAGCAAGGGAGAGAACCAACAACAAACTCAAACATTTCCCCCCTTTTCTCCCTCCTACCACCCTTTGAGGACTCCCCTTCCGGCTTTTTCCTCTCCCCACTCCAGTACACCTCTCGCCCCTATTCTCCTGGGTTCCTGTCCCCCAGTCCACCCCCACCATACATACACCCTCACAAGACAGTTCTACTATTTGAGATTTTATCCAGTTAATCAGAAGTAGATGTTTTGATGTCGGTCTGCTGGAAATCAAAATGCTGGCAGTTTGGTGCTGAGGAGCTACGAGGTCGTTCATCTGCGCTCAAAGCACTGGATCTTTCTCTGAAAGGCCTATTGAGAGTTGGCGACATTAGCGCATGAGCTACTTCCTCTTCGTCCGGTGTTAGCACTCTTTCGCCTCCATTTTGCACTCCATCGAGAGACAAAGTAATTGATGTACATTGACTTTTTGAAATCTTATTGTATGACGGGTTGCTCGAGGCCTCTTTAAAGCTTGGATGGCGTTTCGCTAAACCGCTTTCGTCGCTTGAAGAACTGGTCTCCTCGCGGCATCTGTCTGACTGCGCTGCTGATGAACGAACTGAATTTTCTTCATAAGAACTTACCGAGCTCCCCGATGACTTTTTTCGCTGCACAAAGTCTATGATTTTCGAAGGAGAAGAGACACTTTTGAAGTAACGAGGTCGTGATGGACTTTTATCTTGCTTTTTTCGACCCCTTTTGGGAGACTTTGGCTTTCCTTTGGCTTTAGAAACGTCGTTGACCATAAGCTCATGCACTCCAGATTCCACGCTGAGGGATTTTGCTGAATGATCAGACTGTCTTCGCTGCTGCCCAGTTTTGTCACTCTGGGTGGAGCGAAAGGAGGCATAAAGAGAACTGCTGCTGTCCGTGTAAAAAGGAGTTGTGTTGCACACAGAAGCACCAAACATACACTCCAGTGTATTATAAGTCGGACAGCTTTTAAATAGACTCCTGTTGCGATTAAGACTGAAGGACTTTTGGGCTGCCGGCGAAAGACTCCTCCTCTCTGGAATCATCGAATCCAGCTGTTCATCCAATGACAAACCTTTTTCATTCTGAGCAGGTGGGGACGAAGCCTCCTCAACAGAATCTCCTCCCGCTCTACTCGCCTGAGAGTTGCTCGTAGCGACACGTTTTTTGACGCTGTCTATAATATCAGTGGTTGTTCGCCGTGTCCTCCAATCAAAGGAATCCTCACTGCTGTGTATACTGTCTACATCGTCATCTTCCACGCTCCCATCTAGTTTTGCTTCCAGCGCTTTCTCGGAGTCTAAGTGTAGATTTTTGCCATGTTTCTGTCAAAAAAAAAAAACAGGGACTGTTAACTGAGCCAGGATCCAAGCAGGTCCCTCTTTCTCCCACAAAGAAAGATCAGGGAGAAAATTCCAACAGTCAAGTCAACAAATCACTAACAGATATGTAAAATGAAGAAATTTAAAGTTAAGAAACATTCGCCCATTAAGGAAATTCTTGATTCTGTCTAAATATATGCATGTCTTAGTTCGCTGAACAGGAAAACCCTGCGCACCAATACTAAAAAACATTCCCATACGAATCGAAGAAATCAGGCATTCTGACATAAGGTTTGTTTTTGCTAGTGGTTGATAAGGTTTGTTCCAATGACGATTCCGATTAAGGAAAGTCAATAAAGAGACATCTGCTGATCGATCCGGTTGCCGACAGCGGCCGGGTCAAAGCGAGGTGGGTACCCAAACCTGTCACTCTTTCAACACGGAAATTTTCAATGTTTTCATGAGACTGTAGAGTTAAGAATCCGTATAAAATTCAGTGAATGTTGTCGATCCGTACCAATGTCAGTTAGTATCTCCTTGAAAGTAAAACTTAAGAGGCGAAAAAATTTCCAAATTTCATTTTGTAAAATGCTAAAAAAACCCCGAACATTAACGGTAACAACACAGTATTTCATCCGCAGACTCAAATGTTTGAAGCACCTTAAGGCTCCATTATTGGGTCATGTAGCAGCTGCTCGGAAGAGAAGTCACCAATGGCTCGTTTCCCTGACCCCAAACAATACTAAAATAATTGGGAAAATGACGTGCCATTGTTTCCTGCAACCAATTAGGAGAGACCTTCCTGGGTGGTGATCATGAAATGTTAAACAACGGCGCTCGGCTCTCTAGCTAGACGGCAAGGATTGAAATAGGTAACCTGTTCGAAACATTTGGCTTACCAAACATTATGGCACGGTTTTGACAAAAATACGCACACGAGAATACCAATCAACACTTCATTTGAAGATGCACAGAGGCAAAAGATGGAAACACTATTCAACAGTGCTCAGTCAATGATTAAGTAATAAAAACAGATGCTTCACGTACCTTTGCAGTATTATAGGGATGGTCAACAAGATCCGATGGGTTTCTTTGAAGCTTGGCTTTCCTGGACTCTTCCATCTCAATTTCTGTTTGGTAAAGGCGTTCCTTCACTTCATCCAGCTCTTCAGTAGTTTTCTTTAACTTCTGTTCAAACTGTCGAGTATATTCCATCTGTCGGTCGATGGCTTCATCTCGGCTCTGAATTACTTCTGCAAATCGTGTCGTTAAGTCGTCTCTTTCCTTCCTAAATTGCTCCCTTTCCAATGAAGTTTCTTTCCAGGTTTTCTCGAACAAGTCTCGCTGCTCTCGGTAAGTGTTAGCTGTCTGTTCATAGTCTTTGCAGCGCTTTCTCAGCTCCTCTTTTTCGCGAACGGATATGGTTAGCCTGAGTTCCAGTTCGTCCGCTTTGTCTCGGAGCTCAGAAAAGTCGGCAACTGTACTCTCATGAGTTTCCTGCGTCTGCTTTCTATCCTCTTCCACGATATCATAACGAGCCTTCAGTGCCTCTGTCCAGTGCTTCAGGTCTTCAAGTTCCTTCAGAGCTTCTTCTTTTTCCTCTTGAAGCTTTTGATTAGTGAACTGAAGCTGGCGATATTTCACCTTAATTTCTTCAGCGCGTTGAATGTTGTCTTTTTGAATTTCCAGTTTCTCCGTCAGCTTAATGGATTCCCGCCTCTGATTGTCGTAGTTCTTGGAAATCTGCGCAAATCGATTCCGAAGGTCTTCTCTTTCTTTGTTGCTCTCTTCCAGCTTCTCCCTCAGAGTGTCGACTTCCTCTTTAGTGGTCAGAAGCTTCATTTGAAGAGCGATTATAAAGTGCGTCCTCTCCAGCATTTCTCGATCCTGCAGTTGGCAATGTTGTGCCGCACCTTCCACAACTTTCTTAGCGCTGGAGTGAGACTCCATGAGCATAGCCTCGGTGTCAAAATAACGCCTCTCTAATTCATCAATCAGCCGATTTTTCTCCAGTAGATCGCAAGATGTTCTGCTTAATTTCTTCTCCATCTGCTCCTTTTGTTTTAACACCTCTTCGTAACGAATGGTCATATCTTGAAGGTCCGCCATAGTGCGTTTTAAATGATTGCTCATAATGTCCAAATCAGGAATATATCCATTCGGTCCTGCAAAACAGCAAAAAAGAAACCTTTTGATCAATAAGAAATCAGTGTGTTCAGTGTCGCAGTCAAAATAATCACTTTTCTTCTATTCACTGAAACAGGAACAAGCTATGGCCCGTTAACCGGATGTACGTACTCGAACGGCTGGGAGAAACCCACTGACCTTTTCCAAAAATATGATAAGGGTGTAAGTAAGTCAATATGGCCCAAAAAGCCCCTAAAAGTTTCCATTGAGCATATGCTGGGGTGTGAAGGTAATTCAACTTTAAATAAAACAATTTAATGCAGAAGTAGCAAGAAAAGTGAAAAAAGAAACTAATGGTTTGTGACTAGCGTTAAGGAATCCAAAAACTTTCAAAATACCAAGATGAATGACACTGAAATATCTTCCGCCTTTTCAGAACATCCTGTTTACGATTTGTATCAATTTACTCTATTTTGCCCGTAAAAGTTTAAGCACTCTAATACCACGCACAAACTACAAAATAATGTCAAATTTTAAAATAGATTGATCGCTTGGCGAACCGCAAATCTAGTTTTAGCTCAACGGTTTAGGTTCATTCAGAAACCTCCATCGTTGTTACTCTAGCAATGAACCTAAAATGGATCAAGTTGGTTAAAGTGGCCTGGGAACTTTTCCCAAGTACATTTTGTTGCAATCTCTAGCTTCATTTTGAACAATCTGCTTGCATTAATTTCGGCAATGTTAAAAACTTTACTTGTATCACTTAAAAAAGGAAAGAGAAAAGACCGAAAAGATTATAAAACATGTTGTGAGATAGTGATGAACAAAACTGAGAAGAACTGAGTGCAGGTTTAGAGACGCTTCTACAGAGCATGCACAACAAACTACGGCGGTTGCCTCACGTTATTACGGTTAGTTAAAAAACGGCTCACCTGAAATCAATGAAACTGTAGGGTTGATGAAAAAATTGTCAAACAGTACGTTGAAAAGGGAAAAACATTCTTGATACTTTTAATTGTCATGCCTATAAATGTAAAGCTGATGATGACAGCTGAGCTTATTGACGAACTACTTCGGTTATAAACGTGCAAAAATGCATGGGCTGTTTGGTTCTAAAGAAAACACTGAAACCGGCCTGGATGTCTCTTTTAGCTTACCGACTAACGATATTAGACTGACCATAAACTTCAGTCCAATAAAGTTGAACAATTCGTTTGATACTTTGTATCACTAACAGGAAATCTATTGTCCGAAAGGTTTTTGACCCTATTGAAGATCGAGACCGGAAGCAATTATCAGAAATTACACGCGCTCATTCCCTACTAAAACAAAGTTGAAAGGGAAAAAATGACGATGTTGTAAATTTTGGCTGTCAAACTATATTTTTCGCTTTTTAAAACTATCTGCTTAACTTAATTCAGTAGCAACAAAGTCATAAAACAGAAGGGAGAGAAATTTCCTTTGGATCTATATCAGCTATATAGTATTCTGGTAAGAAAACTTTTTTAATACAATAATCTTGTACTATGCAACATACCCTGTTCGCACAATGCCTGCCTTGTCAATACAGTTGTCGTTCTGAAATTCTTTTGCTGAATCAGTATGAGCTGTCGTGCACTAGCTCACATAGCGCAAATGTAGCCTCCGCTCACAGGGTACTGAATCAGTCGTTTTCCGTCTCAACATGAATAGTAATTCTTCTTTTGTAAAAACAAGTTATAGAAGCGTGTAAATTGACGTGTTATATCTTGCGTGCGAGGTAGGTTTCGTTGGCATCCAATCATTTTTCATTTAACAGCATGATAAAAGGGTGAGTAAAGTAATAACCAATAGGAACACTGTGCTTTACTCTCGTTGGCTATTGCCCACTTGACCAGATAAAGTCGGTTATTGCCAAAAGAGTGTTATTTTCAGTATAATTTTAACCTATGACCGATTAACTGGTATGTATCAGATATAGATTCGCAACACGGACATTCACTTGGGGGAAACTTGTACCCATGGCAACTATCTCTTTCCTTTTGGTCAGCGGCTAGTGGCGACCCCTGAGAACTCTGGGTACGAGATGAACTTCCAAGAAACTGCTATCTCAAGGAGTATCTTCACTGAAATTGTATGAACTCATCTCTTATTAAAAAAATACTTGTCGAAGCATCCTGGAGACATTACATGATGGATCGATACAACTATCCAGCTCGTTCCGGTAAGAAAACATCAGTTGTTTAGCTTGGAAACGTTTTTTTCTTTCATTCATTAGCTCGTCACCTAGTCTCACCCTTCAGTGAAGAATCGAAAGTGGGCATTTTTCCACAGAAAAAAATACTGACTCATTATTTTGCTGGCAGAGCAAATTGAATAACAAGTAACCCTAATTATCCCTTTGTTTTACTAGGAGATATCAGAAATTTCGCAGCCAAGGAGAATCTAGGAGTTAGCATATTTTTCAGGTATCTCCTCATTTCATAAATAGACTACCTAACTTGTGACTGAAATATATAACTTGCTTACAATTTGGGCCATGGTGGAGGAAGATTAAAGATATTTATGCACAGTCTTTAGAAAAATATTACTTAAACAAGCTAAAGCTTCAGTATGCTTGTAGCTAGAGCCCTCATAGTAACAGAATGGTGATACTGAAATGAGAATGCAATGCTATTGTTGTTAAAACAATGACATATGCAATTCGAATATAAGTCAATTGCAGCTGTCAAAATGGAACATCTGCTGACTTGAACCACATGACCATATATACCTGCCAACTTTTTTACATTTATAGGCATGACATTTTTTATCTTAAGAGTGCCAAGATTTTTCGTAGGGTCCGATAATATCTGAAAATGTCCGAAGACGTTACGAAGAGTTCCGTCTAACACGAACACGGGAACACAAAGGAACATTGACTTCCCTACTAAAAAAAGAGAATTCGGAGAAGGTCGATCATCCACATAGACTTTTCTTTTCTCTCTTTGCTTCTGGTTTCTTTAAATAATTAATATATTATTCAAAATGTGTCAGTTAATGCTGTAATGGCTCAAACTTTTCCACCAGTTGTGACAAATTGTAACACAGGCATGAGTAGGCGTAAGATCCAAGTTTTTGATCCACAGGCGTGACAATCACGCCCTTAGGTGTGACACTTGGAAGGGATAGACCATATCGTTGGCTCAGGTGTACTACCTAACTCACCTATCTTTTGAAGTTATCTGCTTACCAGCTGATAACTTGTCATCAGATATAGTATGGCCTTAAGTATTGTGTCACATATATTTACTATAATGACTAAGTGTAGATCCACATACAGGAGGTGTTTACTGAAAGACTGAGGTTTCTGTCAGTGGAGGTTTGACTTAAGTTAACACTGAACAGTTGTGAAGCTACTTACTAACGAGTCAGGGTTTTCATTAAGGACTGGGGACTGGGTATTTACCCCAGCTACTATGTATACTTTGACTACATATACTTTCATAGGAAAATAGAAGAAATAATACCAAAAGAAATCCCTAAATGTTTCAGTCCCCACCTACTTGTATTTACCTGGCAACTTATAATCTTGACAGCCGTGAACAAGTTCATGTTGAACTATATAAACTAAGACACGTTTGTTTGACCATGAAAAAATGAAATATTATAACATGAACGATGTCACTGTCTTACCGAAAAAGAAGTTCTCTCCATTACCCATCACAAGTGGACTTGGCCCTGAAAGAGCAATTTTAGAAAGAATTGTTCAGAACCAAAAGTGATTCACTCACAAAAACTGCCTTAATCTCGAGCTAGAACTATATATGTTATGTTTTTTGTGGATTATTACAACTTAAGATTTCTCCTGCCCCTGCTCAGAGTTCCCCCCCACTCAGAATCCCCCCCCCCCACCCCATGCTAAGAAATTCCCCTCTACTTATAGCTACCCCTTTGTTGGATATTGTAATAGTATTAATGATTATAATAGTATTTTAATAATTGTTGTTAATAGTCACTTAGCCAATATATGCTATGTAATTAGCTACATGTACTTTCAGTCCACTCCTTAAAATGTATATGGCTTAATTAACCTCGTTTCCCTGTTCAAACCACTGGGAGTTACAAATAACGGGAGGAGGAGTATACTGGAACTGGAACTGAAAGGATAAGGGAAGGAACTGAAGGGCTAGGGGTATAGAATGGTAACCAAGGCTTTGAGAGATCTTAAAATCTGATTCTGAGACTTTTCTTCATCTAACAAATCTGAGACCTAGCTTTTAATAAGAGATATTGAACCCTACAATGAAACTTTAAGAACTGAGAAGTTACAAAGAAAATCATTTTTACAGCTTGCCATTCGGGCAAGCTGAAGCTAGCATTTACTAGCCCAGACGTCATTTCAACTAGCCCCAAAAACGTTTTGTTCTTCTGTTATTCAAACTCCTCATAAAACATCACTTGCCCGGCGGGCAAGTTAAAAACAGAATTCACTAGCCCGATAGCAAAATCCACTAGCCCCGGGCTATCGGACACTACTTTCTTTGCACGCTGAAAAGTTCCTACAGAGCCTACAGAGTTAAAGAACTAACTAAAATCTTCAAATGGATTAGAGTGTGAGCAATCCTTTATTTTTCTTTGCAAGTTTCTTTAAATTTAAACGTGTTGTTTTGGAAACATGCTTGCTGTGATTTGCTGGGATATAAACTTGACAGATGTGTGTTGCATGGTTTACAGAAGTTGCTTCAAAACAAAATAACTAAAAGTATTGAAAACTTAATAGGTACTTAGGAGTTTTACATGACTTTGAGACTTATATTTTCAAAACTTGCGACTCCAAGTGGGTCTAAATCAAATACAAACTGTCTCCTGACATGATAATATTATTTAAATAATCATCTCTATTATTTTACTTAATACTATGCATCTGTAAATTTAATCTGTTGAGGCTTGGCCTTTTTAGACTAGTGGTACTAGCTACCTGTGGGCATGTCCTGAAAATATCAAGAATGGTGATTTCATTTTCCACAGTCAGTGAGCGCCTCTGTTTGCCAGTAAAATGACAAACTAAAATCCTCTAACCCTTAGCTTATAAATTATATTGAAAGTGAAAGCTCTGCATTGAAACCTGATCTTTTTAAAAGAACAGGAACAACAGATGTCCAAGTGAAAGTGTTGAAAACAAGTAAAATTTGTAGACTTCTAATAAAAACAATTATACAAATGAATGAATTGCCTTAACCTTTCTTTGGGAGCTAATATTGATCAATTTATGACATTTTAATTCGGAGAATGGAAATTTGTTCAGTTAGAGTAAAGATAAAGTTATAGTTCACAAAAATCATATCCAATGAGCTGGAAGTCACTAACATGTAAAAATGGGCTATTAGTACTCCAGTGTGCTTAAGGTGTTTCCAGAATTTGGGACATAAAATAAAGTTTGAATATTAGCCTTCTTCCTAACTATGCAGGGAGTGTTATCTTTTACGCACTTTAAATAGTGACATACTCTCCTTAACTTTGCTGTGTTTTTTATTAGCATCAAATAGCTCAATATAGTAAGATTAAATTATGGCAATCTATTTTTTACTCACAGACACATGTACACAATATAACTCAAAGTATTGTTGTTTAACACTTAAATTAGTTATACTTTTTAATGAATATGTTCTTTTCTAGTCATAGATCATGTTAATTATAAACAACTTAGGTTTCAAATGTTTCCTTTTTAAGGACCATATCTAAAAATATTTGTAATGATCTGAGATATTGTCAGTAGAATTTGAAGTTTGAATTAATTTTGAAAAATCTTGCTAAATTTAGGTGCAAATCAAGAAAAAAAAGGGTATTTTCTGAAAGATTTCTATACATACCTAGAAGCTGTGTTCAAGTGTAACTACTGAAAACAAGTTGTTTAGAGAAAAAATATGCAATGAGAATTTACAGATTTATATGATAAGCAAGACTTAATGCTTCATTGTTGTGTTATAAAGTAATCAAACTGAAGCTTTGAAATCCAGCACATGGGCAACCACTAGGGCATTTGAATTTTTCAGAAAATTAGAGTTCAAATTCCCCCCTCCCCAAGCTAGCCAAAATGACATTCAAATACCCCATCAAAGGTCCAGTTTTGGTGATCAAATGCCCCCACCCACCCTGCTAGGCAAATATAAAAGTGATTGCTCTTTTAAACATGTAGCTTTCTAATGCAATTGAAGCGGTTGGTTTCAATAGACTGCCATGAGGGTACAAATCTTTCCTTTGTAAATCATCCAAAAATGCCATGCCGGCCTCCGCCATAATTTACCATGCCTTGTTCAAGCACCAAGACACATCTCATGGACTTGAAGCTGGGTTCCAAGGACCCCACCCTTTATGCATGATGGAGTCAAATCCCCCCCGCCATCCCCCCCCCCTCCTCTCCTGGAATCCTATAGGCAAAGGTGTCATATCCCTGGGGTATCCCTAAGGGAAGAAGATTTTGAAGTTTTGATTTTAAAACAATACATTATAGTGCAGGAAAGGCAAGATAATGTGCATTAATTCTAAATTGATGATTTGAGAGACCTAACTATTTAATTCACAGGTATTTAAATAGCATTTCTGGCGAGACACTGGACAAATTTAACAATTTATAAAATTTCAAGTGATATCATTCATGTTAACGACTCTAAATACTTAATAACAGCAACAGAAACTCCGTCTTGTGGAACCCATGATTTTAAATAATTTGTTGAACATACAAGTAATGATATATTCAAATACTCTTGTTTTCCTAGCTGAAAGCCTGAAACAGGTTATTATTTTCCTAGAACAAAGAGAGAATGGAATAGCCTCCCCTCTGATATTGAGTCTGCCAAATCTTTAGATATTTTAAAGTGATTACCTACAAGGAGCTTAGTAGGAGGTGACCCACCTTCAGTATTGTTATTTATTGTCAATTTATACCTGTCATTCTTTTGCATTTTTAATATATCGTATTGTATTTTTCTTAAAATTTTGCATCATTTTTTACTTCCTGATTTAATATTAGCGTGATTACGGTACATAGCTTCTGCTGATTAATAAACGTAGATGTAGAACTAACTAGTACTACTACCACATGTTATCTACATTAGCGTGTCTCATCAGATTAGCACTGTGCTGAAATTTCAGGGTTTATTTAAAGAGCATTACGCAGTTCATGAAATATTCAGCAGTAATCGTTAAACAAATTTTGGCCTGGATATAATGGCAGCAGACACGCTAAAACAAACAAGTAATCTACCCAAACACACACAAAATGCTCTTTAACTGGTCGAGTCACAGCAAAAATATTAGTATCTTGTCATTTTTTGATAGATCGCGTGACATGTAGAGGAATTCACGCTTCACGTACGTTGCAATGAATGACGATCGCGTTTTATCGAAATCAGGTAGCATTTGCTGTCTGGCAGTCTCACAAATCATGGCTACATTGGCTTCAAAAATCATATTACTTTATTGTATTAGGCGAAAATGTAACATATTTTGCGTTGAAAGGCGATGATGTTGACGATTCTTGGGAATTGGCAAAAAGAACGGAAAGATTCCCTCGTCACCCTAGTTAGTGACGTTAGTAAACATAGCGCACAACAAATCTGATACTCTCTTCAAGCTTGTTGAAAACCATACTTCCCGAAAGCGAGTTTATACGTGACTGAAAGTTCGAAACCTAAGCCACGATTTTTCTTGAAAATGGAAGTTTATGTCTTGACGGGTTTCGAAATCCCATGCTCTCCCAGTGATCTAAGTTATACATTTATTAATATCGTTGCAAATGTCGATCGCGCAATTACTTACGTGCAGTTGCTTTCTCTCCTGTGATCCTTTCGTACAAGGACGGGTTCAACAGTTGAAGAGCGTCGACGAAATGGTAATAGCCTTCTTCTCCTTTTGTTGTAAGAACGTCGAGGAACTTGGCGGCCTTCTGCTCTCGAGTCTTTTCTGCTTGGACTAGATCGCAGTCTCCGAAGTCGAAAACATTTTTGCTTCTCAGGTAATCAAACAGAAATGTCCGATCTAGCTGGAGACGTTGGACAATTTCTACACGATTTGTTTCTAACACTTCTTCAAACGTCAGCTCACCCATTTCCATGCTCAGCGCAGGACGTCTGCAGACAATGTACGTCGACTAATGATTTTAACCATTCATTCTTAAGTTCACTCAACTCGATCGAGGCACTAGCTGTTGAATGAATAAACACAGGAAGTCAAACCAACAGACCGTGACGTGGTCTCATACAGCTGTGATCGTTGCTAAGTTCTCTCTAAGTGTTCTGTGATCAGAGTAGGGTCCTGTAGATTGGAAGACGCCAACGAAGAATAAAGAGAAGATAATCCTCTTCATCTTTGTTTTACAGAAAAGGTTCAAACTGAGACAAAAATGTCAAAACTTTCTTTTAATATCTTGATTTCTTTTTCTAAACTTCCGTTGTAGTTTTTTTTTGTTAAAAAAAATCATCTTATTAATAAACATAAAAATATGTAGTCATCTAGGTTCAATTTATCCTTCCATTCCTCGTTTGGATATTTATATATCTCTTTTTTTGTGAAGGGCCAATTGTGGATAAAACAAACGGAAGATAAAAAATGAACCAAAGATAAAATTAAAGCAACACTATACTGTCCAGTGAAAGGGCTTTTGGAAAAGAAAACAAAGCTTTTTGAGTACGTGATCACGTCTGGTTTCTGTTTAGCAATGAAGGAAACAGTCTGCCGCACAACAATTTTATAGACCATGAATTTAGCTCTTTAAGGGCCCGTTTAAGTCGGTCTGACAGTCTGTGGGCGAAACCTCCTTAAAAATACTTGCTCGTTCTTTTTTTAGTGTAGGGACTTCTTTTTTTCGATTTTTCCTATTCCTAGCAAACGGAAAGGCTTATTGTCTGTCGTCTGGTCATGAGTAACTCATTTCGTTTTCTCCTTTTGTTGGTGACCGACAGACAACATTCGAAATGAGCTGTGTCTTTTGATATTCACCTGCCGAATACAACTCTGAGTACGTCGCGGATCACTAAATGCATGATTGGATATACTGTATTGTCAGACAATTCTGAAGGGCCACTGCTCGCAGGGTTTTTTGTAATAAAAAGAAAGTCGTTCATTTAAAAGTCTCATCTGCTAGCAGCTTTCAGAACTCTAAAAGTATGAACTTGGCTGTTAGGGCGTCAACAGATCAAGCTGTGAGGTAAACGATAACAATACTGGATTTTTCTGATTGCCACGGTTCAGTCATGTTTTGTTCAAGTGCTTTCAATACAAGTCCTTGAACGATGTTAAGACTGTTAACGCTTTGAATCTTCGCGGGACGAACTGCATGTGTGCGTAAAAGTAGGCAGATCACAGAAAACGAACTGGTACTATTATGCTAAACTTGGGCATTAAAAGGTTTACGGCCAATAGGTTGAGTTGGAAAATATGGACGGGACTCCGGTCTGGACTTTTTTAAGAGGTCGTGAGAAAAATGAAAATAATTCCTGGATTTTCACTGACCAAAGGCAACACTGGTTTATTTGACGACCTTTTGGTCAGTGGAAACGCAGTTCTCACGACCTCTTCTGGGTATGTGAAGAAAGTCTCCAGATATTAAAAAACAAACAAAAACAAGAACTCAAGTCCATTCCAGTCCTCTTTTCCAACTGAGGCGCTGAGGGGGGATCCCCTCTTGCAGATGTCGAATGGATTTGTCTTGGCAATTGCCTCCGATTGTTCTTAAATAGCCGCTTCGTCATGCGTTCAAAAGGACGTCGGCGTAGGAGACTACACGAGTCGTGGCCACAATTATCGTAATCCGGGACGTGTGACGTAATTGCGTCCATTCAAATAGGGGAATGCTTACAGGGTCATGACTTGTTTTACTGTGGCCGAAAACGTTTCTCTAACTTCTAAATCTCAGTAGGGCGAATTCTTTAACAACTAACACGGAGCAATCAACTCCCTTAAACTCGCATTACGCCATTTTTATACAGATCAGGGCCTGTTTCTCGAAAGTCCCGGTAACTTTTCTGGCGCGGAAAGCTGTTTTTTGTTTGGCGTGTTTGCATTCAAGGTCAAAGTTTCAATAATTTTGAAAACACAGTGATACAATAAAACTATCAGTTATCGAAGCAATATGGACTGGTTTGTGGGCTAGGAACTGTCCTAATATTGGTCAATATTGCACTGAGGTTTTGATTTTAAATTTTTCCCTCGGGCCCGAAACGTTTCTGGGTCTTTCGAGAAACGAGCCCCAGGCCCTAGTTGTTCAGAAGGTTGATAGCACTAGGCCACCGCATAAATATCCATCCAGTAAACAGTTCAATTGTTTTCCCTAATACTTATCCACTGGATAGAGATTTATCTGGCCCTAGTTGTTTAAACAGGGGCACCCAACGAGGATATAGTTCAAAACCAGTTAACGTAGCATTGTTGAACGTATTTTAGTCTTTAAACGGTAGATATAGGCATATTTTTATCCCCTAAAAACTTTTCATCTGTTCGGATTTCGTAGCTGAAAGTCTAGTGATCCGAAAATTATAGGGATCAAAACTTACCTTTTCGAAAATTTCAGCCAGGAAAAGGCTCCCGAAAATTCTAGATGGCCTTTTTTAGGGTAAAAATCCGTTAAAAATGGGTTATTATACCATTTTGTAGATGTTCGAAAATCCTAGGAGAGGCAGGCAAGCAAGAAGTTTTTACCACAAATGTTCCGAAAATTCTAGATCTCAAATCGTCTTCCGAACAGATATTTTCCGAAAATTGCCGTTGGGTGCCCCTGTTTAAAAAGTGGATAACGTTATCAACTGAATCGGATAAATCTCTGTCCAGTGGATAACGCAATTAGTTTTCCTAATACTTACACGCTGGATAGTCATTTTATCCTCTGGATAGCGTTATCCAACGTTTGAACAACTGGGGCCAGTTTATTTTTCAGGTACACGAATTTCGACTATCAAATATGTCCAACAAATCAGCCCCCTGCAGCAAAAATGAAAACTGGAAGGTGTTTGTGATTTTTCAGCGACGTCATTTTAGATTTTGTTCTCACGTATGCACCACAGTTGTGCAAAGAAACTGAGCGGAGCTTCCATTATCTAACGTCCAAGTCTGTGGCTTATAAACTCTCCAGTGTTCTCATTCTAGGCAAGTAAAAACTTTACTGGTGCGTTCCCATTTGTCTGTTTAATTTACACCTTTCGCATTTTGGAAAATGATTTGATCATCAGTTGCTATCAATACTGCCACATGCATAAATCGGTTGTCTCGATGAAAGGGTTGTGGCCTCGTCTCGGACCTAAGCCAATATAAATTCATGCCCGCAATCAGTAAATGACATTTACTGATGGTGGGCAATCCGGTACAGACGAATAATAGTTTTATGAATAAGGTTTATGCTTAAACTGAAACAAGAACATGCAGTTGTCCAGAGACCTTAGTTCTATTATTAATAATCAGCTTCAGCTGAAACCTTCCGGCTTTTTGTCAGCACAAAATAATGACAGTGACTGATTTTCCATAAAATAAGCGGCGTCAGTTGTTAGGGGAATTGTGTACGTGTTCGTTAAAATCTAGAACATCGTTGAGTGGGCGGAACGTAACAGTTCCGCATAACGAAACCTTGAGCTTCCGTAAGATTTTTTTTATTTATAGGAACAGGCGCTTACTGTTAAAACGTGTTTATAATAAGAATTGGAATGTCTAAATAAATTGATAGTGAAATACTGCTGTCATCTTTTCTCGCAAGGAAAGCTTTAATAGCTATAAAAACGACGACACTTTCAAGTTGCTTCCTAAATGTATTTGAGTTTTAAGCCGTTGAATCTCACTTTACGGATAAAGTTATAATAACACGTCTTTTCTCCCTTAAAAACGTCACATAGTACAGATATTTCTCAGTTTTAATGAACACTTCCATGGCTTTTTAAATTGCGTTTTTAAAACCTCTGCAAACAAGCATTAATTGAACTGACTGCGTATATCCGATTATTTGTAAGACATGGGCTTTTGGGATCAAAAATGCCTGAGCGACTTACTTTTCTTAATGAAACAAAACATTTCAAGGGCATATAAATAAACTTAGTTATTGGCTTCGTAAAGTGTTCGAAATATCGTCGTATTGACTGCTATTCAGTCGGTTCAAGAGCCATAAGGTTGGTCGGTTTCATTACTGGAAGGAGAGCCGAGTGATTATTCGCAGAGGGAAGGTTCAGAAGGTTTTCAGTTAAGAGCCATAATGTTGGTCGGTTTCAGTCATTACTGGAAGAAGAGCCGAGTGATTTTTCGCAGAGGGAAGGTTCAGAAGGTTTTCAGTTTAATCACTGGATGTTTCCCAGAAAATCAAGGAGTGATTGAGTAAAATAGATCGCTTTGAACTCGCGTCGAGTGTATAACGGGGTAGTTAAGGAAATACAGCACGGATGAACTTGAAGTTTCCTAGATGGTAATTCTTTGGTCGATTTTTTCATTAACGTACTAACTACAGAACTATTTCTTACCTTTACAATGCAAATTGGTCTGTTGTGGATGTTCTCTCGTTCCTTACCAGGCAGTCAAAAATTAGAAATCCTTGTCTCAGACGAACCGGCACCTTTACTATATGCACACCTCTCTATTATAGTCAGTTCAGTTGCTAGACTGATACGGACAGTTCTTTTGGTCCTTCGCACAATGCTCACCTTTATATAGCATGGACACTTACAACTAGGGACACTTGGGTCTCGGCCCCTTAGCTTTGATGTCCCCGTGATGCCCTTATTTGGTGTTTTGTCTTTCCCGTTGCACGGCAGCGTTTGCGTACATAAGAGAGTCCTTATTATTTTGCACATAAGTGAAATCCTCTGAACCTTCCCAAATCTTGAGAGAGTTTCATGAGCTCTTCGACAAATTAATCTTTTTCGTTTTCACTCACTATTTCAGTCGATTTAACCAGGAAGCAAACTATGTTCCGTTAGGAGACACAGGGGGAGTACCACAGGGGGAGGCCCCTCCCCCGGCCACATTCCCAGCTTTCTTTGGCTGTCCAAGGAACAGAATTTGTCGAGTTCCCATAATAATTAATAATAAAATATTTATACAGCGCTTATACTTTTCAGTGCTAAGCGCTTTACAATGCTTCAAAAAGGTCTGAATAAGAAATAAAAATGCTAAAATCATTACATATATTATATATATACATAGTCACAAAAATACAAAATAAAAAACCTAAGATA